TACATGTTTCATTACATTTTGTGTCATTTCACTGCAAATCGGACATGACTTTAGTGTTTTTGGTGTGCTGTGTCCTCTCATATGCTTCATTAGATCTACCTTCAAAGTGAAATTCACTTCATTGAATGGGCACATATCACAATAATATTTATTTGGATCGATCTGCGGCGTTTTTGTCACTGTGTTTGTTATTCTATGTGCTTTAATCGGCCGGTCTTTTGGACTTTTGCTGTTTGAATCATCGATTTTTACTTCAACTAATTCACTTCCATACATCTCATCGTTCACCTCATTCACAAATACGCTTGAAAATCCTGATGATTGGACGGTGTTTCTGAAATCGGGTTCTTGTAATGTTGTCGGCTCCATATCGATTTCTTGCTTAATTTCATCGACTGTCATGAGTTTTTGGTCTACGTCGTCCAATATTGATTCAAAATTACCAACAGACACAAAAACATTCTCGATGCGACTTTTTACATCTTGATGTTCCCTTAAGATGTGCTCTTCTAGCTGAGTGCCTAATCCGAATTCATAGCCACACATTTTACAACAATAAGTAAATTCATTGAATTCGTTCAAGAGCAAAAATCCACATGCTCGTTCAGCTTTTTCGTATGTTAAAACCATTTTCCCACCAAAATTACGACTTTTAAGCCGATTGTAAACAACGCATTAAACTAAAGTGATACTAATATTTTCAATTGTTCGGTGTGACTGAATGTCAAATTATTATTAAACAAGTAAACGTCAAAATATTCGAAACTCAAGTTTGAAATTCAAGTTCGAAATTCGTAAATGTCAAAGCCAGCATTTAATTTCAAATTATATCTTTACACATTTTTCATAGTCAATAAAGACTATAAAATTACTAGACTACTTAAAATTATTTAACGAGAAGAATTTCAAAAGAAAAATATTGATTTTCAAAATGATCTACCACATACATAAAATTTGGGAAAATCAACTTCTTATGTATTGTATACGTAGGTCACTACTTAAGTTCTTGGACTAACTAAGAAATGCATATGTGTTAATTCAACAAATGGCTTTATTGTTTTTCAAAGTACTCTCCCGCAACGTCAATACACTTATTCATTCGGTGGAACCATTCTTCATAACAATTGTGCCAGTCGGAATTTGACATCTCAAAAATGTGCATTTTGTATGCATCAACTGCTTCTTCGGGTGACGAAAATCGCATGCCTCGCATTTGATCTTTGACTTTCGGGAACAAAAAGAAATCGCACGGAGCCAAGTCAGGGCTGTACGGAGGATGGTGCAATAAATCGATGCTTTGAGCCGTCAAATAATCATTTGTTTTCTTGGCCGTGTGAGAGCCCGCATTGTCATGATGAAGAATGATCCGTCTTTTGAAGTTTGATTTTCGTATTTCCGCGATGACTTTTGGCAAGCAAATGGTAGTGTACCATTCAGCATTCACGGACCTTTGATCCTCCAAACATACAGTGGCTACATGACCCGTAACACTGAAAAACGATGCGATCATTTTTTTCCCAACACTACGTGAACGAACAACTTTTGTTGGATTGTGTTCATTTTCAAAGACCCAAACATACGACTGACATTTTCTTTCGGGCTCATAACAATAGATCCATGATTCGTCACCTGTCACGATGGTATAAACGTTTTTTGACGATCCGTTGTTGAATCTTGTAAGAGTTTGCTTGCACCATTCAACACGAGTCAATTTTTGTTCTTCTGACAAATTGTGTGGCACCCAACGTGAACATACTTTTTTCACATGCAAATGTTCATGTAATATTTTATATATTCGAGTCTCCGAAATCCTCAGTCTTGCAGCAATTTCGCGATAAGTCACATAACGATCCGACACAATCAGTTTGCGCACAGCATTAATATTTCTTCGGTGATAACAGTTTTCGGACGACCTTCGCGCAATTCATCTTTGAGGCTGACACGACCACGACGGAATTCTGCATACCACCTGTAAACATTGCTCCGGGATGGTGCTTAATTACCAAAAACAGAGATCATTTCGGAAACACAATCATCACCAGATAACTTTCTTTCAAAATTGTAAAAAATTATCGCTCGAAAAATTTCGTTTGAAAATTCCATTTTTTCCAAAATTGATTTTTTTCTACAGACACTGTAACAACGCAATATAACTTTTTTTCGTTCTGTCGAAGCAGTTATTCTCAGAAAAAGTCGCGCTTTACGAATATTTATGACATTGATACTTAATACGTCGTTAAGTACGCTAGTCCAAGAACTTAAGTAGTGACCCTCGTATTGTAACAAATAACTGCATTATTAATAAATCAATTTATCAGATAACATTTGGTTGATGATAAAAAATGTATTGGTCTTGGGGTGCCACGAGACTGCGGCGCATCGTATCTACAGCAGGTTTTTACTTACTTACGCAGATAGATAAGAATTTTTTTGTATTCGCCTATCTCATCGGTAGCTTTATAGAATGCGTCATGCCTCATGCGAACTGCTCTCAAAATTCGTATCTACAGCAAATGCAATGTTGTATGCTCTCTAAAAGTTTGTTGTTTTTCACAATTTTTTCTACGCACTAACTCATCATATTTCTGTCTCACTTTTTCAAAAATTGTTCGATATAACAACAACAAAAAATAGCACAGCATAAAATTCGGAATAAAAAAACAGTTTGATCCTTCAAGCAAATTAACCATGAATTTTCAATTAAATTCTTAGAATTATACTATAAAAATTGGCTACTTGATTAATATTCGAGTGTGATTTGTGACACGTAGAAAGCTGAAATAGTATGAAAAATGGTTTGGATAAAAAAAAGTGTCTTTGATTTTCTCGGATTTGTTCTGCAACCGTTATTTTTTTATTTATTTATTTTTACATGGAAATTCATTTTTCAATACTTTTATTTGTGTAAATAAACTGAAATTAGGTTTAGAAAATTAAATCTAATATATTTAAAAAAAATGTTATTATATCTCCATTAGAAATCTCCCTCGTGGCTTTGATATCTCCTTTCGTTACCTCTATAAATGTCGCCGTGAACCTTTCTCTCGTGATATCTTTTATAATCGTTGGTTTTGAATTTTTTCTGACAAAATTTACACGTGCTTGTTCTTTCTCCATGTATAAATTTATGACTACGCAAGGTTGATTGGGATTTAAATCGGTCCTGACAAACATCACACACATAGGGCCTTTAAAATATTTCAATATTTTTTTTTGTTAATTTGTTTTTTGTAAAATCAAAAGATTAATCATTTTAGAACGATGTAATTACTAATTACTAATTATGATTAAATATAGATTTACCTTGGGTCGGAATGTACGGAGAGTCGGTGGTGTTCAAATTTATTCCTCAATAAGAACGATAGATCACAATCGGTACATGAATATGGCATTATTTTTCCACTTTTGTGTATTTTATCGATGTGAACCTTTAAAGCGTTGCTAGTTTTAAAGGCAGACCCACAATCTGCACAGAGAAACGGTCTTTCCCCTGTATGCGTTCTTATGTGATTCATCTGTGAGTATTCCGTTGGAAATCTTCTCTCACAGTAATTACATTTGTACGGTTTGCCATTGAGTTCTTGATGCTTGGCCCTTACATGTTTCATTACATTTTGTGTCATTTCACTGCAAATCGGACATGGCTTTGGTTTTTTTGCCGTGTTGTGTCCTCTCATATGCTTCATTAGATCTGTCTTTAAAGTGAAATTCACTTCATTGAATGGGCACATATCGCAATAATATTTATTTGGATCGATCTGCGGCGTTTTTGTCACTTTGTTTGTTATTTTGTGTACCTTAATCGGTCGGCCTTTTGGACTTTTACGGTTTTTGGACTTTTGGACTTTTGAATCATCGGTTTTTACTTCAACTAATTCATTTTCATACATCTCATAGTTCACCTCATTCACAAATACGCTTGAAAATCCTGATGATTGGACGGTGTTTCTGAAATCGGATTCTTGTAATTTTGTCGACTCCATATCGATTTCTTGCTTAATTTCATTGACTGTCATGAGTTTTTGGTCTACGTCGTCCAATATTGATTCAAAATTACCACCAGGCACAAAAACATTCTCGATGCAACTCTTTACATTTTGGTGCTCTCTTAAGATGTGCTCTTCTAGCTCTGTGCCAAATCCAAATTCATAGCCACACATCTTACAACAATAAGTAAATACATTGACTTCGTTCAAGAGCAAAAATCCACATGCTCGTTCAGTTTGTTCGTATGTTAAAACCATTTCGTCACCAAAATTACGACTTTAAAGCCGATTGTAAACAATGCATTTAACTAAAGTGATACTAATATTTTCAATTGTTCCGTGTGACTGAATGTAAAATTATTATTAAACAAGTAAACGTCAAAATATTCGAAATTTAAGTTCGAAATTCATAAGTGTCAAATCCAACATTTAATTTCAAATCATCTTTACACATATTTCATAGAAAAATCAGTCCATAAAGACTTTATGTATTAATTATTATTGAAATTATTTAAAGAAAACTTCAAAAAAAATATATTTGTTTTAATTTTTGATATTTATAGATTTTCAATATCTTTTCAATTTCCAAATTTTTCTTTTACCAGATACATAAAATTTGAGAAAATCACCTTTTTATGTGACTGAAGCAACAAAAATTGTTACCAATGATCAAATTCCAACTCTATTGTAACGAATTTTGTCTCATGGTCAGATAACCAAAATGTGGCAGTTTTAAAACGACTTTGTCACAAAAAACCTAGATGCGAGCATATTGTAACCAATTTTTGTAACTTTGTGTCGCTCGGGTTGTATCGTGGCATCGTCACAGTCACGTAACCAACAAATATCTTTTGTGAATCGACAAAACGATCAGGTGCGCTTGATTGGACGCATACGAAGAACATAGTCAACAAATACAAACAACCAAACAAATGGCCATGGTGGCCGATAATTACCAAACAATACACGCACGCACGTCGCAAATCCATACATTTTGATTTAACATTATCAGTAGTATAATAGTAGGTATATATTTTTAACAAATGTTTAGCAAAAATTATTTTTGAAAAATATTATCCAAATGTGTTGTATAATTTGTATGGTATTAGAATTTTATTATTACGAAATTGCCAAAAAATGTATCACAAGTCTAAAGTATTTATCGTTATTCTAATCGTATGCCTCATTTCGTTTTAGTTGAATCAAACTGTAAGTTACTTTTGATGTGGTATTTTTTATGGACAAGTAAATATGTTCTCGAATATAAATTATTGTTTTGCATGCACCCACACATTTTTCTCGTTCTTTATTAAGTGTCGGTAAATCGATGACATTCCTCTCAATTTTCAGATTATTGATACCAAAATGTTTTAATTTCGGAAAATGACGAAGATGCCACGCAATGGTAATGGTGGCAACTTGTATTCTAAATACTGTACAAATATTTTTTCTAATCCAACATTTCCAAGCATATTATGTTCGTCATTTATAACGGGCAACACAAATGTAAACGCTGATAAAATCCTTCATCGTATAACTCTTTCAACGCTTTTAAAATATGAGATGTTTTTTCATAGACATTTTGTCTAGCATTAAGTTGATCAAATTTAATGCCAGTTTCCATTTATGCTTTGCCATATCTTAGAATAAATGGACTATTAACCGATAATGTGTGAATCTGGGATTTACACGAAAAACTGTTGTAACTTAGGACTTTAAAAATATAAATGTTATACGATGTCTTATATTTATATTTGTATCGATTGGAAAATCATCAAAATCAACTTGTTCAAGTGTAAAATATTGTTGATGTAACCAATTCTTATGTGTTGTACGACTCAAATTTATTTCAAGGGATGTAGTATGTATTGCAATTTTTTAAAATACTATCGTGAAAGTCTTTGTATGTCAACCGATCCTTACTGAATGGAATGATGCATAGTTTACCAACAAATAAATAGTGGAATAAACTGACGGATAAGGAAATGTATATCTATTTTGGTAGCGCAGACATATATTACACATACCATCTAATTGGGCCATATGATTGTCAGTGAATGAATTCTGAGACTTCTCCCGATATTACATCAAAATATGTTGAAAAATAATGAATTCAAAAAAGCTAACTAGTCCAAATTAATTTTGAAAACGGCGCGCTTTTGCGAATGCTTTTCAAACATGATGAAAAACTAGCAATTTGTACTAAAAAAAAGTTTAACTAATTAAAAAATTAAAATTGATCTTTCCAAAAAAAAAAAACTCCTCAACATAAATTGAAATCAAATGCAGATAAAATTTGTAGGCAGTGCATTTGCCGCTGCTATATTCGAAATTTATTTTTCGAACTAAATGGGCTTAACCTCAAAAATATGTGTTCGAATGTTTCCAGTGATGTAAATGAGCGGCTGAATGACATGTACGCTTCCAAATCAAAGCATAGCGAAATCACATACAGAATCGTAATAAATTTTAAGTGGTCGATTCAGTCGTTTGACAAACGAGGTAGGCGACGCACGAGAAGATCCCCACAGAGCCGTTGATATACTGATTGCATATTGTGTGTGTGTGACACAGAGAAGAAAAAACAACTTTTAATTTCATTGCCAATTGGGTTTTGATCATTTCATTCATCATTTTTTATGTAATTCAACTCAATTGATATTTTTCTATCGAATGAAACGACATTAATTGGTAGCTGAATTGAATTGAAATGGCTACAAGTGTTGAATTGGATCCTGTATTCCGGCAAGCGTTAAAATTTTTACATTCGTCGAGTGCGGATGCGGCCGAGAATATACGCAAAGCACTCGATGACGTGATCAAACAAAAGCATGGCCCAAATAAAATGTTGATTAATACATTGAGCAAAAAATATATAGCTGAGGAAAGTAAGGCGACAGGAAGTGGTGTTGTTAAAACGGCTTCGGTACGACGTTCATCGAACAAATCAAGTGATTCAAGTAGTTCGAGTCCAGTGCAAATTATTGCAACCACAAATACAACATCGACCACCACAGTAATAACGACCGATTCAAGTGGTCAAACTCAAGAAATTCCAGTTATTATTTCATTACCCGATACAATGACCAATGCAACAATCGCCGCTGTCGATGACAATGCAATGGATGAAAATATACATAATAGTTTATTTGACGATTTATCCTGTATCATTTGTCGGCGCATTGATTTTAGTGCAAAGAATAGACTGATTGAGTGTACAAAATGCAACTCATTATACCATCAAGAATGTCATCCACCGCAGTTGAAAGACTCCGATTTATCAAATGGACAAGAGTCAACATGGTGTTGTAGCAATTGTAAAGTGAAAAAGTTTAAAACATCAAGTGGACATTTGATCGGTTCACCAAGTAAATCGAACAATTCGTCATCGCCAACATCTTCGAATTCGTCAAATTCTGATGTTATAATAACAGGTACATCAAGCGGTACCTTTGGAAGTCATTCATCATCGAGTGGCTCGAAAAAAGAGAAAGAACATAGTTCGTCGTCATCAAGTAAATCGAAAAGTTCATCTTCTTCGCGCCACCACTCGCATCATCATCACCATCATTCGTCCTCATCATCGTCACATCACTCATCGAAACATGAACGATCCAGCGAACGAAGTTCGGAAAAGAGCAGCAGCAGCAGTGGTGGCAGCAGCAAAAGCTCATCAAATTCAAATATCCATACGCCCAACATTCATATCATAAGCGCCGATAAACGTTTACAAAACATGAAAAAGAAAGCAGCCAAAACTCAAGAGTCCAAGAGAAAAAAGTAAATTACAATTTGTCAGCATCTCCGTTTTATGTTTTTAGTATTAGAACTTTTTATAAGCATTAACTATATCAATTTTGCACGTACAATTCTGGTCTACAATTTCATCACTTTCCCCCCGTTTTTTGTATAATTTATTGCAAGAAATTTTCAATAAAAAACAATCCATAATAATAAAAAAATACTGGAATTGTATCACGATCCTTTTTATCTGCCTTATAAGCTGCAAATGGAAAATACATTTTCAAAAAAAAAAAAAAAAATTACAGCATAAGGTAGAAACATTTTTTGTTTATTGTTTTTTTTTTTCACAGACATTTTTAGCCATCTGATGATTCAGCTTGATCGCCAAATATTTTTAAAAATGAACTTTTATCCCTGGGTCAGAATGTTGGCGCATTTAAAATAAATAACATTTCTTCCTCCTTCTTGATCCAGCCCAATAACTTATTCACTAACGTAATAACAACACTTTTATCGACAGTTGGTTCAAAAACAGCGTACAACTCATAACCGTTCGTGATCTAAAATGTGGAATAGAAACATACGACATTTGAATGATCAAATGCATAAAATTAATATTAAATTAAATTACCCAGGCCAAAATAATTTCCTTTTCGTGCAGTTGATAAATCAATTTTGTAGGTCGATTGCTGTTATGAATGCGATGATGAATGTCATAGTAAAGTGATTCCAATCGACTGAATTCCTCGGGTGTATTATACGGCACATTTATTTCAGAGCACAATAGCTGAGCATTCGTTTTCGATTTGTATAGAAAATGACGAATCTCCGGTATGCCAATTGTTCGTAAATTAATTCCTTTGCTATTCATGGCATCATTGATTAATTTCAATACATTACTACGTCGTAGTCTCTGTGAATGATGTAAAAATGCAACGTAATATTTATCATAGTAATATAAAATGAGTGAGTCTCATGTGTTTACCTCGGTTATTTTTTGTTTGGCATCTGACAATGTGAAAAAAACGTCTTTTTCTACCGATAATAATAACAAACACGCCTGACAATCATCGGCCAAATATGAAACATGAGCATGTAGAAAACCATCAGCATCAAATTTCGGCAAGCAAATCGGCGTCCAGCTTTCGGCCGATTTAAAACTTTCCGAACAATCAACCAGATTGAAAATTAATCTGAAATTTTTTCAAATATATACAAGTAATAAGTAGTTTCCTAAAAACTAATAATTATTTCTGGTTGAAAGTTTTGAAGTTAAATTGAAATTACCTCAAATCAGCCGGATGAATAAAATACTTTTTCATTCTAACTAATGCAATTAGTTTATTATTGGCAATCAAAACGGCAAATACTAAATTCTTAATTTTTGAGCAATTTTGTTGAATCGCTGTAATAATCGATTCGCGTACAGCCGAGGCCAATGGTAAAATTCGCACGGAGTGTGTCAAAAATATGAATGGATTGTTTGAAACTATAAAGGAGAAGAAGAAGAAAATCAATAAATTCATTCAATTGAACTGTAAATTGTTATACAATCTTACTTTTATTGCACGCTCGTTTTTGGCTGTCATTCGTAAGAAGATGATCGATAAGACGTTCACTGCCCGCTAATAATCTCCTGAGATCGAAATTTTTTCGTTGATCGAAAATTTTCGTCATGTGTGACAGTGTTAATGTTGATAAAATTTGATTATAAACATCGCTGTAAAGATGAAAAGAAGAAGCGAAAAAAAGCATTATTAAAGTGGAATTGAGTGACACATAAATAGTTTGTTGTCTTACGTAAGTTGTAATTGGATTTGTTGTACACTTAGATCTCGTCGCGACGCAGCAACTAAAATTAATGGGCCTTTCAACAGGAACACAAATTTAATGCCGACGGCATGAATCGACATAATCACATCTTGATTTGCTTGTACTACACTAACCAGTGCTTGCATGACACCATACAATGTTGCAAGTTTATCTTCGTTGCCATGTAGAGAGTAGATTGGTTTTCCAGCTGAACTTAAAACGAAAAAATGTTCACGTTGACTCAGCCAGTCTGGATCATGTAAATAATCACCGGAAAGTACACTATCGTCATTTTGATCGAGCAAATCTTGACTGCCAAATTCACTTAATGCACTTATATTTGATGACGAAACCTTTGGATTGTTTGTAATAGTTGCTGAACTATCATTGCCCTGAATCTCATTGATGATTGATTTAACTTTATTTATCGGTGAACCATCTTCATCCAGGCTGGCACTCAATTCCTGTGAAAATTCCTCAAAGGAGTCGGTCGTAATTAGCATACTTTCGTATGTTGTACCAGCTGCTTCTTCGTATATCTCAATTTCTTCATTTGCATTCGTTTGCAAATCACTCATTTTTCACTGTTAAAATTAATTTTGTTCAAAGTCACAATGTAAACGTTAAAATCGTAATTATGATTCGCCGTCAATGGAAAATTCAAAACTATACACCCATTTTCGGCACTTTTGAATAAATTATTTTTATTATAGCATTACGATTCTTTGTCTATTTTTTTTTTTTTTTTTGATAACAAAAAAGTATCGCATTGACAGTGACATATATTTACACTGAAACCGTACTGTGTATAAATTAGTTTAGTGTTTCTTTTTCTTAATATTTTGCGGCGAACTGGAAGATGGCGAATTGCTCGCATTATTTTGACACTTCGAATTCCGAAATTAGGCTTGTGTATGAGTTGTGTTTGTGTATCGAGCGTAGATTCATTGTGGTTATTCTACAAATGAAACTTTAAAAAGAATAAAAAGCAATTGTTGAAGAGAAACGAAATTAAAATGGCCATCTACTCCACCATACAGCAACAAAACGCAATCAATATGAAATACAAGAAGAAACTTAAAAAATTGAAAAAATTTATTGAGAATTTGGTGTTTGTAAGTTGCTTCTAAAATACATTTCATTCATATTCAATTTTCACCATAATTTGAAATTATATCATTTTTTAGGAAAATGCTGCTTTATGTGACCAGGTCTCTCAGGTACAGGAGAGTATCGTATCGGTGAAGGAAGAGCGTCGTTTTCTGCTAAAAAGACTTATGGACAAAGACAGTGATTTAGCGAAGGAACTAAGCAAAAAACAATCAAACGATTCCGGAACAGCAACTCAATCAACTCGAAAGCCATATAAAAAACGAGCGAAAAAACAACAAGCGACCCAACCATCGGATATCGTATCGCTTGATTCAAATGACGCATCATCATTTCCCATTGATTTGGGTGCACTGAAAATTCTTAGCATCGGTCAGATAATCTACGATCGACCCCATTACCACACAGAAAATTGGATTTATCCATCTGGTTTCATATCGACACGCAGTTATGCACACATCAAAGACAAAGACGAAAAGGGCTTGTACACATGCCGAATCACAGAAAATGGTGATTTTCCACGTTTTGAAATCATTCCCGAGTGGGATCCACAAGCTATAATGCACGGTCCAACAGCCGACTTGTGTCATGCGCTTCTTATTCAAAACATCAACGAAAATACCGGCCAAAATTCGGAATTACAACCACAAGGCGAATGGTTCTTTGGCTTAACACACTCAACGGTTACAAATATTTTACAAAATTCAGTTGACATTAAAAAATGCACAAAATTCAAAGGTTTCAATGAAAATGCACACTCCATTGACCAAAATACAGGCCATTCGGTAAATTACGGTGCATTTGAAAAGGACATCGCCATATCGAATTATCATACTGTTTTGGAAGTCAAAGAAGAACCACCCGATGAACTGTTTTAACAAATACAGTAGATTGTAGTTTGTAATTTGTTCAGTTTTGCTTTTGCAGAAATACTGTTCCTGCATGAAATGAAATTTGAAATAAAAATAAATTGAATTTTCTGCACTTAAAATTATTTTGTTTATTAAATCGATATTTCAATGATATTAAATAGTTGTCACGCCCCCTTTTTCCATTTGCTCCAATAGTGCTTGCAAATTTGTATCGAACAACTCACATCGAATCGGCATTTCAAGTGAATAGAATGGATTTTTGAGTACATAATCAGCATATAATTCATAAATACGTCTGAGTAATACATCGACGCCAGCTTGTGTTGTTTCAGCAACAACCATAAATTTTACTCCTACGAAAATACGAAATTTTCAATTGTAGATTTTGGATTTAAAAAAAAAAATGAAGGACATAGGAGACAAAAAAGAATGGGAACTCTCTTCCGGATGTAGAAATTACCTGTCAATGTCTGAAAACATTGCAATTTGAATGTATCTGCTTCGAGAATTTCAATACCCGAACTTTTCGGTTCCGGACTCAATTGACTTGCAATGGCAAACAAAGGATAGAACATGGATGCCAAGAAGATTTTCTCATTTGTGGTCATTTTCGGGCGGGCAAATTTGAGCGTTAACGGAAATTCGTTGGCATTTTCAAAGACTTCTTTTACATTTCTGCCATCTTCAAGTGTGCTTCCATTCACTGGCATCCCATTTATAGAGTTAAGAACGTGTCCAACTGGAATGCAAACATGAAAAGGTATCAATGAAAACCATCGTGTTGTTGATATCTATTTTCAATTCACACTTACCAGTGATACCATCTTTCTGTCCGAATGCCACCGATACCTTTTTCGGATCATAATCTAATTTCAAGTCAATTGGATAATTGAATACTTTTTCAGTTTCTATTCGTGGAATGCTGTGATCATGATTAAAAATCAATCCCCCGGATTTGCTGACTATATAAACACCGTGAATAACCATGTTGACAATAAATCTAATACATTGAACAAAATAAAACTAAATATCGAAAATATTTAAAATTATCTTTTGATGTCAGTGTTCACGTAAACAAAACAGAAATTGAATGGAATCGTAAATTTTTCTGTTCGTTCGAAGATGAAGTGTCAAAATTGTGTTTCGCATTTAGTCCATCGAACAAGTGGCGACTTCAATGACAGATGATAAGAATCGATTTGAGGTTATGTTCGATATAAATAAATTCAAACCAAATAAATTACGATTCTGAAACGATCAAAACAATATAAAATGCTGGGGCGACAGCCTTTAATAACACACATTGTGAAGCGGTTTAAAAAGACCAAAGCCGGCCTATTTGTAAGTTAATTTTAAAATAAGAGAACATTACATTAACAGTTTACTGTAATATTTCATTTTGGTACAGTTGAAACCGCGTGATAAGAGAAAGGAGAAGCCAACCGACCGTGCTTTGAAGCATTTTGATGATTTTTATCAATCAGTTTATGGACCACGATGGGGTAGCATTCGAGCATCTTTGCTTTGTGAAAATAAATTCGTTGCACTCGTTAACAATTACGGTGATCCTGAAGTAACGAGAGAACAAATGGAACTCAATGGTGCTGTTAATTTGAGGAAAGTTTTCGATTTGTACTATAACCCAAATGCCATTGCTGATGCTCCAGAACAAGCAAAACTGTCGTCAAACATTGATAAAGTATTGGATAAATTTGTGCAAGAAAAGCAAAAGACAGAGTTTCGATCGATTTACCAAGATCATGTTGACGAAGAAGAGGAAAAACTTGCATTAGAGAGAATAGAGGATCCATCGCGTGTTCTTGATGTGAAACATGTTGTTGACTATAAAAAATCACTGAAACAATCGCTGGATGAAGATTCCGAGTATGATTTCAATCGTATGATTTCGGCGGAGGTCGGTGTGATGGGATTACATGAATTCATACCAGCCACAAAATTGAAAGGCATGGAAGATTTTATTCCGGAATCTGATCACTATCAATATTATAATACGGCCGTTGATTTTCCACTGAAAATTGAGCTTGAATCGGATTTCGCATTTCCGAAAACATTGGACCTGTATATGTATCCAAAGGGCGATATTTCACGGTTTTCAAGACCAAAAAATGCATCCACAAAAGTTCTTTCACATTTTTTACTTGACGCAGGCTCGATTTTACCACCTCTTATGTTAAATGTTCAACCAGATGACGTTGTGCTCGATGCATGCGCAGCTCCTGGTGGAAAAAGTTTGATTCTTCTTCAAAGTTTATTGCCAAAAGTTGTTGTTTGCAACGACAACAGTTTGTCACGCATGAATCGAATTTACAAATTATTCTTACAATATATACCTAATTTCAAAAACAATTGGGACGGAGAACGGTGTATTGTTCGGAACAACGATATACGGAAAATTAACGAGTTTTCCAAATATGATAAGGTACTTTATGAAATTTAGATTTAAAGTCAGAGCTCTTGTTGGCACCATACTTCTTTCGCTGGTAAAAATATGCTTAAATTGAACATTTTCAGATCCTGGTTGATGTGCCATGTTCAAATGATCGATTATCTGTAAACGTAAATGAAAACAGTTTATTCAGAGGAGATCGAGTGAAGGAGCGTTTGCAATTGCCTGAATACCAAGCATCGATTCTTGTGCATTGTTTGCAATTACTCAAACCAGGCGGTTCATTAATTTATTCAACATGTAGCTTAAGTCCAATTCAAAATGATGGTGTCGTTAATATGGCATTGACCAAAGCATTCACCGATTATCACATTACGACCACTATCAAGTAAGTACTTTTACTTCATTTCGAAAAAAAATTCAATGCATCAATAGATGGTTTTGTGATTTTAATGTTGGCTAAACTACCACTAAATTATTATTTATTCTCTTCCAATTTCCAGAGATCTAACGAATGTGTTGCAACCGTTCAAGAAATTATTTTTCTTCGAAGATTCGAAAAATTTAAAATTCGGACAATTGGTCTTGCCTCAGTTGCCGACAAATTGTGGTCCAATGTATTTTTGTAAAATTCAACGTAATGAAAATTAGTGTAGACAAAATGTTGTTGTTTTTTAAACAATGCGATAAAAATTAAAACAAGTTCGAAAAAATAAAAAAAGTACATGTATCATTTAATTTCGAAATTGTAGATGACATTAGACGCACCCATCGAAGTGTCTAAATGTGTGCTGGAATGACATTTTGGCATTGTTTGTGTTATGTTCCTTTTTCTTCATTCGTCATCGTGAACATAACAAAGAAGGTGAATTGACCGACGTAAAATCGTGCACGAAACAAGAGTGCGCCTTTGCCAATACATATTTGCTTAGTGTGTGAACGAAGCAAAGGACGATCGTCTTGTCGACAACGGCGGCGAAGACAACGACAGCTGTTTATTGTTTATTATTATTATCAAACGAATTTTTTTTTTGACTGATCTGAACATATATATTATCATTTTTTCTCTTCGTCACAATTAGTGTATTTGTGAGAGCTGTGTTTCTATTGTTAAATAATTTATTGCCCTCGCAACAACGTTCATACAATTTTGACTGTAGATTTCGCATAACAAAAACTTTTTTCGCTTCGAATTTTTATATATTTTTTTTAAAAATAATTTGTTGTGTATAAAAAATTTGTAGATTTTTTATTTGTTAAGTTCGTGACATTTGAAGCACTTATCTCTGTGAATATATTTACGTTACAACTGGTTGTAACGCACATAGTTGTAGTTCAATATACGACTGATGCAATATATTTAGAAGTAACACGCATTACGACAATTTATGTGACACATGTAGAGCCACATCATATTTGTACATAAAAATACACGACGAGAAAAAAAGAAAAAAAACAAAGTGACGTTTTACACATTTTCTTTGCACTTTTCATAAGAATAAAAGGTTGCAAAGATAAAAGAAAATATCGATTCGCATATCGTTTTCATATGAAGTAGATAAAGAATTTTTTATTTTAAATGGATCCATTGAATGTAAGTGTTATTTATTTATTTTTACATTTTTCTCGTTCTTGATCAGATTTTATGCGAATCGAATGAATAATGAGTTGTTTTTCTTGCAGAGCGTTCTTAAGGCATATTTACGAGGTGTTTGGGATAGTGTGAAAGGTGTGTCGTTAATATTTATCGTTATTCGAGACACATACAGCAGCACAGCACTACAAAATGACAAACAGAACAGTGAATTGGAAGAAAGTAGCTCCAGCTCAGGTAGTACACACACTGGCAAACGTAGCAAAAAACAAACACATGCAAACAAACGTGAACTTAACAAACTCAAAGAGTATGTATTGATCGATTGATTTTTTGAAATTATCGTAATGACATTAAGCAAATTTTTTTTTATCCGTTTGCAGGGAATCCAATTTATTGAAGCGAGTTTTTCAGTGTTGTTTATTGAATGGCGGTTTTTTTGGCCTTAGCATTATATTTTTCGAATGTGTTTTATTGCCAATCATTCGGGTATTTCTCAGTTGGATGTTTACACAAAATCCCGGCAACGGTGCTATCATCGGCAACTACATTGTTACATTTCTATCGATTTTGTTTGGCATGATTTGGGTCATGCCGTTATTCATCTTAAGTAAAATCGTGAATAGTTTATGGTTTCAGGTGAGTTATCGAGCGACAATTATTTGATCGATCGCACATTGACTTTTATGATAATTATAATTGTTGATATTTTTCAGGATATTGCCGATTCAGCGTACAAATTTCGCAAAGGTCAACCGCAATTGTTTGTCAGTTTTAGTGTTATCATAGCTGATACGCTTTTTTCGTTACTCGTACAAACGTTGTTCCTAATCCAGAGTATGGTCGTAAATGTTTTACCATTTAATTATTTCGGTATCATAACAAATGTTCACTTATGTTTGCTGTATTCGTTGTATTCGTTTGAATACAAATGGTGCAATATGGGATGGGAACTGCATAAGCGTTTAACATATATTGAAAATAATTGGCCGTATTTTCTTGGCTTTGGCACCATTATGACGATTTTAACTCAACTAACGTCATCGATAACTATTAGGTTTGTACTATTCAAATATTGCCATCCATTTTGACCATCCAACTGACCGTTTTTTACATTCTTTTTTTTTCGCAGTGGATGTATTTTCGCTGTACTTTTCCCATTCAGTATATTGAGCGCCAACGAAGCCACACCAGTCACAAATGCAATGTAAGTATACTTCATTCGTTCGCTAATCCGTTCAAAATTCTGTATAAATTTGTTAAATAATTTGTGTTTTAATTTCAGTAATTATCAGCTGAAATTCTTCAGTTTAGTCGTAGCCATATCGAATGCTCTCTTTAATAAGACAATTCGGCCGTCAATTGTGCCAATGTCAAAGGCTGCAAAGGATGCAGCAATTACAGCGGCCAACGCAAATGACATATTTCGTACGATAAGACAACAAACACCGCCCGTAAATGTATCACAAAGTCGGAATCAGTCATTGCATCAATCGGGTTCCCATCGTCAGTACAGATAAAAATGACGAAAAAATACACAAACTCACAATACAATATTATCTATCTAATAATATGCGTCTCATATATTGACAAAATTGCCTTTTTTCACATCGTTTTGAAGATGAATTTTTTTTATGTAACGAACATTTTCTTAGTTCTTGCTTTGATCATATGAACAAATTTAAATCAGTAAAAGTTGAAAATATTTTCCACTTTTGTACCAAATAAGGGAAAAAAACCTACATAAAATATGTTGCACGGTCAACAGGTAGGAAATGAAAAACAATTGAAACCGGTTGTAAGATTTAATTTAGATAATTAAAAGAATGGACATGATGCTTTTTTATTATGCAAATTATGGCTTACAATGACTTTAATATATAATAACTAATATAAAACAAAACAAAAAATATTTATTGACCCCTTTTTTTCTAAATGAAAAGAAAAACATTTGCATATGAAAATGTCAACTTTTTTGTATCTTTGCATAATAGATATTGTTTATCCATAAGACGAATAAAATATTATGGTGCTCAAAAATATCAAAAATATTTTCACTCTGAAATATTTCCGTCAATTTGACCGAAAAATCCAAAAAATATCATTTTATCACTTGTTACTGATCCCCTTCATTAATATTTAATCGAAATATAGAGATCATCATTTTTAGATATTTCTTGAAATATTTAAAACGAATTTGCAATTTGCGAAAAAAGAAATGTTGCATTAAACGTATTTAATGTGTGTTTGACACTTCAGTTTGGATTTCATTTCGCCTGCTCACACTTCGAATAATCGCCACACGAAAAATGAAAGCAACAGAGAAGCGAATTGTCACACACACACACATGGAAACATGATATTGTTGGTTGCTGTCGAATGCTTTGCATAGTAAATGAGACGGGTGAAAAGCAAAATCATATACATACGAGCGAACATCGGTGTATTTGTATCATCCATTCGAAAGAACACCATGACTGAGTGAAAAGAGTACATTTCATTATTTTCATTATCCAATAAAAAAAAAAAAAATATCTAGATTACTGTCAGTGTTTGAAGAGACAAAACAAATTTTGTGTTGAATTTTGTTGATCAAAATAATTAGATTAATAAAATTTTGAGTTGATTGAGCCGTGCATTAGAAATTTATATAAATAGGATTTTCGGTAATTTATATATATATATATATATGCACTGAGAATAGAAAGGACTGAATGGTGCTGAAAATTAATGTTAAATTTTTTTAGTGCCGTCATCATTGTCTATGTGAAATCAAATGTGAGCTCATCTTTTGAGAATGGATCATAAAAAGGTTTGTTTTATATTCATTTTCTCGTACACAATTTTTGTCCAAATCATGGCATTTCAAGTGGAATTAGTTTGACGTGCAATATTTAATTGTTGTTGTTTCTGGTGCTGTTTTGCTGCTGTTGACTCCTAGTCAGTATAATTTTGATTGTAATGATGAGTTAGCATCAGAAAGACTCGACGTAACACAATATCAATACAAAACAGATAAACGAACACATATCAATGACAATTCCAGTGTGTCGTTTATATTTTTCATTTTAGATTTCTTTGAGTTGAGTTTTGGTCTAGACATTCTCTTTTTGTCACTTCAAATTCTCTTTGACTGTTTTTTTTTATTTGGTTTTATTTTGCCATATTTCTCATTGCAATGACAAAAATAAAAATTGTATCGTGAACTAATTACAAATAGCATTGGTGTAAGTGTGTATAAGCTTATGTGTGCGCTAGTACATGAAGATTGAACAAATTTTATTGAAATTTTATTATGTTTTGAAATTGGGTACAAAAGACAGTTCGGGATTCTTTCAATTGAAACAAAGATAATGTAAAATTATTTATATTCCTTTGTTTATTTGCATTGAGGAAAAATGAACAGTTGTTGCATGATATAAATCATGTTTTTACAGTAAAATAGGTATGCATTGGAAATAATGGTGTGCGTTTTGCACAGCAAACAACAACAGCATCAATGAAATAGAGAGAAAGAAATTAAGTTCTCTAGCAATGAAATTGATTGTGTATTTATTATATTTGAGCTTCCGTTCAGTTTGACCGTACTGATTGCCGTTTGTGTGCTGTAAGTGTACATGTAAGCGAACGGTTATTATTATATATACAAGTGTATCAAGTAACTTGATTCAAGTCGGTTTGGCGTGTTTTTTTTTCATGTCGTTGACATTTCATGATTTTTGGTTAGTCGCAGAAAGAGATTTATTTTTTTCATTTCATTTCGATAAAAATATCCATTAATTATATCAATAACAAAAACGATCGGTTTAACCTTGTTTTAATACCATTCGACTGACAGTGAACTGTTTTTTTTTTGTCTCGTTCACGAATAAATTTCGGTATTGTTAGCGAGAAGAATAAAGTTGGCAATAAGATGGTGCAAATTATCATGAAAATTCATTTGAGAGATCGCTGAAATATATCAAAGTTTCTGTGCAATTTAAATATAATAAAAAAATACGTAATATTTATTTTTTATTAGAAAATGGACAAATTCACTTTGTCTCTTGATGTTAAATTTAGTATTGTATTTGGTTGTTTTGGTATTGTGTCATTTATATGTACACACTCCACAGCGTCTGAATGTTGTGTGGGAGGGGATATCAGCCGCAACAAATGTATACATTTTCAGTGTATTGTTTTTCTTTCGTTCGTTTTCTTCTCCACTTTGAACCGTCTTGATTCTCTCCATACGAAAACGGCAATTTTTTTCTTGTTGTTTTTTTTCGCCATTGAAAGTGAAAGAAAATAAATAATCAATTAACTTTAGGTGCAATGTAGTAATTAACGTTGAGTTATTATTTCATGCATAAAAATGTTTGAAAAAAAAATGGGGATTCTATGGAAAAGAGAGCACAATATATGGAATAGAATTAATATCTTTAATGAACTAATATTTTAAATCAAATTAAACGTAGATTAACGTAGTAGAAATCCTTTGTTTTTGTCCAAAAATTAAAACGTAAAATCTCTTTATCTTCACAGAAACTACATGATAAATCTTCACAATAAATGAACAAATGAATATTATTGTTTGCTTAAAACGATCGAATCCCATTCCTGTTTTTGGCGAGAACAAAGACAACATTTTAATTGTTTGTTAATTCACAAGTATTCACGGTCAATCAACTCAAGTGAACACATACATTTACAATAAATTGAACCATCAAATTGGGCATCAGGAAATATGATTCGAAATAATCCGCCAAAGAGGGAAGGTGGCAAAATGCGTATCCGCGCATTCCCAGTAAGTTCAATCAACTCAATAAAACACATGATTATGTAGATTATCGTTGGCTTCTCTTTATTTTTTTCATTCATTTTGTAGTTTTTTTTACCTATCCCCTATGCACATTCAAAAAAAATTTGTCCCCACATAATCTCAAATCAACGTCGACAATTTTCAAAAAGTCACAGTAGCCATATTTGACATATCTATTCATTATAAAATTGTGAAATCCTTAGTTAATACAAAAAAGCAATGGCTCATTCAAGAGATGAAACATTAAGAGAAAAGGGTGATAGTCCAAGCGATGGATGTTCAATCGTTAATTATATTGATATGGTAGAAGAAATGGTGTGAACGAACATTATTAGAACCTTTAATTTCGTTTTTTTGTTCGTTTGTTTGTGATTGTTGCTAAAATGTGACATTTGCTTTTATTTCAGATGAATATGGATGAAAAATACGTAGAATCCATTTGGAATCTTCTACGTAGTGCAATACAAGAGATTCAAAAGAAAAACAATTCGGGCCTCTCATTTGAGGAACTGTATAGAAATGCATATACAATGGTGCTGCATAAGCATGGCGAACGTTTGTACACAGGCCTGAAAGAAGTTGTTACTACACATTTAGAAAAACAGGTACCAGACGACCTTACAGAATTCTCAAAAATATTTAATTTTTCGATGATATGAGATTTTTTTTAATCTAGGTTCGTGACGACGTTCTAAAATGCTTGCACAGCAATTTACTACAGAAACTGAATCAAGTTTGGACCGATCACCAAACGTCGATGGTTATGATTCGGGATATTTTAATGTATATGGATCGTGTATATGTGAAACAAAATGAATTCGACAACGTATACAATTTGGGTTTGATCATCTTTCGGGATCAAGTAAGTCTAAAGCAATGAAAATGTTGTAATTTATTCGAAATCGTATTAGTTTAACGTGTTTGTTGTGTGCTCTTTCAACTTTTAGGTGGTTCGACATGGTAAAATTCGTGATCATTTGCGTAAAACACTATTGGATATGGTGATGTTAGAACGAAAAGGTGAAGTTATTGATCATTTGGCGATAAAAAATGCATGTCAAATGTTAACTGTGCTTGGCATTGACAGCCGTTGGGTTTATGAAGAGGACTTTGAACGACCATTCCTTACCCAATCCGCCTCATTCTATAAAATGGAATCACAAAAATTCTTGTCGGAAAATAATGCCAGTGTTTACATAAAAAAGGTGGAAAGTCGCATTATGGAAGAATCAGAACGTGCAAAATTGTATTTGGACAAAGATACCGAACCACGCATCGTAAAAGTTGTCGAAGACGAATTAATAAATAAACACATGAAAACAATTGTTGAAATGGAAAATAGCGGCGTTGTGCACATGATTAAAAATACAAAGACAGAAGATTTGGCATGCATATATAAATTGTTTTCACGCTTAAATGATGATGCACTGAAGACCATTGCCGAAGCAGTTTCCGGCTATTTACGAGAACAAGGTCGCCAATTGGTAACCGTTAAAGAAGACGAACAAACGAATCCCATTACATTCGTACAAAATTTACTCGATTTGAAGGATCGTTTCAATCATTTTTTGGTACATTCATTCAACAACGACAAAATTTTCAAGAACATGATTTCATCCGATTTTGAGCATTTTCTTAACTTGAATAACAAATCGCCCGAATATTTGTCACTATTTATTGACGATAAATTGAAAAAGAGCAGTCGTGGTGTAAGTACCTAAATTGATATCAATTTCGTTAAATAAACACATGTGCTTTATTATCCTTCTTTATTCATTCTCTTTACAGATGACTGAACAAGAAATCGAAACAGTTTTAGACAAAACAATGGTACTCTTCCGGTATCTACTCGAAAAAGATGTATTCGAACGATACTATAAATCACATTTAGCCAAACGTTTGCTACTTAATAAATCAGTGTCCGACGATTCGGAAAAGAATATGATTTCGAAGCTTAAGGTAAATTCAATCGTACATCGTTGAAATGATGGCATTTTAATTGTATTTTTATTGTCTTACCGCAGACTGAATGTGGTTGCCAGTTTACCTCGAAACTAGAGGGCATGTTCAAGGATATGACATTATCGAATACGGTTATGGAAGAATTCAAAAATCACGTCAACAGCAACAACATATCGTTGAATGGAGTCGATCTAACAGTTAGAATCCTAACCACAGGTTTTTGGCCAACACAGGTATACACCGTTGAATGCATTTTCACTCTAACACAAATTAAATGGTGTATCAATGGAATTTTGCTTGTTTTATAGTCGGCTCAAAGTTGTAACATACCACTAGCGCCTCAGAAAGCTTTTGAAACGTTCAAAAAGTTTTACTTAGCACAACATTCAGGTCGTCAATTAACGCTACAACCACAAATGGGTAAGTAGCTTTTTTGTTATTGTTTTTATCGCTGCTTGAATCAACCTTCCTGCAATTAGTTGTGTTGATGTCGAGTAATGTTGGTTAAAATGAAATATATCTATTTAAAATTAATTTAAAATCGTTTAAAAATAGGTACGGCATTTATAAATGCAGTATTTCCGCCAATTCAATCGTCAAAACCAGATGCAAACGGTGTACAATCATCGTCAAGCACATCCGGACCAAGTGATGGACCTGTTGGAAATGTGGCTTCATTTACTCGCAAACACATTCTCCAAGTATCAACTTATCAGGTATGTAAATCAATTCCGTTTTATTGAGTGGAAAAAAAACTTTAAATCATATATTTGTCATTTTTCTCAGATGTGTATTTTGATGTTGTTCAACACCCGTCAACGTATGACTTACGAAGAAATTATGCAAGAAACTGAAATTCCCGAAAAAGATTTGATTCGTGCATTGCAGTCATTGTCAATGGGCAAAGCGGCTCAACGTCTATTAGTGCGGGCGGCAAAAACAAAGGAAATCGAAGCAAGCAATGAATTTTACATCAACGATGGTTTTGTCTCCAAATATCACAGGTTTGTATCTAAACATCACTGATTTACGTTCAATGAATAATTTGCTTATCTTTTTTATTGGATTTATTCAGAGTTAAGATTCAAACAGTTGCTGCTAAAGGTGAATCGGAACCAGAGCACAAAGAAACACGTAGCAAGGTAGAAGAAGATCGAAAACATGAAATTGAAGCCGCTATTGTTCGAATAATGAAATCGAGAAAGAAGATGGCGGTAAGTGTTGCATGCCAATAAGGCTTTTCGGATTTGGTTTCTCGCTTAATAATTTGAGGGTTTGAAGATTTGAATTATGTTATTTGCAAAAAGAAGTGAAGTCCGACAAGTCTAGTGCGGAATATTCGAAAAAACATGAAGTTTCTTGCCACAGGATCCCCATTAAGTTGTTTTTTTTTTTTAAATAATTTCCAATTTAGCATAATCTATTGGTGTCAGATGTAACGACTCAGTTGCGAAGCCGGTTCCTTCCGTCACCGGTAGTGATCAAGAAACGAATTGAAGGACTAATCGAGCGAGAATATTTGGCTCGGACACCAGAAGATAGAAAAGTTTATGTATATTTAGCTTAAGAACCTCAACACACACACAAACACACACACACACACACAATACAAAAACTCAAACGAGACAATGAGTTTTTTCATCATTTTGTTTCTTTGTTTTCACCAATGAAACACGATGACATCATTTCGAAATAATATACAAGAGAAGCAAATTAAAATATGTGAAGATATAGTTAGCTCAGAATCTGAGATAGATTCAAAAACAGCATCGTGGTTTTTGTAAGAGTTGATAAAATTGAACGATTAGAATGAGTGAATTTACGCATTCATCTTTCTGATGAAAATGTCACGAAAAGAAAAGTGATTTTTTTATACTTTTATGTCAGTAAGTTTCATTGGGATCGTTCGAGAAATACATTAGGAAAACAATAATAGAAAAGGAACAACAAGCTAAATAATTTACTATCAGAATAAAAAAAAAATAGTAAGTTACTATAATGAAAATGAATTGAGAGGAAGAAAAGGGAAAAAATGATCCGCGTAACATTGAAACTAATGATCCCCTTAGTCTAACGTTAATATACCTAAAACAAAAAATTACTGTATTCTAACCTGTACTTTTATTATTACTTTAATTATTATGATAGTTATGGATGCTCCTGCCTATGATTGGGAGCGTCTATTAAGTGTGACGGCATTTCATTTAATTTCCGTCATTCATATTTCATACACACCTACAATGGTGGTAATACTATATATATAGAAAACAACTTTATCATTTTCACCGACATTTATTTCCTTTTTTTTTCATTGACCGGATATTGATCGATTTAACATAGACACAAAATGTAAAAGAAATTTAGCTATCCCTGTAAAACACAGGTGATAATAGTTAGAACAAAAAAAACGGTCAGTTTTTTTTTTCGTGTAAGTCCACATTTGTACATTCTTTTAATGCTTTTTCCCCTCATCATTTTCGTAAAATTGATTAGTGACCGATAGTTCTTTATGTTTAGCTAAGTAACAATGTTTCTGATATAGTATTATCAAGAGACTTATTTAGCTTGAGCTTGACATCTACATTCAAAATAAACAAGTTTTAATATGTCAATTTGTCAACGGAAAATAAAATTATTTCAAAGCGTCAAAAAATACAAAAAGAAGAAAACAATTGGTAAGAATCTACACAAAAACACACAAACACATAACAGTTTAATGAAACATTCTGTTCATTGTATTCTGTAAATGGAAAATAAACAAAAAAACATTTTTTGAAAAGCAACGTATGCACTTGTATTTTATTGTCTTAACGAAATAAAGTCTGATTTTAACCAATCATCTCGAAATTATGTTAAATAAATAAGTGTGGTTTTTCTTCCAGATCTCTTTGGTAAAACAAAATAGTAGATATAGTCTCGAAATAAAGCAATTAGCTAAATACAAAACCAGATATTTTTTAATTCATCTTTAAAATTCCCATGCATTCGCCGACTACTGAAAAATTCAATTGAAGTTGATTGGATGAAAATGAAAAAAAAAATATAGGAGACATCCGGATTTGAACCGGAGACCCTTCGATCTGCAGTCGAACGCTCTACCACTGAGCTATATCTCCGCATGATAGATGACGGTTCAAATTCATTCGAGTGCTTACGATTCAAATGATCAACGCATTTTAAGCATCGCAAAGCCGAAGAAGTCATTGTACGTATACAAAATACTTTATTACATATGTTAAAACTCTTCAGCAGCAACTAAATAATGAACAAATAACGAGTGCATATCATGTACACGAATCATGCTCAAATGATTTATCAATAGAAACGCTTATGAATGGGTTCATTTTAAAATGAACTAACGATATGACATTAAATGAATCAAACTACGATTGAAATATTCTTTATTTCGTTTATAAAAGTGTAATTTAAATACGATTTCTTCCAAGTTTTAAAATCGTTCATTTTTATTCTGAAATACAGAGGAAGAAATAGAAATTGCTTTGTTGAAATTGTACCTGTATGACACAGAAGTACTTAAGGAAGCATTTATGAAAAGTACACTGTATTGGTATTTCTCAAACTTCTAACTCGAATACGTTGCCTGTACATTGATTATTGTTGCTATAGAATGATGAAATAGGACTTTCTGTGTATTGAACAATTTCACGCGTCGTGATTGGTTAAACATCGTCACATGATAGGCCGACATCGGTCGTTTGGTTGAAAATTCGCCCTTGGTATGACACTCGTCTTTTGAAAGCGGTTGTGTAAAGTCATATCCAAGCAAGTAAGTTATAGAATAATTTCGAGAAAATTTTCCTCCAATTTCATTTGGAGTTAATTAAAAAAAAAACAACATATAAACAGAAAACATTTAATTTTTCGAGCAAACCTATACTTCAAATACAATAAATAAGTATAAAATATAATTTTTGCTAGAAAAAACTAAAAATCAAATTTATCTTGCTGTTGTGTAATTTGAAAAGATTTTGGAAAAATCAACGTGCAAAAATGATTTCGAAACCAAATTTGATAGCAACTTTATTGATTGCCCTTAAAATTCCCCATTATCGCATGAAATTAATGAAAAAGTTCTATTTTCTCAGTGTTCATAATTTTCATTCTTTGAAAAGAGCAAGAACATGGTGTATCTTAAGCAATATATATTCTATAGAATTCGATTGAAACGTATTTGATAAAATTTCAAAACAAATCAATTTAAAATCTTTTGCTTGAAAAAATGTTGATAAAATTCGGTAAATTCGGTAAATTCGGTGATTTTGTGAATGTGATAATGTGAAGAACTTCTTGTATAAGAACGTGCGTTAGCGTATGATTGCACAACAATTTAACCTTCAATGACCTTGCTATCATTTTTGTTGCGAACAACTTGCAGCGCACATAATACGTGCGCCGTTCTCGCATGAAAAATGAATTTATTTAATTTTCCAAATTAAAGCGTCCATAGTGTGCACAATTATCTCATACTTTTCGATATTTTTTTTTTTTTTGTTATTGCAGAAAAACATTCACCATGTCGAAAATCGGAATCAATGGTTTTGGCCGTATTGGTCGTCTCGTGCTTCGTGCTGCTGTTGAAAAGGGAGCCGAAGTTGTTGCCGTAAACGATCCATTCATTGGCGTTGATTACATGGTCTACTTGTTCAAGTATGACTCCACTCATGGTCGTTTCAAGGGTACCGTCACCGCCGAAGGTGGTTGCTTGGTTGTCAACGGTAAAAAAATTGTCGTTTTCTCCGAACGTGACCCGAAAGACATCAAATGGGCTTCAGCTGGAGCTGAATACGTTGTTGAATCAACTGGTGTATTCACCACCATCGACAAAGCTAGCGCTCATTTGGCTGGCGGCGCAAAGAAAGTTATTATCAGTGCCCCATCAGCCGACGCACCAATGTTCGTGTGCGGTGTCAATTTGGATGCATACGATCCAAAATACCAAGTCATCTCAAATGCTTCATGCACCACCAACTGCTTGGCACCATTGGCTAAAGTTGTCCACGACAACTTCGAAATTGTTGAAGGTTTGATGACTACAGTTCATGCTACAACTGCAACACAAAAAACTGTTGACGGTCCATCTGGTAAATTGTGGCGTGATGGTCGTGGTGCTGCACAAAATATCATTCCAGCCGCTACTGGTGCCGCCAAAGCTGTTGGCAAAGTTATCCCGTAAGTGATTTTTTTTTGTTTCAAATATTCAATGTGTAATCGTAATATTTGTTATCGATTCGTTCCATTTTCATTGCAGATCATTGAACGGAAAATTGACTGGTATGGCTTTCCGTGTCCCAACCGCCAATGTTTCGGTTGTCGATTTGACCTGCCGTCTTGGTAAACCAGCCAAATACGATGAAATCAAGCAAAAAATTAAGGAAGCCGCTGAAGGTCCACTTAAAGGTATTCTTGACTACACCGAAGATGAAGTCGTCTCATCGGACTTCATTGGATCAACCTATTCATCGGTATTTGATGCAAAGGCCGGAATTCAATTGTCTGACACCTTCGTCAAGCTCATTTCATGGTACGACAACGAATACGGTTACTCCAACCGTGTTGTCGACCTCATCAAATACATTCAAACCAAAGATTAAATTTTCAATTTAGTTGAGACTCTCAGAATGTAATGGATGAATATCAATAAAAAAAAAACCAAAATGATGAAATAAAGAACAAAGTTCTCAAATTAAATGGCATACACGGAGTCTTTTTATTTCTCACATATACATAGTTCATTTCCTCCTTTATTATTCTATTAGTTCCAATTAGATTGGTAAACAGTAGTTCTTGTTTTTCATGTGTTACTTTCATAATCTCACAGGAGAATAATGAATGTGGTGAAAATTTTTCTTCGTCTGTGGTAAGTTTTGGTTCTACACAAGTCTACACATATGTGAGCAAAGGTAAATGTGAGTAAATATATTCCAAATTATTTTTTTAAAAGTAATGATATTTTATGTATTTTGTTAATATTTTTCATAAAAATCGAAAATTCTCTCTAGAGAAGTTGAAAACTTTGTTGAAAAAGTGAATTTGAAAAAAAAATGTTGGTCGCATTGAACAGAATTGAAATAAAGGTGATAACAGAAAATTGCGATGACGTTTACTTCAAAACGAAATGTCAACTACTTTATTGTGTGCTTCTATTTTGCTTTGTTGTATTGAGCGTTTTGTTTGTCAAATTTTTCTCATTGTATTATTGTTTATCAAAGAGCAATCAATTTTTGCCCTAAAATTTTTTTTTATCGATTCAATTGATGAACTCATTTAAAATTCTTCGTTTTTAAAATTTGAAATTAAAATTTGTGTCTGTAATATTTTTATGTGAGAAAAATTTTCGAAAACAATTAAAAATTAAGAAAAATAGAAGCGTAACAATTCCAGATAATCGAAACTGGCAAAAAATTGGCAGCTAATCTCAATTGAGAAAGCGAAAAAAATACATTTTCGGTGTGAAATTGTTATTATAAAGCAGGAAAAATTGATCGACTCGGAGATTTATACGCAAATGTGCTTAGAAGAATGGATCTGGCTTTTGAAAATTATTTAGCCCAAGACAGTAGTTCAATCGAACCCGATGACATACCAAAAACCAATAATCCCGTGTGGATTCTCGGCCGAAAATATAATGCAATCCAAGGTAAATTATAAAAAAGGTAATTTAACCGAATCGATTTTGTGTAATATTATGTATTGTTTATTGTGAAATTAGAGCTTGAACTTATCAGACGAGATGTTCAATCACGAGTATGGTGCACGTATCGAAAAGGTTTTGTTCCACTCGGAAGACCCCAGTTAACAACTGACAAAGGGTGGGGCTGCATGCTGCGATGTGGACAGATGTTACTTGCACAGTCCCTTCTAGAATTGCATTTAGGTAGAGATTGGTTTTGGCACAGTGAAACAAGGTATAGAAAATGTTAATGAAAACGCTCCAAATTGCAACAATAATATCAATGATATTTTTTGCACAGAGATCCCACCTATTTAAAGATTGTAAACAGATTTGAAGACAGTAGAAAGAGTCCGTTTTCGATACATCAAATTGCGATGATGGGTGATTCAGAAGATAAACGTGTAGGTGAATGGTTTGGACCCAATACAGTTGCACAGGTTCTCAAGTATGTATCAGAAATGCTCCATTGTTTTTTATGTACTTTTCTTACAATTGACATAATCATATTATTTTTATTGCTTAGAAAATTGGTTAAATACGATGATTGGTGCAGTTTGACAATACACGTGGCAATGGATAATAACGTTGTTATTCAAGAAATAAGTATGTTTTAATCATATTTTTCTTACCTTTCTCTTCAATTCTGCACAATATCATTCACAACATATTACAATGTTGCAATCTGATTTGCACATTAAACATTTAATGAATTTTGAGTATTTAAAATATGGATGGTATTATGTTTTGTAATTGTAACGATTGAAACTTTCTATTTTCATGAAAAAAATTCAATGTACTGTCCCAGTTAAATTATGTGAAAAAGGCGACACATGGAAACCATTACTTTTGATCATTCCGCTACGTCTTGGACTGAGTGAAGTAAATCCAATCTATATAAATGGTTTAAAGAAAAGCTTTGAAATTCCCGGCACAGTTGGTCTTATTGGTGGCAAGCCAAATCAAGCCCATTATTTCATTGGTTACGTTGGTGACGAAGCACTATATTTGGACCCACATACAACACAAAAGGTATAAAATTCATAATTGTATTTATTAAATACGAAATGATTCGAAGACAAGTTTTAAATTTATTTCCAGTGTGGCAGTGTTAAAGATAAATTGACAGCAAGCGAAATGGAAATTGACGAAACGTATCATCAAAAATTTGCGGCTCGCATAAACTTTGAGAAAATGGATCCTTCATTAGCTCTGTGTTTTATATGCAAGACACGGACCGAATTTGATGAGTTATGTGCAAGACTTAAGAGTGACATCATTAGCACCGGTAGTCAACCATTATTTGAAATAACCGAAACAAGTCAAACACCGTGGCGTTCATGTCCGTCTACAACAACTTCACAATCGCAACATTTTCCGCGAACTGACTTGACATCAAATTCAATTGGTAACTATAAAACATCTTAACTAACTATGAGTCATTATCTCAATTTACAACTGTTTTCATTTTTCAGCGTCTGATTCAACGTCGAAGCATAACACAGACGATTCAGAAGAAGATTTCGAGTTTATATTATGAAAAGTAATTTGTAACATATTATGGATTATTAAAAATTGTTGTCAATTTTTGTTTTTTTTTTGTAATGAAATTTCTTTTAAAAAAAATCAAGTACAACGACTTGTCACCACATTTGTTGCATTCTTTTTTATGGATACGATGTTTAATCCATTTCTATGTTTTGTTAACATTCAGATATGTTAATGAAATCGCCAAATGTTCTATGGTGTAGTCACAATCACTTGTAACTTTTTATCGTCAAGAATAAATTATTAATAGCATCAAAATAATTCGTCAATTATTTCAAATAAAAATCGTTAATTTATTGAAATATGAAAAAATGATATTTCAGTCAATTTATAATAAACATTTTACACGCTTCTCAATGTTTCTCAATTTTTCTCCCATAAAAATAGTGCAAACACAAATTTTAAAAACGAAAAATTTTAAATGAGTACATCAATTGAACGTATATGTGACAAATAAAAAGATTCCGTTTATACCATTTAACCCTCTAGTGCATAGCCCTGCCTTTAGGCAGGGTGTATAAATTATTGTCTAAAATATATAATTAAAACAAATGATTCTATTTATGAATTAAATATATATTAATATATTCAGCAGGGTTCAGGCTTTCATTTGCCGGTCATTTGACAATAGAACATAAAGCGGCTGTTTAATTCTAGGGGCTTAATTCAAAATTTTCAACGACTGAATTCTATAATAATATCTAAATTAACTGAATTTTTCTGCAAACGAATGAATTCCGGTGAATTCTACGGCGATTTCATTCAAATATGTGAGATAGTGGTGAATAGTTTCTGCTGGCAATTACTGCAATATTTATATTTTGTGTAACAAAATTGTAAATGTTTTTTATATTTTTTTTAATAAAAATTAATTTTATTTTCAATTTTGAGCGATTTTCTATCGAGAACAATCGGAAATATTTAAAAAATAATAAATTAAAAAATATTGCGGTTATCATAACCTCACTTTATTAATTTGACACATTTCATTCTATTCACACGAATTCACCGAACTCATCAATAACCACTCGATTCAAAAGTGTGAATTTACGTGAATTCCTGTGAATTTTTTTGCCGTATTAAGCCCCTAGGTTTAATTATACACACAGATGTACGCGAAAACAGAAATTTGTCAAAAAAATTATTCCTCTCTTCGTTTATAGCAATTTTATAGCAGTTTAAACAATGGATTCGATTGTTCTCTAATTTTGTCAATAGCATTTTTTGAGTAAACTATGAAATTTTTTGAATTTCGATTATTTTTTTAAGGAATTTTAAACCAAAATAATCATAGAAAAATAGTTCTCATGTCGAAAAAAAATTAATGCATTAGAGGGTTAAATTAAGAATTCTGTTCTTTATTTGACCATTTGATGCAATAAATTCCAATAATCTCATCTAATATACGCCCAATTGACACGGCAGTTCGCACGAGTAATAAATGAAATATGAATTTAATATGAAATTTTTCAAACGCTGAATTTTTCGATCGGTCGATTTCGACGTTTTAAACATCGTTGGAAAGGTATTGACCTCTTGAATCAGAATATAGATTTTTCGGGGATCAACGTCATCATTTGGCGATATCTTTGCTCGTAAAACTAAATTTTGAAGCCATATTTTGGAGACAACTGCACCGATTTTCAAACTTCAATATTTTTTCCTAGGGGGTAATCGCGAATTTTTATTCACCAAAATTTAATTTTATTCTCAAAATCTGATTAAAACTCAAATATCTCAAAGTATTCTGGTCCATCCTGCGGATCCACCAAAACCCGCTTCCAGAACTGGGAGCAGTTCTGATGATCCTGAGGATTCACTAAAGCCCAATTCCAGAACAACTTTCAGATGAGAATATCTCACAATATCCCCCAAAAATATAAAGTTGCGTTCATATCTCTCGATATCTCTTGAATTCGTTGAAATCTCCTGAATTTGTTCATCTTTCTATATATTTAAAAGCGCGGTTACCCCCTAGATTTTTTCTTAGCCTATGGCCCATAGTCCATGGCTTTCCAAACATAAATCAATCGCGGAAAAAGGTCTTCTATATTAGGATGTGGAAATATAGTGAGTCCATTTTTTTTTTTTTTCAAGGGAAGCTTTCTCTGTGGTAAAATGAATTGGATTATTATTCCTGCAGGAGAAGCTCAAGGAGATGAGATTTTTTTGTTCTGTTATCAAAATGCAAGTCTTTCTTTTTCTTCAAACTTATTTATTTTATATTTGTTTACAATAATTCAATATTCGAAACGGTGCTTTTTCTATTTAAAAGAAATTAAAAAAGATAATAATAATAATAAAAATTTCTCTTCTATTAAAAAAATACGAAAAAATTCTCGAATATTCGGGAAAACGTTTGTTGGAGAAATGTTCCGACATTCATTTAAAATTTGTTACATTTTTGCTCTCATTGTATTTGGTTCGTATGAAACAAACTGGCACTAACATAAAACAAATCCGCTTAATACTATTAGTAGAGGAAAATGTTGATGATTAACTGTGATATTTTCGTCATTTTGAATTTTCATTTCTAAGAGTTGAGTTTGGATCGGTACATATTTTAAAATCAACAATTTCGATTAAAATTACTCATTACCTCCGGAGAACATCATTTATTTCAAGCTTTTTAATGGGCACCTTTTTTTTACCGAGTGACTTAATGAGTGGTTCTTTTGGTAGTCTCCTTTCACTAATGATTAAACATTTCAATTTCGTCAAATTGCTTATATGCAAGAAATCATTGGCGTTAAATTGGTGTATATCTTCACGTGCAATGTACACCAATTCCTCAAGATTTGGTAGTCGCGTTTCGATATTTTGAAAAATGCAAGAAGATAATGACGATTTAATAACGGTTAGACTTTTTAATTGTGGATTTTTCTTTTGAAATTCAATGAACAATTCATCGTTTAAACCATCCGTTAGTAAGTACAGTTGTTCTAATTTCGGAAATTCATATTTAAGCCAATCGCAATTCTTAACTTTGACCTTAAATAACATCAATTCTTTCAATTTTGGGAAAGGCGAAAGTTTATTGATCGTACTAGAGTTTATTGATAGTTTCTCCAAAACCACGAACTGAGAACTTATTTCCATATCCAATTGCACATCGTTTGAACATGCAATTTCTAGCTGCAGTAAAGTTTTACTGCAATAATTAGTGATCATGTCAATATGCCCTAGACGGATATAATCAGAATGCGGTATTTCTTGAGATGTTGCAGTGTAGTTCAAATTGATCATGTTCAATTGATCACCAAATATTCTTAAAAAACTTGGTATACGCTTTGGAGGCACATCAGAAAAGCAAATATAATTATCAATGCTTAGTTTTTTAAAACACGCGAGTAAAGATTTTCTAGCGTTTTCTCGGAATTTTTTACACACTCCGGCAACATTCAAGAAATCAAGGTTGGTACACAAATGAGTGAAGATTTCTTGAATACAATGATCGTTGAGAATATCTAAAATATTATTTGGTCTTTGGTCATCTGTGGATATCGATTCTCCTACATTTGAATCCATTTCGGATTGTTTTATAACAATGGAATCGCTTAGAAGATAAGTGAGCTCAATTTTCTGAAGAAAGAAATAAAAAATTGACATGAGACAAAAAAAACTAGGAATCTAAAAGCTTTATTTGATCGGCAACCAATTTGTTTGATTATTTCAAAAAAATCGGACGGCCAGAAAATGAGGCTTAATTCAGCGAAATACTCACAAAGCCAGTGAAAAAAAAGAGTTTTTATGAATTCAGTCACAGTTCACAATTATTTTTAACTAAAAATATATATATCACTTATTTTGAATCCCATTCAGTTAAACTACTAATTTCATTATGCGCTTGCTCTACCTACGGTTTCACTTCTTTTATTCAGTCGTTTATGTTTAACTGCTTTATGACTTTTTTGCTCAGTATGTGTGTGTTATTGTGTTGAGTAGATGAATAGAACAAGGAAAATCTCTCCTTTTTATATGTATTAACTGTGATGCACTCATGATTCATGACTTAAGTTCAGTAGTGTAAGTGAGGCAGGTGATAGAAATGTTGCTCACTTTAATTCTACACCGGGAGGGATAGGTTTGAATGCATACAGGTGGTGACATTATGTGGCTGACATTCATTTTAAGGTTATGTTGTAATTCAACATATTTTGACATTTGAAATGAGGTGATATAGAGAGAACTGTTTTTTTTTTGCAATTCAAGTAAATAATAATAAATGTATATAAATATTTCGAAACTTTTGTTTAAATAAATAACATTTTAATATGTTGACCTGTTTTGATAATTTTCCATTGTATTTCTTTTGTAACAAAAAACTGATAAATACAACTGATTGCTTGGTTATTTTTATTTTTATTTTTAGAAAATGGGAGTTCGTGGTCTGACCAGTTATATAGCTAAAAATGCTGAACAATATTTGGATTCACATGAACTTCATGATTGCGATGTTGTCGTCGATGGTGACAGTTTGGCATGTCAATTATACAAATCCATAAATTCAGCATTCGGTGGAAATTATGATCAATTCTATCGAGTCGTGTGCAATTTTTTTGGCATGCTCAAACAATGTAATGTGACGGCATATGTACTTTTGGATGGGGGCTACGAGCCAAAAAAATTGTCAACCGTAAGACAACGGCTACGATCGAAAATCGGTGCAATCAAATACCTGAATCCATTCGAACAATCCACACCAACATTTCCGATTATGATGCGAGAAGTTTTTATTGAATCATTGGTACACTGTAATGTTAAATTTATGCGGTGTATATTTGAAGGTAAACTTAATTTAAATTTATCTAGAAAAAGTATATAAAATAATGCGAAGCCTTGCCTTTTTTAAATTTCTCTATCAAAGCTGATGATGAAGTTGCTGCACTAGCTCGCAAACTAAAATGTCCAGTCTTGAGTTTCGATTCGGATTTTTATATACATAACGTTATGTATATACCGTCGGCGTATTTGTCTTTGAAAGTTTTTCGTCGAAATATTTTGCCAGAGGATGGCAGAAAAGTTAGACAGCGTAAGGATTTAGTGTCTGAAATCGATTCGAATGGAGATTATAGTAATCATAAAAATACCCAGAAGAAAGACTGCTACTATTATATGCAATGTTGCGCTTATCAAATTGCCAATTTAGCGCGAGAAAAAGGTTTGTCCAAAGAGATGTTGCCATTGTTTGCGATACTTTTGGGCAATGATTATGTGCACACATCTATTTTCAAGAAATTCTATATGAATGTTAGTATGAAAAAGACGGGCAAAAATAACACGAAACAAGGAAAGCGGATTGTTGCATTGCTTAGGTGGTTACAACATGAAACCATGTCTTCGGCTATCGAGAAGATAATCAATCACGTTGAGAAAGACAAAAAAGAATGGTTACGAGACCAAATACGTGACGGCATATCGGGATATGTTAATGAGAAAAGCATGGCCTATGAATATTTTGGTCTAGAAAATACAGTCCGTGACTCAAAAGTCAAATTCACAACACCCACAGTTTGTCATAAAATGGCAGAAATCGAAACTGAAGCTAGTGTTGAGCGGGCACAGAATGACGACAGCGAATCCAATGGCGAACAATCTGACACTGATGACGATATCACCGATGATGATGATGATGATGAAAAAGAAGAAGAAGAAACACCATTAGACTTGGAAATTCAGATGAAACAACAAATGTCCTTATCGTCATCATTCAAACCACCGGAATGGCTCTTGAATAAAATTCTAAGCGGCAAGCTACCGCGATATGTTGTTGATTTGATAACACTCCGACTTTACATTAATACGCCGCAGGTGGATATTGGAACCAATTATTATAAACACAAAATAATTCATATTTTCCTTTGTTTAGGTTGAAAATTTTCAATTGGAAGATTGCAATCGAATATCAGTTCCAATTCTACAAATGATCTTCACCATCTTACATGCCAATTATCCATACCAGAAAGAATTTCGTTATCTAACCCGAGTGCAGCGTCGCACGGACATCGAATACAAACGATACAATTCATTGTGCCTTGATTTAAGATTCAATGCCAGCACAAGTAAAAATCACGAGTTTTTTAAACTGATTTTCAGAGATTTCGACAATTCGGAGCAGATTTTTAAAATGATCGATGAAACAATTCCGTCCGATATTCAACTTTTATTTGTTGCAATCATTTATTGGTCACGGTACTCAAAACATTTCAATGTTGTATATGTGAGCAGCTTGTTGTTGTGTCAGATTGTATTGGCTGTACACGATTCGATAGTAGAACCAATACGTGATCGCATTAAATTCGAGAAAAAATTTAAACCAAACGAAATTAAAAAGCTCATGAAGAGTCATCAAATGACTAAAGTCGAAAGCGGTAGCATGTCAATAGAGGCATGTAAAACGGCGATAACTCGCGACGAGGTTATTTTGGCGCAATTTAATTTTTTGGATTTGTTTACAATAAGCGACAAGCTGCGCACAAAGCATACCGAATTTTCAAGTGACATAATTCACGGATTTGCCGAATTTCAATCAATTGTCTACCAACTGAATTGTCTGAATGCATTGTGCGGTGAACCATATCCAAACATTAATATATCAACATGTATTAATGGGTGCTTTTTATTCCACACATATATGACGCTTAAGGAGAGGCCAAATATTCGATACTATGTCAAAAACTTTTTACTTTCATTATCACCGAATATTTTCAATTTATTCGAACTCGAGTTAAATGTTCTTATGCCATTCATTGAGTGCCTTTCACAAGAGAGCATTTCAAAGCGAAAGAAGCGCAGAAATATCAACAAACGAAAGTCAAGAGAACAGCGACAGAATAAAAGCAATGAAGATAACCAATTGTTGAATGATGGTGAGACGACAGAAAAACGAGACGATGGAGATGAAGAATCTGATTACGAAGACTTGAATAACAAATTTTCCTGTTTATCAACAGGAAAAAACTAGAATGAAAATTGTATAAAAAAAACCATTCGAATGTTATTTAACAAATAATAAAAATACTTTATTGATGTTATAAAAGTAAATTAATCTTGATTTGTTTCCATTTCCATTGGAGGGGCATCGTTTTCGTCTTCTTTTTGTGTGGTTTTGTCTTCGGTTTCTTTTTTCTGGAATTTGTTCACTTCAAATTTGGTAACATCCGCACCCAGCAATCTAAGCATGTGTATCGAATCATTCAAATCGATATATGCACGAAGTGATTTTCCTCCCTTCCAACCAACGACATTCAAAGTAAAACCGAATTCATTATCCTTGTACACAAGCAAACAACTGCCGGCTTCCACATCTTTCATGCGTTCTTTGGTTTGGTCGCTCATTGTGTCGAGTTGCGGTGGATTTTGTGGATTATTATGCTCCAACAATAAAATCAAATCCTCCTTCGAAACTTCAATACGCCGAGCATTTCCAATGACATTGCCGATGGCCTCCAATCCCTCGTTTGCAAGACGGAAATCACAATTTATATTCCGAGCATCGCAGCGAGCAAACACTTTAACGCCCGTATTTATGATTTTAATATGTTCTTCATTGGCTTGGACCAAATCTTTAACTGATTTAGAGCAAAAGTAAATGTTTTTCTTTTTTCCATTAACTGAACGTGTCAATAATTGGGCTGGACTGAATGCGGTCAATTTGGCAATATCGATGTCAAAATATGACTTGATCTCTCTCCATACTGGTTCATCTTCAGTGAAAAATACAAATGGATCTTCTTTGTAACCGTAAATTCGACGCTTTTTACGTTGTGGCCCCCATGGAACTCGTTTTTCTTCAACACCATTCGATGCATCGACTGTTTCAGCTGTTTCAGCTGTTGAAACTGTCGCCTCTTCATCGGGACTTATCATCGCCTCTTTTGATTTTCGTTCCCATGGCAACGGCCTTGTCTTTGTCAATGCAGCAACAAAAAATGCACCTAAATTAAACAATCGATTTTGATTACAAATTTAATAAGAGTACCACATTTTTAATTGATATGTACCTGTATTTTGGAAATGTGGTAAAAGTCTTATGCACTTCTCTAAACAATACTTTGGCGCTTCTTCAGCCGATGGTGGAAACATTTGTGGTCGAACAACTGTATGGAATTCTTTTGGAACTTCGTCAAAAGTTCGGTAAAACTCTTTACATTCTTTGCTGGACAATTCCCAATACGAGATTCCTGGAGCATATTTTAGACCCGGCAAAAGATCCGATGAATCAACCAATTCCAATGCACCTTCACTATCTTTGAGCAATCGATGCAATACAGCTTCATTTTCGACCGGATTCAGGCTACACGTTGAATACACCAAACGTCCACCAATTTCAAGCAATTCAGCACCACTAAATACACAAAATATTTATAATAAGTACTACAGACACATTTTTATAAAAATCTCTTTTATTACCGTCGTGCTATCCGATACTGAATGCCGTGCAAATTCAAGCCATGACCTAAATGCCATCTCTTCCAAATATCCTGCAAAAAACAATGTTATTAATCTATTTTTTTGGGATGTGGTAAAAAAAAGGTTTCCGTTGCACATAACTTCAATGGAATGTCATGCAATATGTAATAATAATACTCACGGGGTTCTTTCTAAGTGTGCCGTCACCGCTGCATGGCACATCACATAATATGCGATCAAATTTCAATGCGGTGCCTTCGGATGTTTCAAACGCTGGCATGCATGCGCTGTCTTGATTGATAACGACAAAACACGGAGAATTTAGTCGTTTTGCTTGATGAACCAACATATAACATCTATTGTTATCAACATCATTGGCAATCACAAAACCAGATGGTATCGGATTGTTTTCATCGGCATGAAGTGCTTCAATAAGTTGAGCTGTTTTTGATCCTATTGTGATGTTGAATTGAAAATTTGTTAGCCATCACCAAAATCTGAGTGGCATTTCATGAGCATACAAACCTGGTGCAGCACACATGTCCAAAACCTTATGATGTGGCTTCACATCCAGTACAATCGGTGGGATCATGCTCACGGCTTCCTGTCTGTTCAAAATTGTTTAGATAATCTTTTAATGGAAATAAATGTAATTCGTTAAATTACCGACTGATGCTGCCAGCTGTTGTTTCGGCAATTAAAAAGTTGTGCAATTTGTAATGTGACTCAGTTCGTCGAATGTCTTTTCGTGAGAGTTCCAATTGGTATGCCATTTTGCCGGGATACCATTCGAGAACGATGGGACTTTTTTGTTCATGTGTTGAATCCGAAATATATTTGGTAAAAAAGTCATTTTCAATCAAATCAAGTAGCTTCTTAGCTGTATTTCGTGAAGCACTAATACGAAATGTTACAGGCAGATCCGATTGGAGTGTTTTAATGAAATCGTCCCATTCATTTTCCGGACAGATTTTAACATGTTTATAGTAACGATCAAACGTTTCACTTTCCTTGACCAAATTTTCATACGGTTTATCTGCACGGACTACATTTTCCTTGCCCTGTTTCTTATCGCGTCTTTTCTGTGCAAAACGATTTCGCTTGTATCCACGACCCATGATTAAATAAAAACTTTGAAAAAATGTCTTTTTTTTTTGCTACTTTTCAAAACACGTGTGTTAAACGATTGCTTCTCTTGAAATGTTTTATTGACATTTCAGACGTCAACTTGAGCAATATATACGCTTGAGTACTCTTCTGTACTTCAGTACTTTACTTTCTAATTCTGTCAAGTAAATGAAAGAGATAAAGAAAAGGAAGATTTAAAAAAAAAAATTGTAAAAAAGTAAAAGAACTTTTTATTTCAAAAGACCTAATTTCATTCGTTAATTTTTAATTGGAATAAAAGATGATGAAGAATTCAAGTTGAATGTAGTATTTGTTTGAATTTTTATTAAAATAAAAAGTTACATTGTATGTGTGTGCTTATTTGTTTATTTTTCTTTACACATCGTGACTAATTAGGGGAGTATCATATGTTTTTGCATCTGAACAAGGAAATAGCCAATAAGCTGGATGCATGTGTCCAAAAACATTTGCTAAAAGTATGAATTTGTGATTTGCCATACGATAGCCGCTTCGAAACTGTAGAGCTTCGATCGGCGTTTCATCGTAAAATATTGCGTGCAATTGATCAATCATTATAGCCACTACAAATAGTCCAAACAGTGAACTTTCCAGCAACAACAACACTGAATGTAGCCTGTACGAAGAAATAACGAGAAAGAATATTTGTAAATTGATTGCAGTTTGATAACAAAATTATTACTCACATTCTTGATTGAGTTTCCGATAAATCTGTGGAACATGTGTCACCAATGCAAGGATAAATCCAAGATATTATCACAAGAGATACCGAATAAATTGACAATATGCAAACGTAAACCAAAAATTGTAAAAAATATTTTTGATTTCGTTCGCCAACACAATTCTGTGGAGTGAAAGTATACCAAAAAAAAAATTGAATTAATGATAACGTTCATGAATTATTGGCAATGTTTATGTTGATTGAAAATGTCACTTACATTAATCCATGGACAATGATGGTCCATCTACACTCGAGGAGAGAGAGAGAGAGAGAGAGAGAGAAATTATGAGCATATGATTCAAAACCTTTTATTGCCAGTGTATACCTTTTTCACACAACGTTTACAAATGCGACAGTGGTGCGCACGAGGCGGTCGATATGTCTCGCATCTTGTACACACGGTCCATTCTTCGTCGGACATTGGCTTGTTGCGAGCAGCATGAAGGTCGGAAAAGTCAAGCCGAGCAATCGGCACTAGGCCGGGGTCGCAAAACACGGCTTTCAAATGTGCGATTGTCAAAAAGAAGATAACCGTATTAAATAAAACAACATTTACTGGACCCCATATACTGTTTTGCATGGAATAAACAATAATCCACTGTGTGACAACATAGTCAGCATAAAGAATTGCAAAATAAGTAACTAAAATGCACACTATTCCGCAAGGATCTTTTATGAAGCTCATCCTTTTCCTGAATTCGTACACACATTCAACGTCGAATTTTTATCGATTTTTCATGTACATTGTCACAATTGAAACTTGAAATATTATAAACTATGCAAATATTCTTATCAACATATTTATTTATCGCCCCCTTTTCACATATATATTCAATTTAATTCATAACTGTTTTTAGTGGGAAAAAAGTGTTTTAATTTTATTTATAAACAAATAATGCACTTTGAAGTCCTGTCCGGCATTAAAAAACAATTCGTGTCATAGAACATACCCCTTCCAGTCAAGCTAAACATCAGTACTTTAAACATGGATACTTACAGATATGTGACACATAAAATATTGATTGTTATTAGGTTAATATAGAAAAAAAAAATATTTTTTTATGGCATAAAAGTATTTTGTTTTATCTTCTTTTTATTATGGGCAAGCGATATGCATAAAATTCAAACTCTGCTTAATTTCAAATATCGTTTTCAATACTTTAATGTTCATTCTGTCAAACATACTTACTTTCAAAATTCAGTTCAATGGTCATAAAAAGAGATAATCAAAATTCATTGTCATGTAGTTTATTAGTCATCTACTGATATTATTTGGACGAAAAGATATTTTTTTAATCAATTTCAGAAGAATAATTTTCCTATTTGTTGTATCTTATTCATTTAGTACATAGTGTTTTGCCTATTCTCGATAACATAAAAATACTCAAAAGGAATTTTTACTTTCTTGAGAAAATATTCATAAGAAGAAAAAAACAAGTTTGAAGTAACAAAGAGAAATCTAATCAAAACAAAAAAAAATGTTTTCCTTGTTCGGATCGACAACTCCCTTTGATGCTGATGTTGGTATGTGTTTATTGTTTACAGTATTTATTACGCTGCAATTTAAAACATCGAGAAATTACTATCAAATATTTATCAATTTTTTTCACATCGAGTATTTAATTAAATTTGACATAAGTGAAACCATCTAAATGCATTTTTGTATGTTTCTCACTTTTAATTTTCACAGATAAGGCAACTAGCGAAAACAATACAACGGAACAATGGGATGTAATCATAGACATTTGCGATAAAGCTGGAGCAAATCCAAAAAATGCAAAAGATTGCATTCGTTCAATAATGAAGCGAATGGGCCACAATGATCCACATGTCGCAATTCAAGCAATTACTGTACGGCTACTTCATCAAAGCATATATTTTCTTTTTACCAATTTAATGAATATTTTGTGAAATTTTCAGTTATTGGATGCATGCATTAAAAATTGTGGCCGGACATTTCATTTAGAAATAGCGTCGAGAGATTTCGAAACTGAGTTTCAGCGATTGATGGCCAAGGCTATCCCATCTGTTGCGCAGAAAATGAGAATTTCATTGAAAAAATGGGCCGAAAACGAGTTTAAAATGGATCCACAACTCAATTTAATACCTTCACTATATCAAAAATTGAAGAGTGAAGGTGCTGATTTCAGTGATACTACGATTGAAACACCAAAACCGGTGGTTAGCAAAGATCCAAATGTTGTAAGCAGCCAACAAGAAGAGGATGATATTGCCAAAGCAATTGAACTGTCATTGAAAGAAAAGAATGAAGGTGTCAAAACTACAACCGCCGCATCTGCGTCGTCGTCATCGTCATTTGTATGACAATTGATTAGATACATACCAAAGACCAAAGATTAATTTCACGTTTTTTTTTCTCTATTACACAGCTGTCGCTTTATCCAAGTATGAACGAAAGTGCAAAAAGTTCACCAAAACATCAGCAGAAAAAAGACGGCCGAAAGGTGCGCGCTTTGTATGATTTTGAGGCGGCTGAAGACAATGAATTAACATTTTTTTCGGGTGAAATAATCTATGTGTTGGATGATTCCGATTCAAATTGGTGGACGGGTTATAATGACCGTGGCGAAGGTTTATTTCCATCGAATTTTGTTACAGCTGATTTAAATGCCGATTTAGATACAAATCGATATGACACAAAAACCAATGATGTCAAATCGAACATTAAAACGGAAGAACATAAAACAGAAGAAATACAAATCGATGAAATGAAAATCGATCGTTTATTACACTTGCTGCATGAAGCTAACCCCGAAGATCCGTCTCAAGTAATATACTCAATGATATCATTTGTATGATACATCCATGCTTATGTTTAAAATTTAAATTTATTTTAGGATCCAGAAGAAATGTTTATTTTGGAGGCACAAGTAAATCAAATGTTGCCACTCATTGATAGTGAATTGGAGCGTGTCGATCGGAATCACGCAAAACTGACACAGCTGAGCACAAGTTTAGTCGAAGCAATTAATATGTATCATATGCTAATGCGAGAATCTGATATACAAGCCCAATTTCCACCGCAATTACTACGACATCCTGGTCCAATTTTACCGAATGGAATGTACAATCCTCAATTCTACTCTCAAATGGGTATATTAAAAATGTCATTGTATTGAATTACAATTTTATCGCTAACTTTGTTATTTCATAAATTTTATCATCTAGGGGGTCAATATCTGAATCATTCGGGTTCAATGCCACACCAGTCATTGCCTCAGTATCAACCAAATCAACCGGAAGGCAATACACATCAATCATTACATCATATGCAACCCGTATCTCAACCGTTCGTAAATCAGTACCAGCCAGCAAATGATCACCATATTCAACAAGCGCCTGGAATGATTTCACATTTCAATCAGGTTCCAAATATGACAGGTGTACCACCAAACATCCCACAACAGCCAAACACTCATTCTATGATGCCAATGCATTTTCAACAAAGCATTGCTGTAGACGGAGCACATTTAAACAACCAACACCCAATTCCGGTCGTTGAATCCACACAATATCAACCGAATACTGTAATGACAACACAAGTGCAACAGCAAGGCATTCCACTACCTGTCATGGTCCACCATTCATCTCCAAATCAACAAATTAATCCAAACACAATAAATCAACCGGTTTCGTCAACTATTTTACCACAGCAGCCCAACATTCCTGTTTTTCAGCAACAGCGATAGAATATTGGTTTAGACTTTTGTCAAAAAAAAACACTTGGAAAGTCGAGATTTTAAAACAAAATTATGTTATTACGAATATGAAAAAAATAGATAAGAAATGACACCATAAACATTATTGAAACAATTTATTTTATTCTATATTACACATTCAGCTATTCAAACTTTATGTAAATATATATATTTATGGTTTTTATTAAAGCAATGCTAAAGCCATATGCCTTATTCATTATTTTTTCGTTTTAAATCGACGGGTGTTGTGATTAAACCAAGAATGAAGAGACAAACAATTCTTCTTTTTGTTTCGACTTTTGCATATTTATCAAACACAAAATATCAATTTCTACGTTTGAATCCGCTAATAGAATGGCTATCCAATTTATGAAATCAACAATTTTGCGCTACTTTTTTTTATTCATTGATTTGTTGCGGAATTACAGACAGCAAAAAAAGCACTGCAGAATTTCGAATATTGAATATAGAGAGTGTACAAGAAAATATCAGCCGACGCTATACGCAAAACCGACTGGTACGTGCACTCATACGTTTTTAAATCTTTTACATCTAGTGACCATATGATTTTTCGACTGATTCGTTATTCTTTGTGCGTATCTGCGCACAGTCGAAAAATGATGTAAAAGATGTAAAAACGTATGAGCGCACGTACCAGTCGGTTTTGCGTATAGCGTTGGCTGATATTTTCTTTCTGTGTAGCTGCTGTGACACACAGGGAGAGACAGCAAAGTTGTTTGTAGTAATTCCGTAATTTAATAATTAAAATGTAGAATTTCAATGCCATAATTTAACATTTTTGTGGATCTTTGTTGCTGTATCCACAATTTAAGTTTTTGAATGAAAGATAAAAGAATCTCACTAGCAGCAACAGAACACTTCTTCAAAGACTCTTTTGAATACTTTTATGTTTGCATGACTTTCAAGTAAAGAAAATGGATAAGTAATTGATTTACTAGAACAGGAAAATGGAGCATAGGAACATAAGCATAGAGCATTTATATACCGAAACAAAATACCTAGGGGCAGAGCAGTACTAGAATAATCATTTTTATTTAAAGTAATTCTATGTTGTGAGTAGTATCCGAAATATACGACGATCGCTTTATTCCTAACAAATGTAATACACAACGTACACATGAAACGTCATTGAACTGCTGTTAGAATTTACACAAGTGTGTATTACTGCGGATTAATATGGATTACTACTCACAACATAGAATTACTTTAAACAAAAATTATTATTCTAGTACTGCTCTAGCAAAATACACGGCGCCGCAAAACGAATTAACTTTTATTCAAGTGATCTGAATTGTTGAACAAGTTCCTAAATAAAATAATTTGTTGATTGATTCGCTAGAGGAAAAGTTAAAAAAATTCTCGATTTTATTTGAAAATTTATAATTGCCTTTCATTTGAACAGTAAAAATATGTGATTTAAACACAATTTCATTGAAATGCAGACACTACTTTTGTTATGCATAAAAACCATCTGTAAACAAAGTCAACGACTACAAATAGAGTGCAATCAATGCATTTTTACTGCAATCAGTTCATAGCTTGCAAATTTTGGTGTCATCATGAAAATTAATTTGTGTCAGTCGATCAGTTGTAATTCAATCGTCATGTTGACCATTGTTATTTGCTAAGTAAAAAGTCTTAAAATTGTGTGTTTTTTCCTATTATTTTAGATAAGAAACAAACATACCGTGTGTAACATACTACAAAAGGAAAAAAAAAGTTTTTGGAATAAAGAACAAAATCAGCATGATGTTGCTATTTTAAACAATGAATTCAATGAAAGTTCAAAGATAAAATTAAAAAATTTCTAAAGCGATCACACTGTATACTGTTGTTATTTGAGAATGTGTACTTTAAACACTGTTTAAGTCCGAGTCTGTGCCGAATTTTTTTTATCTATATTCCTCTTGATAAGAAGCGATAATAGTAATTTTGACAATGGTATGTGATTAATGACGTGCAATTTGCAGCCGATAGTTCGATTATCACCCCAATTTGGTGATGTGAATGCCCAACAATGTAAATCATCCTAAAAAAGTAGTAAAATAGTATTGATAGTGTCGAAAGGGTAACGGTCACGGTTATCAGAAACAGAGCATATTCCAAATTATAATGGTGATGTGGAAAAAAAAATCAAACTCAGTTTATTGACAACATTCTATAGGAAGAGACCTATCGAGTGATTTTAAAAATGGCTAAATTTCATAGCATTCTGTCAATGTGTTTTTTTCTGTCAAGTTTAAACCATTTTAATTGTGAAAATACAAGAAGTTTTTTCTTAGACTTCGAACAAATAAAATATGATCTTTTCCTTCAAAGTTATACTAAATTGTCACAAAATTATAGCGAATCAGTTAATGTAAAAAATAAGTGTTTAAATGAATTGAAGGCGATTCAAAATGGGTTGATTAGTCGAGAGCAATGGGCATTAGAAAGTAATATTTACTTTAAATTCTCTGTTGGTCGAAATTCTATAATGTTTTAATTTGATTTTATTAGTTGTGGATTCGTGGGGCAAAATACCGTCCGGAGTGTTCAGTGGTAATACGCATGATTTTGGCTCATTTTCACAATGTTTGAAAATTAGACATAATGACAAAGTGTACGAAACACAATATTGCTTGGGTCGCTTATTTTACGATGTTGAAGAGAAAATTGCATCAAAACTATATCGATATCCCATTAATAATGTCATTTTTCCGGATATGGTACATGTGAATGATTTGCCAAGGTAAAAAAATATACAGAGATCATTTCTCAGAGCAATGACTATGTGAGGAGGAGCGCTCAGTGAGGAGAAAAAATATTAAAAGTTACTAAAATAATAAAAAATTGATAATATTAAGATTTTAGAAATCAGCTCTGATTGGACTAAGAAACAGTCTCTGAAAATATCTGACATGAGCTCGAATCGAATTGAACATTTTTCATAAATATTCTTTAGTATCTTCTAGTATGCTCTAATTTTATACGTTAAAATTCGTGTCTATCCACTAGCGTTCTCGTTAAATTCATTTTTACATTCTGAATCGTATATTTATGTATCGTTCAAAAGTCTTAATCGATTTTAATTGATCTTTATATAGCCTTGACCCGCGGAGACCTTTCATAACTTTCGGCGCATGTATGCCAGCCGCATGTTCGTTTGAAATGTTTGAACAAATCGTCAACGATTTAATTCCAAATCACCCAAACAACTTTTCCATTGAATTACCCAATGATGTATGTCAAACGGCAAACAACGATCCGGATCTAACAACTAAAGAGAAAACCACACTGTAAGATTCTAAGCATTTATACATTTTTCATTAGACCATTTAATTTCATTTAATTTAAACATTTTCATCCATAGAGGTTTATTGATGGTAATATTTGGCTTGGTATTGTTGAGCACTGGCTATGATATTTTGTGTTCCATTTATAATCGTATGTAGTTTTATCACATTATTTTTCCGACTTTTATGATAATTCAACACCTTCGTATATTTAATGTATAGGTAAAAAATCTCAAGTGCTGCTAGCATTCTCTTTTTACACAAATGGGAAAAAACTGTTTTCTTTAAATGAAGAAAACACATCAGAAACAATTCAATGTTTACACGGAATTCGCGTCCTATCGACACAGGTAAAAAATGGAAAATTTTACAATCTCAAGACATTTTGAAAATCAAATGAACCGGCTTTTCATGAATATGAATTTCGAAGACGCTAGTTATGCACATAGGTAAAAGTCGTAAGCAGATTCAGTGTTTTTTGAATGGAAAGGTGATAGAACAGGTTTTGCAATTCAAGTATTTGAATTGCATTTTCTCCGAAAATGGAAAATTCAATAAAGAATTTGAACAACGTAGTATGAATGGAAACAAAGCTGATGATTCATGGGTCAATCTTAAGACCAACAATTCTAAACGGTAGCGAGAGCTGGGTTGATTCAACTTATGAATGTGTTACGTATGATTTCGGGTATTTCTCGTAGAGATCAGTGGTACTATAGAATTAGAAATGAAAGAGTGCGTGAGGATTTGAATGTGGATTCGATTGATGAGGCTGCTAGAAAATCAAAACTAAGATGGTTTGGTCATGTTCAACGTATGAATAAAGTGCGATTGCCTAAGAAAATGTTGAATACTGAAGCGTCCGGGAAGTCTAGTGATTTAAATGAAAGCGGGTATGAATGAATTAGTTAGAGAAGAAGTGGCTCTCGATAGATTGTTCTGGAGAAGAAATGTTGTTAGAAGGAGATAGTGGCCACCATGCCGAAAAGATCAGACGCCGAAAGGCACTAATGGTCTATAAATATTTGTTATTGTTGTTGTTGAATTTCAAAGAATTTATGTATATTTTTATGACTTCATGATAAATATTTAAAAAAAATATTATTATTTATTATTATTACTATAGTGGGTCGTACTGTGTCATACATACGCTTTGTATTTAGTAATGCCGATCCAAAACAGGGTCGTACACGATGCAGTAAGTTTCTTCATTCAAATGTTATAAAACAGATTTAAATTAAAATTTTTATCTTTTTCAGTTTCTTTCAAAGTACAGTAACATGATGATTGTTTCGGGTTTTGTTGCGGTGGATACGTTCTTTGTGTTGAGTGGTCTTTTGGTTTCGATCGGCATACTAAAACATTTAGAAAAGTAAGCACATTTGATTTTCTTTTACCAATTTGTATGTTATAACATAAATTGATTTTGAATCTACAGAAAAGGGCGGTTAAACGTTCTACAGTTATATGTCCATCGGTATCTTCGTCTCACACCACTTTTGGCAATATCACTCCTAATCTCGGTGTCATTGTATCGATTTGGCGAAATTGGACCGTTATGGACTGCCATGATAGAAATGAACAAAAAACAATGTGAAAACTATTGGTGGTCGACTCTCTTATATGTCCAAAACTACGTGAATCCAGAAGAACTCGTGAGTGATAATTCAATACCTTCTTTCCTAATCAAAAACTACAATCGACGTTTTTTTGCAGTGTTTCGGTCATTCCTGGTACTTGAGTGTCGATATGCAGCTGTTTTTAATTTCACCGGCCATAGTTTATTTGATTTATCGTTTTAAATTGAAGGCCTTAATACCACTTACCCTGCTTCTGCTGGGCTGCATTTATTCCACTTTAGATGTTCACATAAAACATAATTTAACGACAATATTTGCGTAAATATTTGATTTTTTCAACACAAATTCAATTTTACATTTAACAAAAAATTTCTTTGGCCTTCTAGATTTGAGGGTAACAAATTCGAAATGGCATATATTCCAACACACATACGTATTTCATCGTGGCTTATTGGTGTCTTTACTGGATATTTACACTTTGAAACTCGCAATAGAAAGATTCAAATTCCAAAAGTACTGTTATTTAACTACTGTTTAAAAACCTTTTTCTAAAATTGATGCATTTTGATGTCCTTCTAGATGATCAATATTTGTGGCTGGGCGTTGTCTTTGGTTGCAATGATTTTAGTCATTTTCATAAATCATCCCCTGCAACAACAAGATAATAAGTTTTCTCCTCTAATATATGGGTTATATGATGCATTTAGTCGTATTGTTTGGTCGATTGCTTTATGCTACATCATTTTTGCCTGTGTTCATGGCTCCGGAAGTATCGTCAATCGCTTTTTATCACATCCACTTTGGCAACCTCTTTCAAGAATGTCTTATTCCATTTATTTGCTTCATTTTGTGGTTATTGGAAACGTAATGGGCACACAACGAACTCCACCATATTTTACTGAAACTGCGGCTGTAAGCTAATAACTAAATGCAAAGCAAATGTTTTTTTCGTATTTAATCTTGTATTCATTTATAATTTCAGTTCAACACTTTTATAGTGAATTATGTGATGACAATCTTTGTATCGATCATTGGAACCCTTACTTTTGAATCACCGATCATTGTATTTGAGAAAATACTCTTCAATTCTTCAAAGAAAAAGATCACCATATCCACAGATATTCGAAATGGAATTCAACAAACTGACGAGAATAATAACATTGAAAGTAGCAAAAAATATCAATGATTGATGACATCAATTGCCAAACATTTTATTTTGAGTAGTTTTTTATAAAATAATTGTACAATGAGCATATAAATATATTACTTCGTTTATTTATAAATTATAAAATTAATAGATATTTGTTTTGTTATTTAAACCCCTCTCTCAATCAGTAACGTTATAATAATCTATTATTTTAACTAAAAATCACGATCGTACGTGTGATGAAACATATTCATGTTTGAAATCAGCAAGCAGTATGAGCAGTTATACAGTCAACGGCCCAAAATATCATCAAAAACCGAAAAGTGGTTAAGAAAACGGATATATCTCAGTTCATTTCTATAGAAAGAGACTAATCGCGTGATTTTGAAAATGGCCAAATTTCATCGCATTCAATGTATTTGTATCTGTGATATTTAAACCGTTTTAATTGTGAAAAAAAAACCAAAACTTTTTTCTTCGAAGCCCAAAACAAATTAAATATGATCATTTCTTTCAAAGTTATTCCAAATTGTACGGAGTGGTTCAGTGGTAATACGAATGTTTTTTGCTCATTTTAACAGTGTTTGGAAATTAGACATAATGGCGAAGTGTTTGAAACACAAAATTGGGTAATTATTTTGGTTGTTAATTTCACGATGTTGGAAAGAAAATTGCATCAAAACTGTATCTCTATCCCACTAGCCATGCCATAGACTTCTTCTTTGTTCTCGTATTCGAGTGTTGAGAGAAATGAGCGATATTCTTCGGGCACATATATTAATAATTTTATTTCTGTGATCGTCGTACATTTTTGTGAGTCCAAAAAAGAAGTACATTTCGGAGTTTGTCGACGAATTTTGGCCGCATTTACTCACCTTTGTCATCCGTTACTATGGGTTTGATTTCAGAACAAATGTGAGAGACAAGTAGAATACCGAACGCAGGCGCGCTCTAATGGTTTTAATTTCAAAAGTATTTTTTTTTCTTTAATGATTTAACAAATGAAAACGCTGTAGACTAAATAAAAAGGTGAAGAATATATTCACATGAAGGATTGCTGTTGTAATGAATTCAAGAAGGAATAAAAAAATCATAGTAATTCGGGCAAAGGTAATCAAATCTACTATGTATTTATTCAATTTTTTTACTAGCAAAAAACAATTCCAAAAAATGCTTACGATGTTGGGTGATGAGTTACTGCCACAAATGTGCAATATTCGTCTTTGACCAATACATCAGAAGCAACATTACCGATAATTTCAATGGAATTTATGTCGTCAGATAAATATTCCGATGAATCACTGTTGCTCAATGCATGCGTTTTAAACGCCCTAATTACGCTTTGTGTCAGAGTTTTTCCATCACTCGTTTGGATTGGAGAAGAAACGAAATTTCCGGCAACGTGAATTCGTTCGCCAGGTGTAATATTTGATACAAACTTCGTGAGGACATTATGAATAGTACTATAATAGAAGAAGTAAATTGTGATCAATTTGGTGACAAGCACAATTTTGGAAGAATAATACGTATCAAAATTATCCTTATATAAATAATCATAACAAAACATGAAAAAAGTTGGAAGGTAACTTGTACTATTTTGAATCTGACTCCATTGTTTTGATTAAAAGTGAATAGGTTCCACTTTTGAGAATGTAGGGTTCTTGAGTCAATGTTCCAACTATTCTTACTTCATTAATATCTGCAGAGAAATTACCGCATTGGTCATTTATTTTTAAATTTCAAATATAACCTCAAAATATCATGAAACACGATACCTCATGGAAATAAATTCAGATTTAATTCTTTACCTGCTTTTCTGACAATCGGTGTATTTGTGCAGAATCGCACCGGGAAATCGAATGATTTTTTCGCTTGTATCAAAAATGTTCGGATCATTTTAGTTTGAATTTTATAGCTCCGTGAGAAGTGAAGCTTTCAGTCGCTGGTTGTAACCCGATGACACTTCGAACAGTTCGAGCTTCGAAAAAGGTCGCTATGAAATAAAAACCTAATTTCAAATTGAATTTATTTACTTTTTATTTTGATTAATATCAATTAAAAATAAACTACAAGATTAAAATTGCTTAAAAACAAAATAAAGAACTTTGATATTTAAACCAATGTTTCATCACAAACATGACATCCAAATAAGTTGCTATCATGGAAATCAAATCAAATATTGCTCGTCTTCTACAACGTAATGGTAAAAATAGTTTTGGTCACTTTAAGTTCAATGTCAATAAAGTGAATTTTGATAAATAGTCACAATATCGGCCGAACAAAAAGTGTCAAAAAACGAACATTTTGTATGGGAAGTACCCCTAATATGCATTGAAATGTCTTCAAATTTACTGAGATTATGTAGTTTGGTAAAAAAATGAGATTTACAAGTTTTCACTGCGATTAAATAACTGTAACTACATGTTTGTTTGAAATAATTTAATCACCATAAAGACTTGTGAATCTTATTTTCTTGCCAAAATACATAATCTCAGCAAATTTGAAGATATTTCAATATAATTTTGATTTTTTGCTCATAAACGAAAATTTTGTATGGGAAGTACCTCTAAGTTCTGTTGAAATTTCTTCAAACTTTCAGAATGACGGCTTTTTGTGAAAAACTAGCCTGTGCAAAGTTTCACATGATTACGATATCATACAGGCATGGCTTTTTTTTTAGTAATTTTTGTATAAAAAGTGTGTCAAAAATTATTTGTATCACAAAACTAATGTCAGATTCAGTTTTTCGTGAGTTCAAATTTAAGTAAGAGATATGTAATAAATAAATGCATGTTGTGGATCACAGTGCGGAAAAGTTCATCTTACGGATGTAAGACATTTTATTTTCAAAGAAACTGTATCAAAAATTGGTTGTATCTCAAAACTAATATCATATTCGGTTTTCTCGTGACTCGTACCAAAAAACCTCCCAATACATATTTTTGAGTGTTTAAGTCTACATTAAGCATGACTTTTGGACGAAAATTGGACTCTTTTTCATAGGTACCACTTCAGACATGACAATTTTGTCCATCAACCAAAGTCGCTCAAAATCTAATGGTTTCTATTCCTCGCGACCCCCAATCATCCAGTACAGTCAGATTTTAAATAACTTTTCTGGAATGGAGAGTTATCGTGTTAACAAATTTTGCGTACAGCGGACAACGTACGACGTAGAACAGACCGACAACAACCATGCTCAAAACGGCCTGATTCGGGTTCTCTGACCTCAGAAATGTCCAGAAAAGATGTTTTTGAGGTGTCAAAACACTCTTCAGGTGTCTTACACACTAGGTGTGTGTGGAAAAGTAAAAAATGATGATGATAAACTTACCCTACATTTTCAGTAGCGGTGATGGACATGTGATGCTCATCAGCAAGCCACAGGATAATGAGCAACCCTGTATTAGAGCTGGCGGAGCCGATTGTTCCTCCGTTGTCGCTAATACTCCAGCCACCTACAAAATAAAAGCAAACAAAAAAAATATTTGGAACATTTTTGAACACAACAAGAAATACAAGAAAAAACAACAAGTCTAGTTCAACAACAAGTGTCCCCACAGACAATATTCGACAAATGAAAAAAGAGGCATCGTTCTTCGTTTTCTTCGTATTCTTCCGTGCCGAAAAGGAAAAGACACTGCCAAAAGATCGGGACCATCGTGTGATAGTAACCTCAACACGGATCGTATTAATCCATCGACATTTATGAGCCAACTTTACAAAGCGTTCGAAACAAACACACCAATCAATGTCGACGTAAAGCATGGTATCCATCTATTTAACGATTGTAAAATTCAAGAAAATGACTCCGACTATTCGCCCAACGACTTGGACAAAAGCATTTCAAAACGGGGAAAAGAAATGCTGGACGATAATATCACGCAAATCCATTATCGTTTGAGCAAAAAAGCGGGTACGCGAAACCAACTGAAGGATATTCAAAATCTCCGAAAATGATTTTAAGCTGTTTCTGTTGTCTGTTCGCCATTTGAATGATTTGGATCCAATGTGCGTAAACATTCGATCGGATGCTGTGTCCGGCCCTTTATAAAGATATCCCTGTTTTGTTATTGAATCTGCTTGTGATCTTGTCATTTCTTCATCGATCCGATCGGGATCAGCAATCATTGTTTGGAGAATTTTCTTATCCGGTTATTTCCGGCAGTCCTCCTATCCATCTGATTGGGTCACAAGAGTTGTGATTTGATATGCAGATGGTACTGGCCTACAAAGCTGCACTGATGAGCTGTATACAGCGAAATCAATCATTTCGTAGTTTTGACTGAAACATGCAATTGCGTTTTCATAAAGTTTGTGTTTTGGCATTTGGTAATGCTAAGGGTTGCGTCAGTGAAAGTATAGGTTGTTCATTTCCTTGAAAATGTTCCAATATTTAAAATTCTATCGTTTTTTTCGTTACAATTCAGCAAATTTACATAAATTCAATATTTATTCGGTGCCCTTATAAATTATTTATATCTGACGTGAATTAAGCTTGACTTGCGTAAATTGTGTTGAAAAATAATGTTATTTTCCTTAGAATTTTGTGAATATTGAGTAATATAATTGGAATTTCATTTTAAATTAAAAAAACAATTGTTTGTACAATTTCATGGAAATTCCGCGTGTGTTTCAAATAACGTGTATATAAGAATTGCGTATCTCTATTCATTAATCATTATTTGAACCAATTGAAAAGTCTACATTCAACTGAAGAAAATGAAGTTTTTTTTATTCTGTACATTTTTGTCACTTTTCCTTTTAGTCAAGGTATGGATTTATAGTGAATCAATCAAGTGCTGTTCTAATTGTAATAACTTTTAATTCTCTTCATGTACCTAGTCAAACAATGATACAGAAGGTGTAACATTCGCCTCGGTTGTGAAGAAATTTTATGAAAAAGCAATGGCCAACGGAAATGTTCACATGCAACATGAATTGGATTTCATCATCAAAATTTCCAACAATGCTGATAATCTTAAAAACAAGTTCGAACCTCTTGTCGAAGAATTCATGGATAAAGGGAAACTAAAAGAAGTTATAAAAAAGCTTCCCAATGGCCAGAAAATTAACGGAGTCTTTGTTCCTGTATATTTCAATGAACAATTTAAATTGATCAACAGCCAACGTACATCAAAAATTAAGGATTTGGTCCATAAAATCGATACAGAAATCACACTTCAGCCTCGTCATGTAAAAGCGAAAGGATACAATTATGAAAAATTGAACAAATATTTCGTTGAATGGAAACAAAAACCCAAACATGTTGAAGTCGTAAAAAATAACATTCAATCTATGGAAACGAAATACAATACACTGAAAACAGAATTCGATGGTGAGATTAACGCAATAAGTCAGTTAATTGAAACTATAAAGACTGAGGTTGATTCAGTCAACATGTCCTTTGGTAAACTTTCACAAGCACAAAAAACTAATGATAAAATGGACATTTTCAGAGAATCTAAACCCACCATAGCTACAATTTCTCAGAATCAATCAAACTTAATTGAACTGCTACATAGGACATTAAAGACTCTAAAGGCCTACAATGAATATCGTATTGTATGGGCTGAGTACATAGTCGGAGTGAAGGAATCACTTCCATAAGTATGAAAACTATTGGAATCACCACAAGAATCATGTGCGAAAAAGACAATTAATGAAACTGTATTCTCAAATTATCAGAAATAAATAGTCGAAGATACATTCATTTTTTTAATTTCTTCATTTGCAAATTAAATTGATGCAAAGTTAACGAAACAGGTTCATGGGTTTCATTTTTTTTGCGTAGTTATTGAAAGGTCTTTTGTCATAAATTTCAAATACACACACTTACACACGTATTCAAATTTGAAATTCCTAAAATTTTCTTGGCGTTCTGTTCGTAATAAAATCTTTAAAGAACCCAAACCAATCAACATTATAATTATCAACAAATTGTTAATATTAATTGATTGTCACGCATATTAATTGAGGGTGTTGATCAGACATTATAATGAGATATTTTCAGCCAGATGAATCAGCTCAGCCAGATATCGTCAGGAGCTGAAATGGAGTGAAAACAATAAAAGTGATTGTTATAGTGATTGTAGCAATATAGTGTAATTATAACCATAACAATCACTTCTATTGTTTTCACTCAATTTCAGCTCCTGACGATATCTGGCTGAGCTGAATCATCTGGCTGAAAATATCTCATTATAATGTATGTCAACAATAGATAGATATGTCGATCTCTCTGAATATTATTTCGATTTTGGTAAGAAATTTAGATAAAGTGTTTTACAGAAATTTCAGCATATTATATTAATCATTACGTGTTCCTCATAAGTACAGTGACATAATGGGATTGAACCTTCATTACAGCTCAGCTCTGAAACCTCGAACAAAATTTAAGTTCAGTTTTGCAAATTAATTGGGCAAAAAGAAGTTGTACATCTCGTATCAAAATGAAATCTCAATTTCTCCAAATATATGATCTAGGTAGATTTTGAGTCATTCCAATGAAAATAGAGGATTCCTCTAGAACAAACTTTTCATTTTTGACTCAATATTGACAATTTTCTTTCAATCGGTAAATACCGGTTTTTAAATAAAAAAAACTTGGACGTCCATAAAAACAAAAATGAGACAAAAATCTATTCAAGATTCCACTTTAATAAATTCATCCACCAAAACTATTTATTTTTTCATCCACATGGATTAGAATTACTCATTCATATAGAAGTGATTTAGATCAGTATCAATTTTACTATTTACCTTGACCCTCATTTTTCAATTGTTTAGGATCTGATCGCAACAAATCAACCATCTCTTCAATTTGTGCAGCAGTAAAAGCACAATTTTCAACCGGGATGTTTATTTCCGATAACACAGAATAATCACTATGAAAATTGCATGCCACTGACTTTTCCGGTATGAAAAATCGTTTATTTTTCATAATCTCATAACGAATTGTACGAGGTATACGATGTAATTCATCAGGACATTCTGTACTGCACGACCGAAAACAGCACTTTGTTGATGAAATTCGAGCTCGGCTAATATTTAGAGTAATATCGCCCACGAGATTTGCATTTCCTATATTTTTTTCATAAAATAATAAGTTCGAATAGTTGCCGTGGCGAAAAATTAGGTGCAAAAAAGCTTACCGCTCATGATTAAATTATTATTTGAAATTTTTTTTATTTATTTTAATCAACACCCTCAATTAATATGCGTAATATGCTAATTAAAACGTCACACTAAATCAAATGGTGATAAGCACCAAAGCATTGTGGTGACAATAAACAATGAGTGTCAAGTTCATTGTGCATTTCATACTCATGCGACATCATGAATAATAACGAAATATGTTCGTTATTCATAATTGCAATTATGTTTAAAAAAAATAAATGCCCAGAAAAATTAAAAAAAATATATGTCTAATTTTTTCTGCAACTCTTTTTTTCTTTTGGTCGAAAAAATTGAGAATTTAATTGCCAAAATGTTCAATTAAAAGAGATTATATTAATAAAAGCTATGGTGAAAATTGAAAATGGAGAAGATTTGGTTTTTAAAATGCATTTTTATAAAATAAATATTCGAATTTATTGCAAATAAAAAAAACATGGCGAGATTTTTTCGTAGAATTTTTACTGTGCAAAATTATACCGTTATATTTTAACCACACATGTTGTCATATGTGAGCCCCTGAACACATATGACGCAATTCATATACATATAGGTGTATCACATTTAAATATACGCAATATGTAATAATTCGATGGCGTCTCTACTTTGACAAGTCTTTCTGTATGTTTACAATAATGAAAGTGACAGTAGAGAATTTACCGTGGTGAGTCACAGAGTTCTTTATTTAGATGATAAGGAATGCGATTTTTTTCATTCTGTTCTCACAAGATGGTACAGAAAATTGTATTTGTAAATCGAAGAAAAAAAATTTAATTATTTTTTTCATTTTTCGCGATTTTTCATCATCTATATGAGAGGCTTGTATGAAACTCTCGAAAACTCGGTATAGAGCACAAAAAGTGAAAAAAATCAGATTTTTTTTCTCACTTCTTATGCACAGCTAAATGGTCTATATCATCTGTTGCGACCGAATGTAAAAATTTGCTATTTCTATCACCCAAATCGTAGTTCAATGCTATCTCGCTCTCGTAATTCTCAACGCATGGCATTCTGTTTACAAACAAATGCGCAGTAAAAATCGTCAACACAAAACTGAAATCGATTACCAAAATACATTCACTCTCAATAATTTTCATTCTCTTCATATCTTACATACAATATTCGCAGCATCAGTGTGTGCGTGTATATAAGGTATAGAAAAAACAATAATGAAAACTGAAAAATGTAACAAACGTTCATGCATCACGTTGAAATGTATCTGAATAAAATGATTGAAACACAAATTCTATATATTGTCTATGCTAGACAAAAATCTGTGTTGTATTCTTCAGATTTCACTTTTTTAGCGTGCATATTTCAAATTTCGTCTCTGTATTCCCGCTTTTATTCCCACGGACACATTTGTGTCAATATTTTGACACAACGGTTTTCTCTTTGTATCAACGCTTTGATTGTTGCACTATTTGGTCCGATTAACATATGTCTCACGTAGGTTTGCACAAATTACAGCGTTTATTGCGCAGCATTAACAAACACCAAAATGTCAACCAATGCACGCGGTGCATTTATCGGCACCTCGAGACTACTGTCAAACTCAATTCGACGAAATACATTCATTCGCAATGTGGTACAAATTGGATTTGCGCAAGTCTGTCTCAAATTGCTTTGGCGGACAAAGTGCAAACGAAATTCTCCATGTGTTTAAAAATAAACCAATCTGTCTTCGAACCATGTATTGTGTTTCATGGACTTAGTATGAAGATGAGGATTCTAGAAAAAGCAAATAGTCCGGTCGTATTCCATATCTGAGTGCTCAAACCTTTCAAAACTATCACCAAGTGCCAAAATCGCGTTGGTCAAGCAAACATTCATTTTTGGTGATTCTCATGATTACAACACATCCAAATTTGAACCAAAACAATAGATTTAGACACGATCATTAGTAATCAGCAACATAAGTTACGAAAAAATTCCAAAGTGTGTCAAAAATTGGCTGTTCAATTCGCCTCATAGCATGTTGCACTGAAAAATTCATCATTTTGGATAGTGAAACATTCATCGCTATATCGAATCATGAATGAAGTACGAATGATTTCCTTTGCATTGATAAAGTTAGGGCACTAATATATAACGCTAGAGACGTCGACAAACCGAACTTTGATAAAGGGGTGTTTGTATGGTAGGATCTTCTTTAGAAGGTGTCTTGAGCCATTATTCGAAAATTTAGTGCTGAAATGTAAGGTTAAACCTCAATTACTTGCTCTATTATCAACCAAATATTCTTGAAATCGATAGAGTTTGTTGTGGACTATCTGATTAAAGACAAAATTGTGCTTTGCAATCAGAAAAAATCACAATAATGGCTCACTTCTTAAAAAATATCATTTCCATGAAAAAAGGACCATCTTTTTAACTTCAGAAAAAAACACAGAATTAATTATTTCTAGTCTGTTTTTGGATGTTTGTTATAGGCGAAGGTCCAAAATACTTGAAACGAGCAACAATTGGTTGCATGGATTGAGAGAAAGTTGAAAGAAATCGACAAATCGGTTGTCCAGAACATAATTTTGATGGTTCGACGCATACTAAGAAAAATCGAAGACAATGGTCCGTTCAGTGTAAAGTGAATGTGCTATTCGATAGCCTATGAATAAAGGTTTATACCAATAAAAAAGAATTTAATATTGTGTGTTTGTTGTTTGAATGGCGAACATCTGAATTTAGTGCAAAGACTTTTTACTCATATGTTATACGGAACGTGTCGCACAACGGAGGGTTAAGTCGCTTGTAAACGAACCAAGTGAATAGCGGAGACGCACGATAACGAAGTGAGTGTATTGCGGCAACGGATAACAACGTTCGTTGTCGCTATTCACTCACTTCGTTTTCGTGCGTCTCCGCTATTCACTTGGTTCGTTTGCAAGCGACTTACGCATGCTACAATATATTTTACATGCCTCAATTCATTTGCTTTGGACTATAATACGCTAGTGCTTGCTAGTCGCTGCTAGTTGCTGCTAGTTTCACTAGTTTTTCTAGTATGAATGTCCCCTAGGCTGGTTGACACCGCATTGGGAAACATTCTCGCTTGTGTTTCAACCAGTCAGACGTTTGACATTCTACACTGCAGTAAAAATCGCCACATCGACCACAGTTGTGATAGGCCATGTTAGTACACCGCAAACATTTGCCGTATGGTCTGTAACACAGGAAACAAATAAATGACTTATAGTTTATTGCTGCGTTTCATGATTGCCGTTTATTTTTTTTTATCAAGAATTTATTTATTTTTTTACTGATTTATCGTAAAAACACTTACTGATTCACTTGTCCGGCCTGGTTATTTAAAACGACGGAGATATGCCACAATAGACGAAGCACATCAAAAATTGAAGCAGAATGAATATCAAAGTTTTTGACTCTTCTCTATAATCGTATTTTAACGTAACCTATACGCGTACACAGAGAACTCATTAACTCGATGTAATGCATGTGTTTTGAAAATATTGAACCGCCCAGCGATTTGTGAAAATACTGGGTAACTGACATTGCTCCCGCTAATCCGCCCGTATAGACCTCCGCCTATAACCGCCCATATCCGCCAATATCCGTACAGAGACGGATATATTCTTTCTCCGTATCCGTTTATATCCGCCCGGATATTGGGCGGATACAGAGTAAGTTCCTACTCATATCCGTGCATTCTCCGCTTTTATTTTGACGGACACAGATACATTGCTTATCCGTCTCCGTGCCTAAAAATATTTTTATCCGTATTGTAACACACTCGCATGTCCGCCCGTCTGTCAGACGGACATGATGAATATCCGCCCGCCTGAAAAATGTCAGACGGAGATGGGCGGAGGCGGACATGATGAATATCCGCCTGCCGGAAAAATGTCAGACGGAGATGGGCGGAGGCGGACATGATGAATATCCAAAAGCACTGACGCGACCCTAATAATTATTAGGGTCGCGTCAGTGCTTTTGCGTCAGTCGGATTATAATCCGTAAATATATTTTTAAATATTATTATTGTTTTCGAATATAGATTAAATCTAGGGATTAATTTTATTTTCATTTTTGTGACACCAATCCCGTTCAAAATATTTACAAATAAATAAATGAATAAAAAATTCAAAATAAATATGAATTGCATAACGTAATACTTTATTACGTAAATTTTAATTACGTAATTAAAAGTGAGGTTGATGAAATTTTTATTTACGCGTATTTACCGGTATTTACATCCATTTCCAGTATTGATAAGTATTTACACGTATTTACACGTATTGACATTTATTTTGTGTATTGAATCGTATTTTTTTAGCTTTTTGACTTGTTCTCAGCCCCTAGCTGAATTCGCACGCTACTCACCGTACAAAATTGTAATCAACCGCAACCCGAATTTCATAATTAAAATTTATACTTTTATTTTATTTAAAAAAGTGGTGTTTTCATTTATTCAATCTAAACAACCCACATTGGTGACCCCAACGTTGTTCAACAACCAATTTTCACACAATTTAATCAACGGATTTATTCAACAAAATCATTTTGCAATTGATTTCGACACAAGTGAAAGTGTTCACATTTTCTTCATCGCGCTTATGTGGCCGACTCAGGAGTGGAACACATCTATAAAACGGATCATTTCGCATAAAATCAACGTGTGAATTTTTTATTACAAAAACGGTGAAAATCAAAAGCGAACGCTGTGTTTAACAAAAACACATATAGAAGCATTCAGACGACCGCATGTGTGATACAAGTAGAGCAGCATTTACCGTAATCAGATTCTGAAGGGTGAAACGAGGGAGATTCGATAAAACTTTCAACAATACCACGTGTCTTTCATCAATTAGCACGTGGTCAATAGGTGCTACCGTTCAATACGTGAAGCCATACGAGGGTCTTTCGCAAACATTTTCGATTTTTTTTATAAATGGTATTTTGTCAAATTATGAAAATGATGGGGTACGATATATTGGGAGTGGGGAAATAATTTAGTGAAAAGGGGGTTGCCTCCCTTGGGTATTAGTGGGGGGGAGTACTCAACTTGTCCAAAACCTCATTGGATCAAAAAGTGATGTATGGCAAAGTTGTTCAGAACGACGAGAGAAATTTTTTAGGGTAGCTGCCCTCCCCCTCCCCCATCTCCTAGGGGGTCCAATACTGTAAAGTCGATTTTCTTTCTTTTAGAGTCGGAATTTGAGTGGGTGGCGCGTTATGCATTTATTGATGAAAATGTGTGTATTGAATACATTCGTCAGCGCGCGCGCGCTGTTTATGTAATACAATTCAATGTAATGACATTCGGTTTAAGAAATGCCTCTCAAACATTCCAACGTTTTATGAACAATATTTTCAACGATTTAGACTTCGTAAGCGTTTAGGTTTTCACTTCTTTTATTATTTTTCGACCATTTATTGACTCCATTATTGGAGCTGCTCTTGTCGAAAAAGGTGGACGAGTGTGAGAAGAAGGAAGGTGCAACTGATGTTGAGTTTTTTACTTTTTTGAAAACTTGGGAGGAAAATGTTTCATAGCATGTATGGAAGAGTCTCTTGGTCTAGTAGATATTATCAAAATGACAAAGATATAAGACTTAATACAATATTTATTTGAAAAATAAAATGTATTCACATTTTATTAGATTAAAGAGGGTGAAGTTCAGCACGAAGGTTTAATCGATATAGGCAAAATGATTTTCGGTGACAATGAAAAAACCACAGCCACTTTTGTTCAAATTCGTAGCGATTGTGCTACAATAACTGATTAAATGCGTTAAAAATATTCTTCGAGCAAAAAAACTTATTAATGCAGATTTATGATTCATTGACTTTGAACATGATTTTTGAAATGCGAAAATTTTATTTATCCTGATTTGTTTGATAATAAATACATTAATGTTTGAAATGCCATTTATTTGGCTGAAATAATTAGAGAAAATGAATCGAAACCAAATTGAATTGCGCTCGGTAAATCATTTTTATGGACCATTGGGATTGGAGTTTTAAGACGACATTGACGCAGCGGTAGACATAGTTGTGGCTGGTGGTGCGGTTGATGCTGATGCCGAAGATGCAGAAGTTGCCGAAGATGCAGAAGTTGCCGAAGATGCAGAAGTTGCCGAAGATGCAGTTGTTTCAGCCGATGCAGATGTTGATGTCGCTGAAGAAGTGGTGCTACTTCCGGAGCCAGAGGTAGTTGCAGGCGATGGTGTTTGCACACCTTGATTGGGAGGTATAACCTGAAAATTTCAAATGTATTTCATTACAAATTCGTATTCAAATTTCAATAAGTTTTATAAAATCGAATAACTTACCACACAGTACTTGCAACGTCTTCGCTTGCTCTTCTTGCTCCTCTTGCTCTTCTTACTCTTCTTGCTCTTCTTGCTCCTCTTGCTCTTCTTGCTCTTCTTGCTCTTCTTGCTCTTCTTGCTCTTCTTCTTCTTGTTTTTCTTATTTTTGCGCTTTCGTCGTTTGCATTTCTTGCTCTTACATTTTCTCTTGCTCTTTCTTGAGCCGCCAATTTTCGTAACCGAAACACGAACTTGTTTGTTTCTCTGAAGATTTCTTGAATTGCTTCGCATTGCCGGTCTGAAAGATTGTCCAAGACTACGACTACGACCACCACCACTTCCACTACTTCCGCCACTTCCACCGAATAAGCCTAAATTAAAATACAACAAAGAAGAAGTAAGAAATTAAACAGATAATTAGAGAAACAAATGAATGGGGTAGAATAGAAACTACTTCTCGAAAAATGTTTAAACACGAAACCTAAAAAAAACTTCCAATGAAAAGTGAATCAATTTTTTTTTGTCCAATTGAAGTGAACCAAAAAAAAAAATTGTTCAATAAAAGTGAACCCAAAAAAAAAAATTCATTTTAGTGTATTTTACACTGAAAAAACCGAGTGAAATTTTTTTTTTGGTTCACTTTTATTGAACAAAATTTTCTTGATTCACTTCAATTGGACAAAAAAAAATGGATTCACTTTTTATTGAAATTTTTTTTAGGTTTCGTTTTAAAATAGCAATTTTTCGAGAAGTAGTTTTTATTCTACCCCATTCAAATGCACCAAGAGATAAGAAACTTACCACCTCCACCACCTCCACCACCTCCGCCACCTCCGACACCTCCGCCACCTCCGCCACCTCCGCCACCGGATAATCCTGAAATAAAATACAACAGTAGGAAATTAAACAGATAATTACAGAACAAATGATCCAATGGATGGATGGTAAACTGCCAACGCCGGTGCCTTCGAATATAATCGAAGCGCGTGAATATCCATTTGAGAGTATGACACATGCACGTGTCATTCAAAGACGTGAAAGATAAAAAACTCACCACCACCTCCGCCGCCTCCCCCACCTTTACCTCCGGATAATCCTGAATTAAGATACAACAGTAAGTAACTGAACACATAATTAGAGAAAAAAATGGTCCAAGAGATAAAAAACTTACCACCTCCCGATCTTCTTGCCCAAGCGAGAGCAAGAGGACCCGGAGCAGGTTCAGCTTCAGCCAAAGCGTCTGCATCAGCCAAAGCATCTGCATCAGCGAATGCTTCTGGCACCGCGATCGGATCACATGAAATGAGCTGGAATAAATGCCAGATAGAATATGGTCATTTGAAAAAACAGTCAGAATATTTAATATTTTACTCACCACGACCGACGTCGCAAACAATAATAAAATCAGCTTAGACAACATTTTGAATAGACCATACAATATGTTGTAGTGAATATCAAAAATCGAATAATAATACGATCATATCGGCGATCTTTTATATCAAATTCTTTTGCCTTGATTATATGAAAAGTTTCATCTGAATTTAATAATAAATATTTGCACAATTATAAAAATCACATGAAATTCTAACCGTGTTTACTTGGGCTAAATTTCAAAAGTTATGCCAATAAAAGGCTTTCTTTTAAAACAGAAATTGCAATAAATTTTTGCAGTTTATTTAAAGAACCGCCGGTCATTCTCAACAAGGTGGTCTGTTTTGATGTAGACGATTAGAGCGTGTTTATTTGCGTATTTGCACATATGCGGGGTTGACCGATATCAATTGTTTTACATTATTTGGATTCTTGATGCATCATCCTCTAATGTAAATATGGAAATGTAAACATTTGAAATTCAGATCATAGCAACAGATTTACTTATATGAAACGCAACTTGTTTTACAATTGTTTTTGGAATTATTTACGCGCATGTATTTTCGTATGTAACCGATTTTTTTTTAAAGAGATGTAAAAAACGCGTATAAATGACACATTATCACATCAAACGTAATACTCGACTTTGATTTTTGGTACCTTTTATTAAATTTTACGAGAAATTCATAATCAAATCACGCTTTGTCTACTATTACCTCAACATTGAACAGTACTGAGCTCTTAATGAGCCTCTTATCTCTTTGAAACTTAGTTTCTCTTTTCTCTGTACAAGAGTCTGTATCTCACAGGAGAAAATAATATTCTATTTCTATTAATTTGATAATTTTTTAAATAAAAAAATGAACTCAATCACAGAAAAAGGAAAAATGAATGAATAACTTGTAAAATAAACTTATTTGCACAGTAAATAATAAAAAAAACTTCGCCCCCGGGTGGGATCGAACCACCAACCTTTCGGTTAACAGCCGAACGCGCTAACCAATTGCGCCACGGAGGCGATACATATGAATAGCGCAAGTGCGTAGATAAGCGTCAATGTGTAAGTGCCTATATACATATATGCAGAATCAGGCGTTTCTTATCGCATTGTCAGTACCGTGTGCTTTATCGTCCAAAATCGATGTTTAAAAGAAATGAGCGGAAATAACTTTTATTATAAATAAAACAACAAATTTTATGAGAATATGGTTAATTTATTTGATATCATCGATTTGATCATATAGATAGAAGCATAAATTATTGTTGACAATATCAATGAAAAAAAAAATTGAATGACAAAAATATACAGCGTCACATTTACAGATACCTACAAAAAAAATAATACACAAAAAACATTTTACGCTAAAAATAAAATTAGTTCAATGTATTTTTATGTTTTCTATGGAATATCCATAAACAAAAACATTTATTCCCTTAAATGAATATTATAATGATTATAAATAAAATCATAGTTGTTTTGACAAATTCAATTGTGCGTTTTCTTTGCTAAAATTTCTTATGTCGCATTGAATGAAGCTTATAATTCGATATACAATAGACGTCGAATGAGTATTTATTACATTTGACTGTTATCACATCCAACTAAATTAAAATTGTATTAAAATGAAATGAAAAATGGGCTATTAAATATCTATCGGTTGATAGAGTGTTTTGTTCGGCATTTATTTAATTTTTGGTAGATTTATTCAAATGAAGCTTCCTAAATGAATAGGTCCTAAACGTAAATTCATGCTAATGAAAATTATCTATTTTCCATCCCCATTTTTATTCGAGTGTTTACAAAAATATCATGTATGTGTGTTTACTTTCTAGCATACATTTTTTGTTCTATTATTATTGAAATAAGCTTCATAAGAAAGTTTTCGAAGTATTTTTGGAAACGTTAAATTTATGCGGTGCTTGAGTTATTTGGGGCTCCACTAATTGCGCTGAATAATGCTAAACTATTTCGATGCACGGAATTGCTCTCATCGATGGGTAAAAATGATTCGTTAAGCAAATCCGAAAGTGCCGTACAGAGTTTTTCATAATTGTCTTTTAGTGCAGCATGGTATTCACGTTGATCACTTGATATCATGCGGCCATTGACTTGAAGTGCTGTATTACATATTGATACGAATTCCCTGTAAATTGAAAACATTTTTTTTTTAAATGAAATTCAAAGTATTGAATAAAATTCATTATTTTAATTTACCTAAATATGTCTTTCAGTTCATCGACTTTATCTTCGGAATACTTGTTTTCGGTGTCGTCCGGGCTGAGAAATGCGTTCGCATATGCAAGAGGTCCAGCATTCACCTGTACTGCAACACTACCTTGTAAGCGAAGCTGTAGTTTTTTCACATCAATTGGTGGCATAACCACTTCCTCTAATTCAACCACACGATTTTGCATCTCATCAATTGCCACTTCAATCGGATTCAATTCAATTGCTTGCTTATGCTTCACTGGTATTCGCTTTAATACGTATGGAAACGAGTACATTGCTGTAATGAAATTTGATAATTTGAAATTGAGATTAGTTACCACATTGTTCATGTACAATAATAAAGCAAAAAACTGTCATACTTGTTAAAATGGTTCGTCGTTTCCATTGCTCTTCAACGGTTCCGTGGGCCGTACCACTCTTGGTGAATGGCGTTTCAAACTGGAATGTGTCTACATCGTGATTTTGTTCAAAGAAATTTTGCCGTGTTTCCAACTCATCTTTACAGAAGTACGGTTTGGTATGGGTTACTTGAATATACGCAATTTTTGGGTCAAGATCGTTCACATTTACCTAGAATAAGTAGAAATAATATAAAATTTGGGTGTATTTTTAAATTGAAGTGGTAACTTTTTCTTTGCTTGAGTACTATTGAATCATCATTGTATACAATTGGTTTTGTATGTATAACCACGAGGCAAAAACAAATCAATTCTGATGTTTCTAAAGAAAAAAACTGAATGAAAATAGAATGAACAAAGTACAAGCGACGGCTGAAGTTAGAACTTTAGTCATATTTAAATATCTGCCTCCGTGGCGCAATTGGTTAGCGCGTTCGGCTGTTAACCGAAAGGTTGGTGGTTCAAGCCCACCCGGGGGCGTTTTTTTTTTTATTATTTTCTTTGCGATATTAAAAAAAATCATTTCGAAGCATTCATAAACGTAAACTTTACCAATTTTTAAGTGAAAAAAAAAATTAATAAAATAATAAATGTAACCAACCGGCGATGAATCTTGAATCATTTTCACATTATCAGCTCCAAGTTTGTCTTTATATTGTTTATAAAGACGCTCTGAAATTTCGCTTAGTGACGTCAACTTTGGTTCTTTGTAAATGTATTCAACTCCACTGTCTTCTTCAAAGTAAATCTGTAAATGAACGGGAAGAGTATTTCCTTTACTTTGTTCATTCTTTATTTTATTGATTGCCAATCGTATGGATCTTACCTGTCCAAAGAAAACAACTCGATAGAATCGTCCCAGCATGCGTTTGCCGGATCGGTTTACTTCGTTGATTTTACTATAACTTTGTGCTAAATGTTCATATGATTGTGCAAGTGATGTATAATCTCGTCGATTTTCCAAAATTGGTATAATTAATCGATACAATTCACCCAGACATTCGTATCGTTCAGCTCGATCCAAGTAATCGGCACAGTCTTTCAACTGTTCGTATAACATCATTTCGCTATATTGTTGTGAGTCTGGCGTTCCACTATCAAGTTTCAGTCCTTTTTCATCAATTGGAATATTTCGCGATATACGACCAAATGATTCGGCTCCCCAATTCGGTCCGCTACCTTTTAATTTCAAATACTCGGCAATTAGAGCGGCAATGTGTAAATTACACATGGCTGCTTCAGATAAATCGCCGTTTTGTTCATGATTACGTGCCATTGTAACAAGCCAAGTGTGCCGTAATTCAGGAGTCGAGTAACTATTGGCGAGTGATTGTTGCAGTTCAATCAAACGTTCTGGGTCCATGTGATGTGCTTGCATTTGTGCGGTTGCCATCAAAACGGTGCGCACACGTTTTGTTAAATCTTTCACTTCTATTGGAAAGCCAGTTCCCTTCATTGCTTTATCGCTCGTTGCATAGCTATTGATTAATGACAATGATTCTTGGAATCGTGCATTATTCAAACCGATTACATTTCCAATCATTTGTGAAACGGAGATGATGACTTGTAAGTGAACTCTTGTTAATCCTTTACGGCCACTGAACTCAAAATTACTTCGCATTAACAGATACAGAACAGCGCATGCATCTTGTCGAATCGATGTCAAACGACTGTCACAACATTTCAGCAGCTCATATACAATTTGACCGCATAGCGCAGCGTTACCCCTGAATAGTGCCGCCGAAAAATTATTTATGAATGCACGCAGTGCTGCGAAAACGTGCTTCGATAGATTTTCAGATTGGCCCAATTGCAAAAATCGTAGATAAACTTGTGCAAGTTTTGGCAACACCGAACCATCCAACATTTTATCACGAAATTGTAACGTATATAATCCCATGCAATCCAAAATGGTCAGACCGACTTCGGCGGCCAATGATGAATCTTGAGCAGCAATCTGTGCACGTGTTGTTTCTTCGACGAGATTTTCACGTGTATTACTGTGATTTAAAGTGCCGCTGCTGCCACTCTCATGCGGAAATTCCCCATTTTGCGGTGACGAGACACGAGCTGGCAACGTATGAGATCGGCTTGTTTTCATTTTCGTATTTAAGTATGCAGCATTCATAACAATATTCTTTTTGCCTACATAACGGAAATTGATTAGACAATAATCCAAAATGCCAAAGAAGGCAATCGTCTCACTTTCCGTACAATTTTGCCACCACAAAATCATGTGCTCTTGACTCAGGTGCTTTACGACAAACAAGAAGCAGATGAGTAAATCTTTTGTTTCGATTTCATTGAATTTATCGAGTCGTGGTATCATCGGCGGTTGTGCCATACTAACCGAACGTGCATGACTCGGTCGAATTGTTGTATCCGATTGTGTACTCATGCTTCCCAATATTGTTGTGTCATTTGATAACGCCGAACAGTCTGAATTGAGGGAATTGGTTGAATGGCCATTTCCAAGAATTTGTTGTTGTCCAGCAATTGCAGCCAAATAATTAGTATCTTTCAATAGAACCGATGTTCGACATGGACTCGTTTGATTGAGACGTGAACGTAGTTTTGGTGTACTATTCGCTGACATAATACTGTTTGAGCTAATTAATGAATCGCGACCGAATACATAGCTGCCGCCGGTTGAATATCGACTCGTACAAATTGACATGGAGTCCATGGGTCGATGTTCGTTGCCATCAAAGATCCGCGATCGATTCTCCATAACAATACCAAGCCACGGTATATAAAGCACGGCTAATCGAGCCGCTTGTCCTTTTCCCTGATACCGATCGTCTAAATCATGTTTTGCCAGTAGCTCTTTTAACACTGATAATGCCAACTTCCGTATGTGACCCACTTCGTTCAACGAACTTTTTACTTCTTGCAATAAAACACCGGCCAGAAAATGTTGACGACAGAATTCTTCGGACAATGTAAAACGTTGTATTAAATTCGGTTGACGTGAATTTGGAGACAGTAAAATTGGCAAATTCAACGGCACATAGTGTTCATGTGTACAGATTTCTTGTAGAAATGCAAATTTATATTCATGCAAAACTCTTTGATCCGACGACGAAAATCGATCCAAATACAATCGAATCAATTTGAATACAAAACCACGATCCATAAAGGTGAGACAACGTTTTATGAATACGGACAGATTTTTGTTGAGAATTTGTGTTTCGTTTGGCAAGTCTTTGTGACGTGAAAATAAATATGGCACAAGTATTTCGAAGAGGTTTTCCACTTTTTGCGAGAAACTATCGGTAAACCGTTCATTACGATGCATACGAATACGGCCACTGTGCAGCAAATGTTGAGCCATACTCTTGACAATTATATCGAAGAAAATATTGGAGTATTTCATGAATTTGTTTACAACCAGAAAATCTGTGTTGTTTGGATTGAGAATTGTCGGCAAATGATGACAGAGTTCACTATGAACCGTGTTTCCATTCATTTTCGGCAGAAAATTTGTTGTTTGAAATACAAATTTCACATATGAGTTCAATAGTTCCTTGCGGCCAGCCTCTTCAGCAACCGTATGTATTAAGTTGATCAACAACCTAATCACATTCAATGCAATGTCCTCGCTATTCGTATTCACCAGCAGTGTGAATAGTTGATTCAAAATTGTTGGCAAGAATGTGATCACAGATTTAACTTGAATGGCATGGGCAGCTTTGAGTATTTTACACGTTTCGGACTCAGCCGGTTGTGCGGTTAATTTTCCATGTTGTAATAAACGTTCCGAATGCACAAATAAATTGTGTAAATGTTGATCAGTCGTTAGTACGGTTGATTCCAAACGGAAAATTATCGAAAATATTGGCCGTTGATTGTCAATCCATTGAATATCAGGTCCGGCATTCTGCTGGGAAAATTTAATGTGTGCAGCATGAAAAAACGAATTTTACAAATGAAAAGTGAAAAAAAAAATAATTGTTGGTTAGTTTGGTTTGTCAGTGTGTGAAATTATATAGGTACGATTAGAATTGTTAACAAAAAAAAAGAGATGCAAATAAATTAATTCAAAAAATGCCTTACGCCTTTGCCCAATCCAAGTGGTTGAATGGCCAAGTAGCCAGCTAAAAAGAAATGAATTTTTATTAATCAAAATATCAACGTGAAAAATTATTAACAATTTAAACATTGATTTGTAAATCTAACCAGGTAAACATGCGGCAACTGGTAATACTTGTTCTTCGACATTAATTTTTCCTTTCGATAGTAACGGCATCCATGAGTATCCAACTGCATTCTCGTATGTAGTGTTTGCATCGCGTCGTTTTGACAAATCGCACGAAACGTGTACGAATGAAAATAAAAGGTGATGATTGGCCGTTATATTCAATGGCAATCGTATCTTTATCTCTTCGTACCACGTTGGATTCGTGCTGTGGTGTAAAACGGGACACGAAATTTTATCAAGCAACATTGATTGACCTGGTCTACCGTATATGCACTGCAAAGAACAGAGAAGATAACAACAATTTAATAACAACATATGAATGAAGATATAAGATAATTGTGATAATAAAATTACCGGTATTGATTTCGCCCCTTCCGCATCACTCTCTCTGACTTCGATCGTAACAGCAATATTTCTAGCTCGCGAAAATAATTTCTGACTATCAAATGACAGTGATTGTGGATAGACGAACAGATGGTTCACAAACGTTGTGTATGGATACATGTCACGATCTAAATTCATAGAAAATTCTGCTATTTCAAATGATGGTTCAGCGGCCGATGGTGGTATGGGAAACGGTTTCAATGGCATTAGTGTTGTTGTAAGAGAATCTAAAAGACAGAAAAAAAAAGATTGAAAGGAGTTAAGTGAGTTAATAAAAAAGAGTCATTAAATATAGTAAATATTCCAATTTGAGTAAACGAGTCATGATGATGTTGTAAAATAAAATCGCTGATTGACTCTTGACAAAGTGAAAGATTGATATAAAATTGTATGTAAATTGCACATTCTCATTGAAGTTATATTGATTTATGGCTTTGATGAATGATGTTCTCAACTTCAAATTGAAACCGGCAAAATTTCCGATGAAAAGATTAAATGTATTCGACTTACTATTTGGTAACTCGCTAATGGGTTCGGCCATTATTTTTAAGAAACCCGGTATCACAGTCAATTTGCTGAATTTGTCGGGTTTTCGATATTCCGCCAATAGCTTCAGAATGTCTTCGTCTTTCAATTTATTTGCTTCTTGTCGATAAATCGCCGGAAATTCAATGGCTGCATCCAAATCACTACTGTACAATCGAAATAATGGTCGTGCTGCCCATGCAAACTAAAAATTAAAAAAATTATTAACAAAATACTGACCATGAAAAAAAATAATTCTGAAATAAATAAATAAAACACGAACCGGCATGCGATAATGTCCAATTTTTTGACTGTATGTTTTCACATTTTTGTGCAGTTTTAGTCCCATTTTTGGATCTTTTCCTGCTTTCAAATATGCATCGGTGGTATTGTTGATGCCACCTTGAAGAATTTTCTCAATTTTCACGACCAAAAATACGTCTGGATGCGGTGCAGTGACTGACAGAATGGCTTGTTTTGGTCTCGTTAGCCAATTGGCAGGTAATGCGTCAAATTCTTTCGGCAATGTTTGATACTGTATACTTTCTGTTTTATCATCAATGCCATTCACACCATTCGTTTCACATTGACCATTGTTTGTCGCTTGATTTGTGACCATCATATCTCGCACATGCTCCGAATTCAAATCAAAATAGAAGTTTTCGGTTAGCTTCCGTCCATTCTTGGCATCATAAAGTGCCAGCGATGTAAAATATGGTTCAGCTTGTACGAATGTTTCTTTCTCGCAATTCTCCAACGGTGTTTGCAAACGGAATTTTAAACTATCACATTTTATTAATATTTTTTGACCAAATTGCTCTCGGTATGGATCGATAGGTCCTTCATTCTGTGCGATGGGTCGCAATAATAGCGCATAACAATTAAATAATTTGCGTCGATGCTCACGTCTTGATTGTGCTATCGAAATATCTGTCTCACGTCCATATTTGATAAGCTGAGGATTCATACTTTGATCCAAACCTTTAAGCGTGCCGAACATATTTGGATTTTGACTTGGTGCTGCAATAGAAAATTTAAATGAAATCAGATGAGTTACACTTGAGATGAGTCAATGGTCTTACTCTTTTCCCGTTCAAGCGAAGCGGATCGTGTATCTTCTTGCATTTTATTTTGACTTAGCACCGACTGTAGTTTGGTTAGCCAATCTTGCATGTCACTTTCATTGTCAGCTGCCAATGTAAATGACTTATGACCGGCGGTCATTCGCAGTTCAAAACAGAATCGCCCTCGTTTTGGATTCTAAAAATTTACACAGACAATGTTTACTATGTCTTTTGAGATTTATTTATTTATTAAATCAATTTACCTGTACAACTTCTGTACAAAAATCCATGACAATTGTTGCTTTTGCTTCACATTGTTTTTCATCTTTATGCAATTCCAAAATGTAGGTGCCGTCAACTTCTTGCCTTAAATAACAGTACCGCCGTTTGAATGATTTGGATCCAATGTGCGCAAACATTCGATCGGATGCTGTGTCTGGCCCCTTATAAAGATATCCCTGTTTGGTTATTGAATCTGCTTGTGATCTTGTCATTTCTTCATCGATCCGATCGGGATCAGCATCAACTTCGTACACTTCTTCTTTGTGGATGTCCACCGGTGAGTTTCTATAAATGATTGGTATCAAAAACGTTAATTCGAAACTTTTATAAAATAAATCATAAGTTTTTGCTTACTTTGGTAATTCATGATAAGAACAACTGTATGCACTGTATTTATAGTGAACCAGATGATTATTGGATTGATAGGTGTGTAGCGCTTGTCTTGTCAGCAACAATCCATGCGATTGTGAAGTGGGTGAATGATGACCATTTGTTCCGTTCTCTTCCTTTGCCTCGTCGGACAGTGAATTTGATGATGGTGAACCATTTGTTTTTAACGATCCATTCGTTAATTTGGTACTGCTGCTTTCTTTTTTAAGAATTGGCAATGTTGGTATGAAATTGGAAGTAGTTCGGAATTTCCGTGGTAAGACAACTTGACTGACATCGTCAGTTGGATAAATAAGAAGCTCTCGTTGTGGATCATTTTGAATAAGCGTTTTGTTTTTCGCAACAAAACTTTCAAAATCAATTGGCTGAACGGCAAGCGGCTTATTCTGAAAATGGAAAAATAGAATATCACATCAATAAACACTCTTTTCAGGGAAAAATCAAGTTAGTTAGTTTTCTCTTTTGAAAGTATAATAAATATTTTATATTAAATCATTGATTTCGTATGTTTGCCATTAAAAGAATTGATATGCATTGCGTTTTTTCTCTATTCAACGAATACAAACCATAAGAACGCAATAAAATGTGTGAGATATAGATGAATGTGAAATACTGGCGAAAAGCAATATCAATAAACCATTCATCAAAATGTATTCGTTGTGTGTATAAAATAAGTCAATCAAAATGTTGTGTTGAATACAAACGATTTCATTGTTAATTGATTTGATGATGTTTCATAGATCAATTTTGGTCAATTCGATATATGCAACAAATCAATCGACCATAGGTTATTGGCCACTGATGTTGTTTGGCTATCAAAGTTTAAATTAAATAAATCGTATATTATTATGGGTGAAAATCAAAGCGGGTGCCAAAAGGAATACATAGTTAAATGAAAAACCCATTGCGATTGTATACAAGTACCACATTCTATTCGAATTAGTATGCTTGAGTTGCGCATTGTCTTATACATTCAATAGCGACAGTAATGCGATAGGTGTATCGTGTCCAAATATCTTCATTCATGCGAATACTTTACTCAATCACCATTTGTGTGGCTCTCACGATTGTCGACAAGACATATTGTCTCTGCGCACAACACACTGTTCATTGCATTCACTGTGAATGCAATTCTTCGACTGTCTCTCTATTATCGTTTTTAAATCGCAACCTATCGATTTCTTTCTCATTTATTTTAAACACGTTTCTGTCTAACATAGCCACTGGCATCTTCATTTAAAACCACACCAGATTTGGTTTACTTGCAACACTATCGCTATTCATTTATACAAATCGTTTTAGAAAATTGTGTTCAACAGATAGGTAGAAGAAAGTTGTACACGCACCGCATTGACATAAACAATACAGAAAAAAATAGCTTTGGAACGCGTCCAGAAAAGCTGTCTTTCAAATAACATTGATGATGAAAACAAGCAAAATATTATGACGGTTATAAGCATATATAAGATTGCTCTGGCGTCTCATTGTACAAAAAAAAATGAATGATTCATAAAAAAATGTGTATGCGGTCATTAGTTTGGGGCCTTTGAAAAAAATGTTATGGTGCAAAGTTCATTGATTGTTATCGATGATATTGAGTAAAATTATTGGAATGTACAGTACAACACACCATCATAACCATATTTAAAGCGGAACACACAATATCCATTTTGACGAGGAAAATGAAATGGTTTTGTAAATTTTTTACTTTCTTTGAATTTTAATGCATTTTTGCTAGCATAGAGAAATACTACAGAAAAAAAAATTGTTTATCATCAATTTGCCCTGATAACATATATGGGCAAGAGAAACGACACACTTTGACGATATATATGGCGAATATGATAAAACATTTTAAATGAGTTAAAAACAACATAAAAGAGATTGTTGTTTGATTTAGCCAGCGCCTCTTTGCCAAACAAAATATTAGCTCGCCCGTAAGTACGTGAGCGGGCAATGATATTGGGTTTTCAAAAAAAAAGTAATTTGCAATTGCAAAAGTGAATATGCACAACTAAACGATAAACATTTCCTTCCTTAAGTGAGTATACACAAATTTTTTTACACGATTCACATTTGCTAAAACGTTCAAACGGAAGCAGAGAACAGAATTATGGGCAACGGCATCAACAAAAACTCGATACCCGTAATTTTGTGCTGAACCATTACGAACTATCATGCAAGAATTTATGCGAAATTGCACGCTTATGATTTCAAAAGTAAACAACTGATGAATTTGAGAGTAAAAGTCCATGTTTTTTTTAATGTTTTTAGATGGACGGATAGACAGCATACATAGCTGTATAAACAATACGAGTTTATTAGTTTCAAAGTGGAAGAGCAAAGAATAATATATGAAAAAAAAAATTGTTCACTGTAAGAGCTAAAATTAACACTACTGTTTGCAACTGTTGAATCTGTTTGTTATGCCTAAATTATCATTAAATGATCCATTTTTTTTTTCATTTCAATTGAGAAACTGAGAAAAGTAGCTCAATCGAATTTAAATGGGTAACATTTTTCAGTTCAAACAAAGGGATTAAATGACCGTTTCACAATTTCCTGCTACTTATAGCGTTTCAAGCGCACAGCAGAAGCGCTACAAACAAAAAGCCTTGATGTATTTTCCATTTTATTAAAATCTTAATTAAAGTCTAATTAATTTACGATGTGGAACTGAGCTCCAAATGCGCAATACAATATGAGTATCTGGATGTAATAAACAAATTTGTTCTGTTTATGTGGCTGTATCGAAGCTTGTCTGGGTGATATGTGTGCAATGAAGCAAAGCATAAACGACAACGCATCCACAAGTCTGACAAATGTGATTAACATTCCAGCGCCTATTTGTGAGCAATCAGCATACATTTATGAATCGAATTGCATCAAGGTTTTGCTCCCCCCCACCATAAAACACTCGAAACCGAAGAAATTGAAATGTGCAATGTGACAACAGATGTGAAATGGAATTTTACTTCAAGTGCAATTTTACCCACCAACAAACGACAAAAATTAAATTTAGAATTTGTTTATATTGTGATGCGATCAGTATTAAAGAAAGTCTTTATATACAAGAATAAATATTCGATTTTGAAAGACATTTTATCACTTTTTGGCGATGCAGAAAATGCCGTCACAAACAATTCATTACTCAAAAGCAGAGAATATTGTGTTTGATGTTTATGTTCATATTGAAGTCGCCTTAAATTTATTTCATATCTAATTCACTGTAACTGAATAAAAAAAACGTCGTGTTTCTTTCATCTGTAAAAGTGCAACAAATAAACAAAAATCCATTAATTTTTTCTCATTCTGTCAATAAAATGTGAGTATATCATAGTTTTGTTTTAGAGTTTGAACAAATACATAAAAATGAATGGAATATAATATGAAACGTGTGGATAATAATAAATTCTATCGTTTGTATTTTTTTATAGTAGAAAATTTATTAAGAAGTTCAGTATCCATTGTACGATATTTTTTTCATTTTAATCCATGCACACAATACGAATGACATTGGACGAGAGACGACATTTTGATATATACAAAACTACGTTCACACGACAAAATGACAGCAAAAAAATGCAGTCGCATTCATTTTTTTGTGTCGAAATTGTTTTTTTCGATTGGATTTTTGTTACTAGAGAAAACGTGTGCACATTAATGTGTGTCGTCGTAGACACTTGTACCGCGTCTTTGGCGATGACAACGAAATGACGGCATCACTCCATTTCAATCACGTTCCGATCAAATTATTTTCAAAAGAAACAAAAAGAAAAGAACAACAAAAAATATTTGTTCTTTCCTCTCCGAAATTCACTCAAACGTTGACTTGATAAAAAACAATGTACATTTGATGTGTGCTCAAGAACTTTATTGGTCTATTGCTTTTTTTAACACATATTTCAAGCAGTATACGCGCATTTATCTTCCGCAATTCATTAACACACTTCGTTTACAGAGAATACAACTGTGTCTACATTGTTTTCTTTTCAACCAAAAATAGTTTTCAAAATAAATGGGCCTCAAATAGTTGAGCTATACACAATTTCATGCTCCGAATTCAGTTAAGTTCTTAATGGGAATACTTAATTTGGGTTCGGTTTCTTTTTATTTTTGCTTGTTAATTGACGAAACCCTATTCTTTAAAAGAAATGATTTTTACTGCTTTGATTGAGAGTGCCGCTGAAATGTGATCTTGTTGAATGTAGAATCTTTCTAAAGCATTTTGAATGAAAAACATTTTCGAAACTGGCACAATGACACACAGACTGACAAACAGATACAGGTGTAACTGATTTTTTTTTTCGTTTTGGCAATCACTTCACTAAAACACAACTTGATTCGTCCGGTCACAATGCCAAACTGAATTTTGAGCCTCGAAAATTCCGATGCAAAGTGTCCGGTCATGAATCATAAATAGTGTCTATGAATCAGGAACTTTGGAATGTTTATTGTGACAACACGAATATACCAAATTAGAAGAGATAAAAAGAAAACGAAATGAAAAAAAGTGATTCGCCTAAAGACAAAATAAAATGAGAAACAGAAACAAACTATCCATTCTATTTGAATGCGAGTTCATAAAGAAGGTAAATTTATTGTACGAAATTATATGGAAATATCTAATATGATGTATTTTCGTCGCATGAATGAAGAAGTTTAGTGAACCGAAGGCCACTCCTAAATATGTTGTGCACATGAAACTTGTTTCAAGCATTTATCAGATAGTATTTTTCTTCACTGACTTTAGGAGTTGTTGTCTTTGCGCGCAAATGAATGGAATCCCATGTGTGCGTTACACAAAATTACATTATTGTTTGGAGGTACGCTTCGTTGCTCATATCAACATCAATATGGGCACACGTTTTATTCTTTTCTACCTTAAATGAGTTATGGGTGTCAATAGCTCCTCCGAAAAGGAGCCCAACGAAACTAACATTTTCCTTTAAAAATACCATATAATCGGGGCCGGTGACAAATTTCTATATTGATTATTAAATCTGTGCTTTATTTAGCATACCGTTACTCGTGTCTTCATTTGATGAATTTACACGGAAGAACTTTGTATAAATTGGATTCTTGTTCGTTTGAGCAATCATTTAGCATAAATATGCGATGGTCTACTTTACCACCGTAAATATACTTCAAGTTTTGTGTTTTTATCTAGAAACCAGTTTCTGATGATATTACTATGATGTGCGCGATTTATGATAATAAGTGTCTTCAATGAAAATAGTTGTGATCACGCAATTAATCAATTTTGTCATGTGTATATGTTGAGTGGATACTTTTTTGTCTGTTCGTGTGTATTGAATTCATCTGCTTTAAATGGTTGTAGTTGAGCGTACAAAGTACACCATAATTGTGGTAAAAAAATAAATGGCTTTGCGAAAGTTGTGCAGATTTCTATGAATCCATAAAACGCAAGCAAAATTACCAAGTTCGAATATATGTATTACAACTTCTATGTCAAGTCAACAGACTCTAATGAATAGAATTTGTTTGATGATAAACTCGGTTTTAAGTTTTTCTTCTCGTACAAAAAAACCGCATAATGACCATAATAAATGGCGTGAATTTCATCGTGATTTCGCTACACATACATGTCTAGTGAATTGGACACAGTTTTATTATTAGCCACAAGATCTAGAAAATAGAAATCAAACAACGTTGCAAAAAAGATTTTGCAAAATTATACCCAGACAATGACCGTGAACGATATATATAAAAGCAACGAAGACGAGAGTTCGCAAAGAAAATACCGAAAAAATTATATTACTCTTTTTTTTTTAAATAACAATTCACACAGCCACTTCCAAACAAAAGTGGAGCGTATTGTTTTCTTCCCATTTAGATATGATTCAAGTTGTAAATGAGTCTACGTCAGTCATGATATACTCAGCTTAATGCGCGCTCGAAATGAAATTATACGCAACAACCAAGTGAGTTCATAAATCGACACACTGAAGTGCACTTTTCTGAAGTCTTGGTAATTTTTCATGAAAAGATGTAAAAACTACTTCCGAACTCCACTCTTTCTTTTCTATAGAAAACGTTATGTTGCTGCATATGCACCCAAACAGTGCTACTGTTAGTATTTTTCAGATACAACGCTTTCCCAGAAAGCAAAATTACAAGTCTACCTTTTTTCCATAATAGAAAAAGATACACTTTTTTTCTGCTATTTCCCATTCGTTTAAAGTGTTCCATAGCTCCCAGGCAGTGCCACCATGCACATATGTGATCACATCATTAATGCATGTGAACGTGTATCATTCTATCAAATAGAATTCTAGAAATGATCCATTGTTATTTTCTTCGCTTGTTTGCTCTTTGTGTGTGTGTTTTCTTCTTCTCTTTTTCGAGTGCCGTTTTCATTGCTTCTATATGTTTCAATTTTGATTTGATCTGTTAAACAGATTTTGCTGTAAGACCAGTTGCTCTCACGAGCGAAAATAGTATCGGTGCAAAACTTCAATCACATGTGCGAGTTACATTGCAATGGGCCAATCGCCAGCCGTACATTTCGTTTCATGCAGCAGAATTGCAGAGGTTCATAGTCGAGAATCCGCAATGCATACTTGTTCAGTGTTCATTATACGCTCATTCTCTCTCTCACTCTCTCTCTCTCTCACTCACTCTCTCTCTGTATGTTTCTCTAACTCAGTGCATGGATGCATCCTATGCGTGTCATTTCTTTCAACGGTGCAACACCAAATTTACAGAAACATTCGCATATTTATGAGAATGCTTTCGCTTGCTGCTTCCAATCATCGTTGCCGCCTGTCACGCTTACAGTGTCAAGGTAAAAGCGTAAACTTGACTTGATCGCGGCTTTTCGGTTCAAACGCTGTGAAGACGCTTTTGCAAACAGAGATAAAAGAGAGACACGAAGAAATTTTTCAAGTGAAAATGTAGGCAAAAAAGAGAATGGATTGTGAATTATGGTGAATATAACACAAAAAGATCGAAACGATTCATTGGCAATGCGAATCGATACGACAACGAATGTTTCATTTGTGCCACACCGGAGAAATTTTCCAATTGAAAGAAGAAATTTTTCTTCTTTCATTTTAATTATCACTTTGTTGGTATGTTTTAATTAATCGCCTTGCTTTGATAAAATGCCATTTTTGGTTTTTGGAATTTCGAAAGTACACGCGTGAAAATGTCTTCATTTTTCTTCATAAACAACGCATCAATTTCGTGAAAAGAAGCAATTGATAATGAGCCGTTTTATTCGTTGAAGGACTTATTCAAGCGTCAAATATTGGATATTTTAAGTGGCCGCAGGTCAACACCCGAAATTACATTGACAAACAAACAAATGGAATAGGTCAATATTGGACGGATTATGTTATATACTGCTTATACTATATGAAAATTTATATGATTTTAGCTGCGGAAGCATTATATTAACATAATACACACGATGGAAAACAGAGTGTGTTTCGGATTGAATAACCAGCGCAAATGGCAGAGGCTAGATGTATTAAGTGATTGTCATTTATCAATTAATGACGCTGATAAACGTGACTGGAAACATCAAAAGTATGTGTTCATTCTATTTTTTTTTTCATCGGATAACAACGATTTTTAATGTAATATACGTGCTCTTCGTAATACCAGGGTGAGGCAATGCCATTTCAAACGGAAACGATATTATAGTATAATTAAGATTCATTTTTATCGTGGATGTCATCGATATCACATCACTCTTGAAATTGAAACATGAAAAATCGCACATTTTACACACACTTTCTGTCAGCTGGCCACGTGAACGCGCAAGTATATCGAATCATTTCGAAGAAACCGAGGAAGAAATTACCTAACGCTATTTGCGTCGTTTGTTTTCGCGTCCAGACTCGCACTTGTACGTATTGTTTATATTAAAAATTATTTTGGATTTAATATGTAAATATACATCAAATGTAAATAAAATCCAAGCCATAAACATAGAAAACAAAATCTGATTTCATGATTACCTCATCGGCCCCATTTTCATATTTTGGCACTTAAACAGTGTATCTTCTTTTTCGAGACTAATTTATGCATGTTTGAAAAGAATGTGTTATTGGGCCGAATGAGACTGTGTGCAGTCAATTGCCAAAATGCTAAGCACGAAATGAAAACGATAAAAATAAATTTAAACAACGATGAAAAAATAGATATGTTTACGTCCATATTTTTTCGTCATCTTTCTTTTTATCGGGACGGAAACAGATGTTCTTCACTATACGTAGTGCGTCTATAAATACATGTGATTGGCTAAAGCGAATTTAAAAAAAAAAAACACTATGCCGCTAAAATAATGCTCAAAATTCATGCCATATACTGAAATCACGAATAATTTTTTTTTGATTCGGTATAAAATACACAGTTCGTACACAAAAGATTTGTGTCTATAGACATTTTTCTGTATACAGAAAAACATCCGTAGTATTTCAGTGATGAAGTAATCTATGACAAAGACCCAGAAGGAAGAGAGTCTGTTAAACAATATATTATCCATTTGTGTGGCGAAATCGATTTTTACACGCGCAAAATGAGTCATCGCATATTTGTGTATTACACATCTATCCAGCAGGAGTAGCACATTTCCAAGGCGAAAAATGAATAGAAAGAAACAGGTCAGTGCACTGCTATATGATAAAATCAGTGACATTTCGAAAAGACATTTTCCATTATATTTTTAGATATTGCACTTTAGCATGTGAATTTATCGTTTCACCACAGAATCAAAATGATTATTTAAAATTTCAACAAAATTGTATCTTCATTGAAAAACCGCCTCTAGTATCATAAACACCATTATCTATATGATTATAAGAACACATTGTCATCCCTCACATAACGTCAAGTGTGATACGATAAAAAAGACGTCACCAATAAAAGTCATGGCACCATAGAATCAAATTAAGTTACGAATCTTTTTCCATTGTTTATATGCGTTAAATTATATTAAAATAAAAATTGGTCAACACTTACTAGCACTGCACTTTCTCGTACAACTTGCGAAACGGATTCACGTAATGCAGCGGCCATACCCGGTTTATTTAGACCGCGGGTAAATTTACGTTCGGCCATTTCGATAACAAACAAAACTAAAAAAATAATAAAAAACACAGCAATGCAAAACAAAAACATTCATTCAATCGTTGTTGTCGCCTTATGCCCAACATGTACACGCACTCTTTTTTTAAAGTGGTATACACGTATTGAGTTTGAACTTTAATCAAATTTAACTTAAAAGAATGAACGAAAAAAAAAGAACCAAAATTAAAATGAAACAACAAAAAAAAATGAATTAATGAATCGACTTTGTGTTAAACCACAGTAAATGTTCTTTTGGTTTTATTCTCTCTTTTCTTTCTTTTTCTCGTTGATGGCTATTGCTCACTCTGTATATTTTGTTATTCAGATTTGATGTTTCGCTTTCACAAATGTACAATCGACATCGATTGCAATTGAGATTCAAATGAATTATGGATTTTCACTTTTAATTTCGTTTTATACAATTTCGTATTCACTGTGCGTTCACAACCACATTTTTGTATGTGTACAATATTTCTTTCGTTACGAACTAAAATCAGTTCTTTCCGTTCTTTTTGTTCTTCGTCGTTATGGAAAATTCAATAATCTCGATCGAAGTGTAGACAGACACAATCAATGGACTTATTATTTACGACACTCCCCGTAAACGCACTTGTTTATTGCATACAAAAATTGAATACGGAACATAATTTACAACTAAAATCTTTCAATGCACATAGTAGTTTTGTTTTGTTGTTCTTTCTCTAGTTCTGTTTAGATGTTTGTTGTCTGGGGCGTTGATTATGTTGGTAAATGCGTTTTGTTGTCTCTTCTATATTGTTGTTGTAGTTTGATTTTAAATTAAAAAAAAGAATGCACCGAGAAAAGTGTCAGTCTACGACCGACCGACCGTGTTTGAACGCTCAACTTATACTGAAAAGTAAATTTCATCGAGTTTTCGATGGCAAACACGCAGCACTCTATAAAGCGTTGACTACCGTACCCATCACACACAAACATGAATGAGAAGAAAGAATGGGTGTACGACACTACCGCAACAAAATGTGTACATATGCATCGCTTCGATTGTCGTCGCAAAGCGGTTATTTAACTATACTGAGCAGCCGTATGTGATCACATTGAATATATTATAATGCATGTTTCAAATGACATCTTCAATGAAGTCGACCGTTGAATTTTATATGAGTTTGCCGCATAGACCCGTACGCAATGCAATCTATCTCTTTCATTTTCCGTAAACTCTCCAAATGTGTGTATGCGTGTGGAGAAAAATGTTTGCGATTTGACACTCGAATCTGACGTTTCGCAACGCACCAAGAAACGTCATTGTTTACAAAATTTATTTTCTATATACTGACATTTACACTCGCTGTGTTGCCTTTCCATTATTATTATTAAAATTAGCAAATTTTGTTCGTCTCTATTTTTGGACATCGCTCGTTAATTAATTCGAAACGCAAAGTATGTGGCATTAACATCGAAAAAAGTGTTCACAAATGGATATTTCGAATAGCAATGGCAAAAGCATTCAAGGTAAGAAATGTGTGACATTTTGATGATTTCATTGTTTTTATTCATGTGAATCGTTTTTTTTTTCAGTCGATCCATCCATGGAACATGCGTCACACCAATATGTTTTCGCCGATCATTTTAAAACATTTGATCCAAACATGTGTTCGGCAGCGGAATATAGCCCACCACCACCATCGGTCACCGATTCAAATGCACAACAAACAACTGTTATTGCACCGTATCATGCAATTCCATCGAATTACAATGAACTCACCGATGCTTCGGACATTTCATTGGTACCAGTTAGCGAAACGACATCCAATTGCATTACGTACAGCAATATTATATTTGTGCCGTCGATGACAAATAATGGCAATCATATGGATTCGATTGGCGATGCCATTGAACTTGTGAAGGACGAGACCAATATACCACCTGGAATTGAACTGGGCGATCCACAATCGATTAAGTACATTGTCTCTTCGGATTCACAATTACTAAATACATTCATTCGACCGAATGATTTGGATAATGTGAATGCTGTTTTGAATCACAATCCAAATGAAGAGTATATTGTGAATACTGATTCACAAATTGACAACAATTTGGTATTGAATGAAACGCATCACATTCAACAGCATTTAAACGATGTTGAATCGATGGATAAAAATCAAATCGCCATTCATCAAATAAACCAAATAAATACGGGTAACGATCAAGAAATTTTAATGCAAGATGAAAACGGACACCTATATCGACATGTTCAAAATATTCTAATCGATGGAACATCAATGTGCCCAAATGAATTATTACCTATTCTATCGGCTCCAGTTGATTTGGCCGATCCGGATTATGTCGAACAAAGCATTAGCCGAATACAAAGCACATTCAATCAACGTGAAAATACAATGCATGACTTACCATTTCAAATTCCCATCAATTTCATCACAAATCCGGAATCAAATCAAACGATTCCGGTCAGTTCAAAGTCAATGGACACCAGCGGTTTGGATATGCAGCACGTTGAATTTATTTTAAATAATGAAAATACCAATGTGATTAATAATTCGAATCAGTATGGAACGCAGTCAAATGTAAATATTTTAAATGATAACACAAATTATCAATGTCATCCAACAATGCAGTCAAATGATTCATCGAGCCAACGCTTTCTTGAGAGTACCATGTCTACATTGTGTAAGTTCCATTAAAAATACGGGTTTGAAAGCAAAAAAAAACATGAATGTGATTTTTTTATTTCAGTGGCTGCTGTAAATGACATAACGGCCCGTGATGAACAATTTCAACAATATTTAAACACTATCAAAAGTCCAAAAGACCATAGTATTGATTACTACACAGATGCCCATGTTGAGAATCATGTTGACAATATACCGCACACAATTTATACAAATCCAACGACAAAAAGTACAGCTTGTGGAAAAGAAATGCCAAAACCATTGACATCGGAAACACTTTCAAATGAACTCTTCCAAAATAACTGTGAGCCAGCCACCGATGAATATGTTGACATTAATGACATGGAATTTATTAAGAAAAACAGTGACAGCGATAAATCACACGAAAATATTTTATTAAGACGATCAAGACGAAAGAAAACAACTAAACGAAAGGATGATGATGCACGTATGTTTGAAGAACACTTTTTATTGATATTTTTCTTGCTTATAATCTAGAATCTAATCAATTTGAAATATTTATTCACATTCGATTGACATACATGATTTTGATGATCCCATAAACATATTTTATCAATCCCCCCGTCTACAAGGGAAAATATACAAAATTAATAATAATTTGAAAATTTTGCGCACTAATTTTGATTTTGATCATTTTTTTTGCTGGAAAAACAAGAGGACATTTTTTTAAAATTTAACTCACTATTCAATTTTTCGCAAAGTTCTTTCTTCTTTTCATACCTTATCATTCGATTCACCCCTTTTTTTATGCGAGAGTTCGAAGTTTTAAGCCGTTTGATTTGTTCTCGAAGATTTGGCGATAAATTTCTTTCCAATAGCTCACCAAATAATCTATCGGATGCATCCATCTCTCGACTAAGAACATCCGGGTTATCCTCACTTTCATTACTATCATCAGAACTATTGCTTTGACATGAATCTGGTCGATCAATTGTTGGTACAACAGCAATTGAATCATTTGAAATTATCGATTTGCTTGTCCCAGGAACAACAGCTGATGAACCACTTCCAGTGTCATTAGCCTCAACGGCTGCCAAATTCTCTAACGCACTCGCTGCTTCATTGAGGATCAGTAATGGTTGCGCCTGCACATAGGCATTTGAAACATCGGAGGCCACAGAATTTGGTCTCATTGTTGATGAAGTCTCATCAATTTCATCGTTACTTGCATTTTCGAGTTTATGTTCGTTGTCCATTCTTCTACAAAAAAATATTTGAAGACAAAATTCCAGAAGATATTCCGATTTCGTGTTTTTTGAAAAATAAGAGAAAATTAACAAACCTTTTCTTTAAATGAATCTGATTAAAAAAAATCAATTGAACTTGTTGTGTTTGTAGCTGAGCTCGGTGCTTATATATTGACAGCCAATGAAATAATACACGACGCCGATAGATTACTGACAATTGGGTTGCAAACTTGACATTTGCTAAAAACTGATGGCGCCACCTTGATATACTTCAGATTAACACATGTCATTATCTTTTGAACAATTTTCAAATAATTAGACACATTTAAAAAAAATTCAATTGTTTGAAAGTAAATAAATTTTATTCGATAAAGAGTTCAAAAACTCATCAAAATTCAATGTATTTTTAATTAAAATAGTGCTTTTGAAGTGATCTAAATGATATTATGACTTCAGAGAAAACCGAGTGAAAATGGCTTTTATATCGAAAAATTGATTCAATATGATTTTATTTTTTAGTGTTGGTGGTTGATAAGTTTGTGCCAAGCCGAGCTCTAGCTACTTTACCCACGTCCTATCTATACTTTGACACAAGTAATGGTGCTGCTGCAACCGGTAAGTATTTTGATCGGAAGATCGAAAATTTTAAAATATTTGTTAGCATCTGCAACAAAAATGCGATTTGTTGGTAAATTGATCTTGGTATTCGCTTAATCTTCTGTTGGGCACGAAGTCACTTGATTTCGATCGATTTATTTTCGATTGATTTGCCAAATCCTGTTTCGGAATCGGTATATTCAATGGAATTGTTTGGCCTCGTGTTTTCGGTATTTTAAGCAGATCCCAAACAGTGATTGCATCGTGCTTCATTTCTCTCCGTGAAAATGGTCGATGGTCCAATGTTTTTGTTGTTGCATAAATATCCAAATATTTTTCATAACCAAAATTCTTTACGTTAATATCGACAAATTGATGTTCTGGCCTTGAATGCATAATAATATTCGGTGTTTGGGTCTTCGGTTTCATTCTCTCACATGGCTTGTAATCATCACGATATGTTGAATTATACTTTGATAATGCTGGTGGAATCAATTGATTACCACGCTCATACAACTGCTGGGGAAAAACAAATCGCGAACACGGAACTGGCACTTCAAAGTATTCACGATAATTTGTGTATGAAAGTTTTTTATATGCATGGCTGTATTCCGATTCGAATGTACAATCATGTATACAACTTTTTGATGGACAACCGTTTGATGACCAATAAGCCATCTTTTTTTGGTACAAAATAATTTTTCAAATATTTTCCAAAATACTTCAGAAATTATTGTTTTTCACCAAACCAAGGTCAACTTGTTTGAAAATCTCTTCACTATAATGAATTTAATCATGGTATAAATATTGTAAACAAACTCATGGTTGTCATAGTTATCGAAACAACGAATCGGGGTTCTACACTACATGAATGTATAGTAATTTGATTGTTTTATTTCAGAACAAACTGTATTTGCCAAGCGCGAAATTCCACTGCATATGAAATTTGGACCATTTGTGGGTGAAACAAAGACGCTGAATAAACATGAAATCAAAATATATCGAGAATCAAATCCACATTATCCATCACTATTTCTAAGTCATAATTCGATTTTGGACGTTTCGAATGAGAGTGAGTTAATTTTTTATTTTATTTATTTTTCAAAAGAAGCGATAAGATTACTGCCTAAAATGATAAAAAATAAAATTCACGTATAGTTGGCGCTACATTCTATGTAATAAGCGTATACTTTCCACTTAGTCCGTTGCAACGGAAAACAAGTTTGCATAGAATGCAGCGCCAACTATATGTGAATTTTATTTTTTATCGTTTTAGGCAATAAATCTATGGTTTTCTTATGGCTTCTTTATAGTTTTAATTTTTCTGCGATGCTCTTACCTTTTAGATACTTCAAATTGGATGCGTTTTGTGCGAACAGCAACGAAGCATCGCGAACAAAATCTGTTGTTGTGTGTAATAAATTCGCAGCTATATTTCAAATGTTGTAAACTAATAGCACCCAAACAAGAGCTACGTGTTGGATACAGCAAAGAATACGCGCAAAAGTACTCTTTGGATCAATTGCTTCCGAGAAAGCAAGAGAAATCGAATGAATACCTATGTAAGAATATTGACGAGCGACCATCAAGCAATGAAATTCTGGATGATCATCAAAATGAACAAAAAACAAAAGAAACGTCAGTACAATCTGTGCTTCGAACCACACCAACTAAACCAAACGATTCAACATCACCGAATAAAGGCAAAGATCGATTAAATACCGGTAAAATTCGTATGCGAAAATTAGCCTTATCAAAGAAATCACGTACATCCGGACCCACAGTTCGATATGCATGTTGTTATTGTAGCAAGGTATTCTCAAAATTTCTCAGCTACAAAGAGCACACAAACGCTGTGCATGCGGTTGACATCGAACATAAACGAGTAAAAGTTGATGCTGAACACAAGCGATTAACCATCGAAGATTCTGTGATGAAAATGCAACCATTGACTGAAGAAAAAAACACAAATGGAACTAAAAACTGGTTTGTGTGTCAAAAGTGTCAGCGAAGTTTTGAGACTGCAGAAAAGCTTGAGGTAAGCATTTAAAATTTTTTTCCTTTCCCACATTTTTTCATTTTTTTTCTCATTGCAGGAACATCGTTTGTCTAATGATGATGATAAAGAGCTATTGTCTACTAAATGTCACATTTGTTTCAAGAACTTACATCGACCGTCATCATTAAGCATGCATCTCAAAAAACATGAGTCAAAAGATGGCCTTTGTAAATGTCCATATTGTTCCGAAACATACCAAAATACGCTCCAATTTCGAGATCATGTTAAAATCCATTGTCAGACCAACGGAAAGTATAAATGTCCGCATTGTACAAAAGAATTTCCAAAATACAAATCAATTCGCAAACACATTCGAATCAATCATACGATCAATCGGTTTGTGTGCGATGAATTGAATTGTGGCAAAGCCTTCAAATCGAAATATAAACTCAAAGAACATAAGTTAAGGTAAACCCATTTTCGAATTGTGTTGAAACATGTTAATTCATTGCATTTTTTTCATCTTCAGTCACTCAGATTTTCGAGAATTTTCTTGTGCCGACTGTGATAAACAATTTAAACGAAAAGGTAACGACGTAGTTTCAAATAAAATTCACAAAAATACTCACATTTCATTACCATTTCCAGATAAACTACGCGAACATATCCTTAATTTTCATTCAACTGAAATCCATAAAAATAATAACAAACGAATCGAAAATAAACCATTGAACACAATGCCGATGAAGCTTTTGGAAGAAGAACAACAACCTGCAAATGATATATTTGAAGAAACAAACGGCCACATTTATTCAGATGAAAAATCATTTCATTCTGATGATGAATTATTGTCGAAAACAAATTCGAAAAAATCACCAACAAAGCAAAGATTCAAGCCCAAAGTACCGCCAACCGAATATGAACGATTTATTTATAAGTGTCAGCATTGTCAGCTTGGTTTTAAACGACGAGGAATGTTGGTCAATCATCTTGCCAAGCGTCATCCAGATATTCGAATCGATTCGATCCACGAACTTCGGCTGCCAATTTTGAAAACGGAACGCCTTTTCTATTGTCAATATTGTGATAAATCGTACAAATCGAGTTCGAAACGGAAAGCACACATTATAAAATATCATCCGGGCCAAAAATTGCCGATGTCAACGCGGTATAATAAACCAGAAGACTGTGAAAACCCCATGGTACCGAATCCATCATTTTCAGCCAATGTTGGTAGCATCACAACGAATGTTCATCAGTGTATGTAGTGTTCTTTCTTTCGATTATTTGCCCATTATTTCCAATACTTTCTAACTAATTTCTATTCTTTTCTATGTGAATCAACCCCAGGTGTGTGGTGTTATAAACAGTATGCATCACGCAGCCGATTGCTTCAACACAAACGAAAAGAACACAGCAAAGAGATTGAAGACTCGATTAAACAGAATCAAGCAGATTACTTTAAAGATTTAACACACGATTTAAGTCAAATAATGGACTCGCGCGAAGGCCAATTCCAACAACCACAAACGCCTATCAATCAGTCTATCGATGAGTATGTAATTAAATTCAATGAAATACACGAACAGCATTCAGCACATCGATTTCAACAAATTGGGTATGCAACAAGGATTTTCGATCATTTTTTTTTCTTCTTTTCATTAATTTCATTTGATTGAATTCTAGATATGAACCGGAAAATAGATTACTGGAACTGTCTTCGGCTGCATTAGAAACATTTCGCGATGATTATTCATTTTTAAGCGACAGCGATATTGAACATTCAAACATCGACGGATCACGAGTTGATGTTAATTTCAAAATGGTTGGAGATGAATTCGGTCAAGAGAATTCCAATTGCGATTTAAATTCATTGCCACAACTATTTGAAGAGATCGATTGCATGACATTGAAACCAAGCCAATATACGACCAGTAGTTCAACACAAGTTGATAGTATTATTGGGAAAAACGTACATCTCACGTACAACAAATGAATTGACGACATGTGATTTAATACAAAGATATTGTACCTTTTGAGATTCGAATAAAATCATGATTTTTTGTGCTTTTCTATTACCAAAATAAAATAAAAAAATATTTATTTGAAAATAATTTCTGTTTTTATTTGACTACATGAAAACAGGCGCAAGTACGATATGATCGAATAAGCGATCACAATTATCTTCCCATTTTTGGAAAAGGTAGATAAATTTTGATAATTTTGAAGTGGCCGACATTTTGTGGTTTTTTTTTCAATGTTTAGCGAGAGTGTCATTTGTTAAACTACCGTTTGTTCGGTGTTTTATTAACGCAATCAATTGAAGAAGGTGCTATTACAACAGAATAGAACTCATTACTCAGTTCTGTGAATTACGTTACCTGTAAATTGACACGGTCTTTTGTGTGCCAAAATTGAAATTGTATCGGAAAGAATTAAATTTAAGACATATTATCCATGGTTAGAAAATAAAACATCAATTATAATTTTCGTTTATTTCGGTTTATTCAAAATAAAGAGAAGAAAAAAAATGTTTGATTTATTTTTGATCTGCATTGTTTAGAAATACAAAAAGGTTCTTAGTAGCTAAAAAAAATAAATTTTTGTTAGATTTGTCGAGACCTCCGAAAAATTATAAAATAAAATACGTGCGTGAAGTTTTGGTTGTATACATATACATATATCAATCCGTATCGTTCACAATAAATAAGATTGTGATACTGCCGAAATGGGTCATTTTAAATTCTACGTACAAACTGATTTATTCAAATAAGATGTGTATTGCATGTTAATGTGAGCCTTAGCTACAAATTGTTTTTTTTTCTCTTTCCTCAGCTTGAATACAGAGAATTAAATACAAAAAAAAATATAGTAAATGTTAATGTCGAAGATAAAATAGAATAAGAAAAAAAGAAAATAAAAATGTCTGTACTAAACTTAATGAAAATATGTTCATTTGTGAATTTTTTTCTATATGTAAATATTACAATGTCTATTTGTTAAAAATACAAATCGTTCGCCTCATAAGCCCATTCGACATGTGAGTTTCATTTGATTTTACATTCTCTTTCGTTAGTTAACTCGAAAAAATATATATGAAGAAATAAATATCATTCTGTAAAATTTAGTTTCGTCTTAATGATTTTTTTGTTGTTTGTTTGTTCGTTATCACTCCCATTCAAATTAAATATCAATTTTGAATAAAAGAGAATGCTATTTTAAGCATTGTTTTGAAAATTAAGTCTATTTTATTCGATGTGTATAAATTTTACTAGCGTTTCTTATCAGCGGAATTGTTTTCATTTCAAATAACAACAGTACAAAGTAGTTGTTTTGTTTCAGGTGGGAATAATATTGAAAACTGAAAAACTAATAAAACACGCGACCAGCAGCTGCCAACCTTAAAATTCTAGTAAATCAAAGTTTTACATTCGTTAAATGAAAAACAAAAAACAGAAAAAAACATTGAAGCCAAAATTTGTATAATATCGAAAACACACGATGCACAGTTTCTTATCAGTTAAAATTTGTTTAGTAAAAAGTTAGTTCAATATCATAAAAAAATGAACATAAAAATTGGAATATATAGATAATAATTATACTTATTCGAATGGGGTTGTAAACATATTAATGTTAAGGTCTTCGAATGAAGTGCCTCCGCTTTGATCGAGCATTGTGAGCATTTCGGTCAGTTCGCCGCTGTTTCCATTGCCAGCATTCGTCGCGTGTGACGGTCCAGCCGATGTGACAACCGGAACTGGTCCCTGTTCAGTTTGGTTTGTTTGCCATCCCCACATCGATGGATTTGGTTGATTTGTATGGTAGTTTTGATGCGGTTGTGGTGGCGGTGGTTGTTGTGCACGTGAACCACTCAATTGAGTATATGTCGGTGGTGCATTCGGTGAACGTGATGGGCTTACTTGATTCCAGGTTTCAGAGACTGGTTGTCGTTGTTGAGATGCATTTGCTCCATATGCAATTGGCGATTGAGTCGCTTCATAGACGTAGCCAACTGGATTTTGTTCACTGTTCGGCCGAACAACGTTGGCTTGTGGTGACATATGCGACATCATTCCGTGTGCGTTATAAATATTATTGCCTCCGGGTTGTTGTTGTTGTTGCTGTTGTAGTGTATAATCAATTCCTGGTGCTGTTGCTGTTGGATTGTATGGTTGATCATTGTCTGGCGTTGTATTGCCGGTGGCCAATGGATGCATCGTTTTACCCGAACTATTATTGCAAACGATATATTCAACTTCATCCGAATACGGATTCATGAATGCATAGGCTTGTGTTCGAATCCAAACCCAATTGCATTTTTTCGAACGGAAGCGATACATCAATGAAAAGTGTTGACCTTTTTGTTTCAATACTTGATCAAAAATCTCCTTCATATGAGCCTGATCATCCGGATGAAAGAAATCATAGCAACTTTTTCCGAGTAAATCGGTTGGCACGTAGTCCAATAAATTTTTAACACGTTGATCAACAAACGTGAATTTACCATCGATAGAATGACGTGATATAAATTCAGATGGATTATTTGCGGATAAATCGGCTGAATTTGCGGTTGATGTAACTTGCAAACGGCCAATAGCCACCAAACAGCAATGCGAATGCATGCCATCGTCTTGTGGGCGTTCCATATGGCCGCCGGGAAACATATCAGTTGGTGGCCAATTTTTTATATAACCAGTACAATGAACAACGGCATAATTAACACCATCACTTCCGGCTGGTCCAAGTGAATTTTTCTGCTTCAAACGATTCAAATGGCTTTCTGAATGGCAATTACCGACACGCATACGACATATAAAACCACGTCTTGATCCCATCATTAAACGCATCGATGATTGATGACCTTCTTTTTTCACCGTTCCCGATTTCAAATCCAATATTCGTCCACTGTTCTGTGGTTCTTGCGTTGACAATTGTTCACGAACCTTTTCACGATCGTCCGGATGAATTTGCTCGAAAAAGCATGTATTGAACCAATCATTTTGTGAATGATTTAACACTGGCGTCACTGAATCTGACACATAAATGATTCGACCTTCGTCACACGAGACAACAAACAAAAAACCATCAGCAGCTTCCAATATGAGATGCTTCAGCTCTTGATCTGTTAAAAATGATGGTTTGTATGTGCCATCGCTGCTTGTGTTGCCCGTACCGCGGAGTGCTTTCATATGAGCAACGGCCATTCGTAAAATGGTCAATTTGTCTGGTTTACGTGCTAGTGCACTGCATGTTGGCACCATATCGGATAATTCGGTGATGTAGGCAGTCATTTTATTGCGTCGCCTTCTTTCGATTTCACAGTGATTTTCACGACTTGCAAATCGTTCGCGATCTTGATTATTTTCGTCATCCATTCTGTCGTATTTTTGAGCACTGGCACTCTCGTCGTCCAATTCAGAGCGACTGTATCGTCGTTTGTAAATAGTCGCTTCACTCGGTTCACTTCCCAAATATAGATGCGATAATGCTGACATTAGGCATTCACAAAATATTAGAGGTTTCGAAACCTTTTAAATTTTTTTTTTATCTTGAATCAAGTGTACTTCAAAACACTCGAAACAATTTTACACAAACACTTTAATTGACAAGTTCACAAAACTAAATGTTCCAAATTTTATTTAAAGAAATAAAACTTTTACGTGAACAATGCCCCGAATACGAAGAGAAACAACACCAAAAACTGCTTTATGAAAAAATCCAAAATGGAGGATTTTGTATGAAGTTTTTTTATTGATGTCTTTGTATGTCTTTATTCCTCTGTCTCGCTCACTTCTTATTATTGTTATGTTTGAGTGACGTATATAAACATACAATACTATACTGTTTTATTATGTGTTACAAGCGTTTCTCCTATGCACAACATATACACAGAGGCTGGGTGTGACGTGTGACATACTGAATGTTTTCTTGTTAATTCTGAACCGCTTTAGTGCTTTGTTTGAAACGACATGAAGTTGCGTTCACATATCACATTGGAATATGCATCGGATTTTTCTCTTTTAATATTTTGGTTTTTGTTAGAGTTTTTGTCATTTTTTTATAAATAAATGAGATTTCAGCGGATACCATTCAAATCAATTCGAAAATTTTGTAATTTCAATTCAAATTAAAAAAATATTCTCATTAAATAATATTCATTTTTGAAATCTCATCCGCTGTCTTTGTAAACTGGATCAGTTTGAACCATCAAAAAGTGACGTTTCATAGCTGTCATCATTTTTCTGCAACGGTTCGGTTTTATTCACACTTATCACGCGACTGCACTATTTTCATGTGAACATTGCCGTTGTACAAAACAAGACGTTTAAATGAATACCAAGTGACAGTAATAAATAAATTGTGTTAGCGTATTGCGGTGTTTTATACACTGTGCCATGTTCGGATAAAGGCAACCACACACACATCTAATTAAATATGCGGTTGAATTTATGTAAAATTTTCATCGTAAAATTGGTTCATTTTCTGCGCCAGAATTGGCTTCGATTTGCCGTATCTATTACATTTTTAATATGTATTTGGCCAAATCGGTATGCGCCGCATTATCCGTACATAGCATCCGATGAGATTTTGGATGAGCTTATTGAGAGAACAACACCAAATGTGACCCAACAATTTGCTGGCAAACTCAGTTGCGATTACAACAATGTGATAAGTGAAAATCAATTTATGTATCGTGAACCGTACATCAGTACGTTATTAGATGGAAGTGATATACGATTGGGTGGCGAATGGATGCCATCGACATGTGCACCAAAATATAGTACGGCCGTTATTGTTGTTTACAGACAAAGAGAGAAACAATTGGACGCGTTTCTCACATATATTCATAACTTTTTGCGTAAACAACTGATACACTACAGGATTTTCGTAATCGAACAATACGATCAAAAACCATTCAATCGTGCAATGCTCTTCAATATCGGCTTCGTATACGCTAGTCAATTTGATTTTCCATGTCTGATTCTGCATGATGTTGATCTTATGCCGATGAATCTGGGAAATCTCTATGTGTGCACTCGTAAACCCCGCCATATGTGCTCAAGTTTGGATAAATTTCGGTTCAATTTGCTGTACCACGGTTTGTTTGGAGGTGTTGTATCTATGGAAACCAAAGTTTATCAATTTATCAACGGAATGTCGAATAAGGTAAATAGAACTAGAAATTTGACTATGAATTACGGGGTTATATTAAAAAGCATATTGCATGCTATTGATTATATAACTAACAATTGTTTAATGATATGGTTTCATCGATATGATGAAAAAATAGTTTTTTAAAATCATTAGTCACTTTATTTCATTATAAGTTTTCAGTGTTTTTATTTATAAATTATGTCATATTCTAATCACACATATTAAATGTCCAGTTTTCAGGTTGGGGAGGTGAAGATGATGATTTTTATGAGCGTTTGCAGGCGAAAAAAATTGACATTTGCCGATTTGGTCCCGATCATAGTCAATACACCATGCTAAAACATAACCAAGAGGCGCCCAGTGAAAATCGAATTGCATTTCTAAGTAACGGAAGTTTACGATACAATACCGACGGTTTAAATTCCCTTGAATATAAAGAAAAAGAGGTCAAACTCCACAAGTTGTTCACACACGTTTTAGCAATTACCTAAAATGCACCTGCCTTTCTTTTGAATAAATGTTTAATCAACGATTGAATTGCATTTATAAATGATATCAGAAGTGTAGGCGATAATAATTTCTTATACCATTTTTTTAAACTCAATATTCCCATAAGTTTCGAGTAAGATGTGTAGCCAGACAATTAGTAGTAATTAGTGAAATTGCATAGAGGCAATCAAGATGTGGCAGCTCGTATTATGACTCATAATGGGTGTTTTTTATTGAATGAATTTTCTTTGTAAGGAAAGGTCTATCTTAGTTTAACCAATTCGCCAATTGCGTAGACATTATCTAAAGTGAACACGTGCTTTGTTATCTTATTCCCTTCGAACAATACTCATTGAAAACCAAAAAAAAAGAATCACTTTGATTGATCGAAAAGTTCTTTATCTAGTTCTAGGTACATCCTTAATACATTTTTTCATCGCTTAATAAAATTATTACGTTATTCAATTGCCTGGTCAAATGGAATGTATGAATTGCTGGCAATAAATAATAAGAAAGGATAATTTAAGCCAACACAATCTTAATGACAAATATATTGTGATTTACGATAAGAAATGAATCATATTTGGTTAGAAATGAACCATAGGTGCTTACAACCAAAAATAAAGTGATCCTTATGGAATGTGAAAATGAAAAGACAATGAATATTATCAAAAAAAATCCATTTTCTTTTCTCTCAAATGAGACTTACAACCAAATTTGATCAATTTGATATGATGTGACTGATTTATGTATCAGTATTAAGTAGAGTTATGTTATTATTAGATAAATTATATCGTCGTATTAAACGAAATAGATATAAAAAATAAATATGTATTTACATACAAGCTAGAGAATGGATGAAGAAAAGTCTTACTTAGAAAAAATATCTAACGTCCATTCTTATTCAAAACAAAATCAACTCATTCAATTAGTAGTAATCCTAAGAGTATTATTGTCAATAAAACAACTTTAAAACTTAAAATAAAAAATAAAAGTCAACATTTCGATAATATTATCATCGATTATGTATGAATTTGTTTCCAAAAAATCCATATGAAATCAGTTTAGCTAACAACATTTGTTTTCTTTCGATATGTACAGATTTTAATTTGTATTTTGTTTTTATGGCTAAATTGGCGGTTTTTTTTAATGTTCGTTGAGTGGATTTCCGAATTCATCAATTGCTACACTTGGAACGAGTGGCGGTTTGAAACCATACTCCCATCGGATATCTTTCGAAAATGAATCAACAAATTTCAGCTTATTATCGTAACCACTGAAACCATTGCTAATTGGCGATGGTTCGAAAAATTGATCCCGACTGCTGTGCACAGAGTTTGGCAAAACGGCCGACACCACATTTATTGACGCTGACGCTTTTGGACCGAAATCCTCATTTATATATGGTTGAAATCTGCGAAGAGAAATAATATCGTTACATAAATGTCGGTTTTTCTTTGTGTCATTATTCCAATCAACGAACAGTACTATAATTATCTGAATCATTCGTTTCACAGTATGAATTACTCATTGATATAAAAATAATGAGGTGTTGAAAAACGTATAAGTGGATATCATCAAAATGTAAATAATACGTTTATTTACCTCGGTGGCGGTAATAATCCAATTGAGTCTATCGTTGGCGGCGCTATGATATCATCAGCTAGAATATGATTTGGCTTTTTTATAATGACGTGTTTTATATGCTTTAGATGATTGTGTTTCCAATCGAATAAACCATGCCCTTTGCCATATTTTGTTGTTTTTATTATAAACTTTTGCGGCGGTGGCATCGGTTGCTTTACTATAAACAAATTACACAGAAAAAGATAGATAATAATATTATAGCCGATTGAAATATAATTTTGGTTTTTCAATGCCTTGAAAGTAATTTCACATTTCGAATTTAAAAAGAGATCATATAAATAACAAAAAAAAAAAAATGAAATTGATACGAACATAAAAAGGGCCAGTGATAAGCCACAGGGACTTCAACAGGTAAAATATATGGAATGTGAATTGGACGATCAACATATTGAACGTATGGAACGGCCACGGGTTTTTCAACGATGTGATTTATCTGAAATAAAATTGAGCATTTTTTTCTATAGTCTAAGTAAATGTGCTTATATAATTCATAAGAAAGCAAAATATGCAGATAAAATGGAAAAAACAAGCAAAAATCAACAAACCGGAATTTGTTTTTCAACAGGAACGTGAATGATTTTTTCCACTTCAATTGGTTTGCTCGCAACTGGATATGGCACCAATTTTTCAACAATCGTTGGTGGATGTTCAATGTGTTTTTCGATGACATTCGTAATGGGTACTTCTTTCACCACCAATTTTTCCACTTCAACCGGAATGATTTTCTCTTGCGGTGGCGAAGGAATGAATTCCTTTTGAATGACAACTTTTGGTTTTTCAACAACTTGAATTTGTGGGGGTAGTTGAACAATTTCCTTATGCACGACTGGTTTTTCGATGATTTGCGGTGGTAATTGTACGTATTGTTTTTGAATAATTGGCACTTGTGAATGAGTATGAATGTAGACTGGTTTTTCAGTGACGACGGCATGATGTACCGGAACAAAGTTTGTAACTGGTTTTATAGGTGCTTGAACAGGCACAGGAGTAACAGTGGATGTTATCAATGTTGGTGGTGTGGTTAATACGCGTGGAGTCGATATAATTTGTGTCGTTACAATTCGTGGTGTTGTAAAAGTACGCGGTGCCGGCAACGGCGTTGTATTAAATGTTTTTATTCGTGGCGATGGCCTGTATGCTCTTGTCGTTGAACAAGGTTGCTCACATGGATTTCGTGTAGTACTTGATACTCGAGCGCCAAATACTAAATTTTGTTTTGGTTCATCTTTGTAAATGATCTTTTGAATTTTCGTATTTTGTTGAATGTCAACATTTTCTAAAACTCGATTTTGTCGCTCGGTTACACCAACATTTGGTCGATCGGTTGGATCATCACAATCCTCATCGGGTAATTGTTTTGGTCTTCCATCATTCGATAGTCTTGAACCAACCTGAATTGGTGCTAAAAACTTTTGTTCGGCTACAATATTTTTGCGCCGTGATGGGCGTTCCGTTGTTGAAGTGGTTGTAGTTTTTGACGTTACCACTGTATTATTTTCTTGCCGAATAAATACGGTTTGTTTTAAAAATTGCCCATTATTATGCGCCTCTGGTTCAATAATTTGAACATTTATCCGCTGTCTTCGCGTAAAATCATCGGCTGGTCTAAACAAATTAACCTCTTCGTTAACAACAATTGGCCCAGTGAATTTACTGTTAATTGTTCGTTTTGCGGTATTTTTTTCGTCGTTGGAATTTTTATCATTATCCACGGCTGCCTGTTCGGCTGACACTAAATCTTCTAACAATGGAAATGATTCACTTGTTGGTGTCGCGGTTGTCGTTGTCGTCGTCGTTGATTGAGTAGTAGTAGTCGTTGATGACACCGGTAATTTGGTGGTTGACGAAATCGTTTCATTAAATATTGCGTCAGTGTTTGTTGCGTTTGCGTTAACTGTAATGATTGTTTTTGTATTGTCATCGGCTGAATAACATCCGGTAATCAATAACGCCAGTACAATTATCTAAAACAATTGCATTACGAATTTTCGAATGAGAAAAAAATTTATATTTAGATTTTAAAAAAATTATATGAATAGATTCACATTTAATAGTCACGATTATATTGCTACGTTGATGATAATCTGGAAATTATGAATTACCTTGTTTTCAAGCATTTTGGAAAGCATGAAATAAAAATAAAACTGATTTTGTCGATGTCTTTGTCCCTCGCTTCTTTCATGTACCTAAAAAATGCAAAATACTTGCTTAAGGTCTTTGTTGTGTTCAATGATTTGTTTTTAATTTAAGTGTAACAGCTCTTATATTTTCTTTTAATTCGTTTGGCAACGAACGTTGCGAGAAAATGATGCGATTTTTTTTGTAACGAAATCCAATGATAATTGGCTGATTGAATTTTTCAATTATAGTTTCTTTTGACAAGCGCATCAACGTTCGTGTGATGTAATAATTGAGTGTGAACCATTGAAAAACACACACAATTTGATATACTTTCCATCCATCAGTCAATAGAAACTTGAAATGTATATTTACACTTTAATTTTCTCTAGCCTATACAATAATTTTCTTCGTCATTTCAAAAGTAAAAAGAAAAAAATGTCAAACGATCAATTTTCATGTGTTGAGTTTTTTCACCGACCGTTGTTCACTGCACGCAAATGTCACCGTTGCGGTGAAATGATCGACTTGATCTTGTAAATTTCTCGTTAGTATAAAGTAATTAAGTTGTTATTGAAATGACATAAACCATTCGTAATATTTAAAAAAAACGCCACATTTTAAAATGAGATCAGATTAAAACAAACATATGATTAAAAACACTTATACTCAGCATGTGAGTAAATGAACGTTGAATTAGAGTCACGGAAGCTGAAAAATGGTCTTTCCTTTGCACCGTCGGTTGAAAGTGAAACGTTAAGTGGCAAAGTATACGTTGTACTGAATCGTTTAATAACTCATAAATATTCGTAGTTTCGAATTGGTCTCATTAAATGCAACACTTTCTCGATGTAAATTCCGCTCACGGGAGCGAACCAGAGAGAATTTGATATGTAAACAAAAAGAAATAAATGTGTGTGTGTATGTTTGTATTTAAGTCGATTTTAACTATGAACAAGCACTTGAATTATATTATATGATACATTGACCGAAATGTATGGACGCGAGAAAATTGGAGCGAAATAAATAAAATTAAGAGGCGGCATCCGCTAGGAAATTTCATTTTAAATTTAAACGTTTCCATTGTTTATCGTTTAACGTATGGTGTTGTGTGTGTTTTTCTTTTGTCAATATCATGCTGCATTATTATTGTTTTTGTTCCCATTTCATTGCGAAAAGCCGTTCAAACGATCACACTTTAAACATATAATTTCACTTTTATTACTAGTTTATGTTTACTGTTATTTTCATTCTTTCATATATTCGACGCGGTAATGAAGACAACCACTGCGATGCAAAATGAAGAAGATGATGAAAAAATTATGACGACGATGGGAAATGATTGGTAATAACAAATCATTAAAAACAAAAACGAATCGATAATAATAATTAGTTGAATGCTTCGAGCCAACTAATCAATGGTATTCATAACAGCGACCCACTGATACTCACGCTCATTCAATTATCACACACAAATTATGACTGATCTAGAATGTTAAAAATGCTCCATATTAAATAGTCCCCTCCCGCTTATTGAGATAACTCTGTTGTCGGTGTTCGCAGCAACAGCACCAGCAACGAACGAAAAATCCAGCAATTTCACGGCAGCACAACACTGCATCCAAAAAGAGAGCACATCGATTGCAAATTGCACGAAGAAACTGAAAACGATACTAACGAGTCGAAGAAAATCGAGAAAAGAGAGTTACTGTACAGACGCCACACGATCCAACTAAACGTGTCGAAGGTGCACGAGCGAATAAATGCGCTTGATGGTGCGTTGATGATGTGAGGCTGTCTGTGGCCACATTCACTGGCGCTCACACTCCGTTCAAAACAAAAAATCAAGAGACATGAATGTTTACTCATTGAAAATTGAACCAAAGCATATATTTGCTCAACCGTTACCGTGATTTGTCGTTTCGCATTAAAATTCAAAATGTTACCGTTTTCGATTCAATACATATGGGCAATAAAATTGATTGAAATCATAAAATAAGATACAAACTTTGTTCATGTGCCCTTTCTCTCTTTCGTTTCACCTACTCGATTTTTGTAAACCTACTGTTGACTATGTCACCCTCGGCCAGTGAATAAAAATGAATATTTTGTTGAAGCTGTGAAGATAAAACAATTCTTGATTCGGAACTAGCAAAACAAATTAACCATGTTCAAGCGTATGCTGCGTGTGAATGTGATCGATGTGAGTTCCATGATAATAACAACGCTATTCATAAGATCAACCGGCATACAAATTACGAGATTCGGTATAATTCTCATACATTGTGATACAGAAATGGGCTATCATTTATTTTAAATCTTCTCTGCCATATTTAGTTTCATTCATTGAAATTGGCTGAAAGTAAATCGTCGCTTATGATGGCAATGGGTAAAAAGGATTACTTCTTCTTTTTTGTTCACAAACCATAAATTTGAGCTGCATGTGACAGAGATCAGAGAATGGCATTCGAGACATTGTGAAAATGTGCGATTGAGAAAGAGAACGAGATGAAATAAAGAAAGAAAAGAGAGTGAAAACGAGTCACACAACGACCGATTTGTTGTTGCACTTTTACTTAATGGCTGGTTTCATTTTCGCTCGAAAAATATACATAGTACAAACGATAATAAAATGTTGGTTGAAAAAAAAAAAATGTAGGTACAGACGCAGCGATAAAACACGCGTCATTATCAAAACATGTACGCGCGTCAAAGATCGTAAACGTCACAACATCGCATTAATTGATAATTAATTGAAAAAGAAGGCGCAGCCACCTCTCGATGGCTTTTTACCATGCACGCAATTAGAATTGATTCAAATCGGCGTTGATAATAACCAAGAATAATGGCGAAATATAAACATCGAACCGAAAAAGAAATTGACCATTCGGACGCTCACGAGATAGTTAGTGTTTAGTTTGACAAGTAAAAGTTATAAACCGGTAAAGAGTTGCACTTAATCTTATCTCGATTCGATGAAGTGAGCAAGGATAAAAAAAAACTCGGTTAGAAAATGACTCTTTTTCAATTTTAATAATAGCATTAAAACGCTAAGCATACATATAAATTTGCTCAAGTTTTCTATCGTATAATATAGCCCATAATAATAATAATATTTCTTTTAATTGCTTGCGTAATACGTTATTTTAATTGGAAAAAAATTCAATTGAAATGCAAACGATTTACTAATTGCGGTTTGTGGTCACACGAAAATCATTAAGCGACGCACTTTCGATTTGTACAAATGAAAGTGAATGAAGGAAAAAAATAGCGGTGTACAACATCTGGGCGCATCAATCATTTAAATCTTACGCAGCACATTCTTATACATCCAATGAAATCGGACTTAACGAAAAACATAACCATTGGCCAATAAAGCTACCTGCGTACGCATTTTTACCTCATTGCAGCATTTTACAAATGACTTTTAATTTGAACATTTTTCTCATTTTTCTCATATTTCCATCGCCGCACACGGTGTTCAAAATAAAACAACGCCAACCGCACGAATATTGAACAATCACTTGCTTATTCTGTGGTATGTGGTTTCATTGACCGAAAACTGAAACTATATGATTTTCGTTTATTGTTACTTTTCACAATGATGTCTAGCGGCGTTTTAGATTCGGCATTGTCGAAAAGTACATTTGAAATGTAAGCGGTTTAATTCCTTTTAAATTTCATATCTTGGATTGCATGCATTTTGATCAGAAACCGATTGACAACAACTGTTGCAATAAGGCATTTAATTTGCTCTCAGCTCAATTTCTAATTTGGAAAGCTTTTCAGCTTCAGTCACGTCGAACCCAATCAGCAACCAAGCAAATATGTCGCTTCGATATACCGATATGCTTCTGGTATGAATAACAAATATAGAGGAAGAATTTACAGGCAAATAGCAATTTCGAAAATATGTTACATTTCAGGCGGCCATAATAGGTGAAACGTGCTCCAGTATAATATACTATTTTACGTGAAGCATCACATCTTAATGCGGAACGTTTATCCACGATAGAAGAATCTAATGAATTTCACTGTATGAAATCTTGTAGACGACAAATATTGATTACTATTAACATTTCCGCAAATTCATATATAGCTCATTTGAAATTCAACATTGATTTTAGGTAAAGAAAAGGTTCCGAGATGAAAATATTATACATGCATATAAAAAGGATAAAAAATCTATAGTAAAAATCAGAGTATTTTAGTATTTTGGTTTATTGCCAAAAAATGTTTCATTGCTAGAAATATGAAAAAATCAGTTCTTTTAGGAGTGTATTCATTATTTAAGTGTAAAACAGTAATGCATTCACCAGCCGACGATTATGAATTTCTACGAGGTGGAATAATATTTAAGTCATAAGTAAACATATAATATTGATTAGTGGTCATTCAGTATCGCAAATTTTCAAACAGATCAAAATTAATTATGCTCAAAAATCGAATGATGTGGCGAAATTTACCTTATTTTTTTATTATCGCATATTCCACAATTTTTCGCTTCTCAAAGCACAAAGCACAATTAACTGCACGAAAGAGTAAAGAACAAACAAATTTTGTATTATAATCAATTTTGTGTGATTGATTTGAAGTAAATAAAAATTCAACTGAATTGTTCTTTTGAATAATGAAGTAATGGAAAAGAACTTGAGTTGCATTTTAAATGATGATACACATATTGGGCTTTCGAAAATTGTCTTCCACTGAAAAATTGCACTTGCTGGTTTTGGTAAACATTTCAATGTGATTTCAAAACAACACCAAATCAAATATTAAAATAATCAAAATAAAATATAAACAGCAATTCATTTTCAAGCGAATTGCAGTAGATATAAAAATCTCAACATGTCAGATTGACATTTATCTCAGAAGAGACATTTACTTTAATTTTGCCGTCGAATAGTTCACATTCACATTGTAAGTACTGTGGAGAAATTAAAGAAACAAATAAAAAAACAGCATGAATATTAGTAATCCCGATGAACGGTATTGTGGGGTTTGCCAAGCATTATTGTTTTTGACTTCAAACGTGTGTCCAGTATGTTACGATATAGAATATGTGTAAGTGAAATTATGTTTTTTGGTTGTATTGCAAATAATTGAAGTGAAAACCCAAGAAGAACAAAAAAAATAGTTTTTAGTTTTAATTCTTTTTTTTATATTACAGTGGTCCCTCAACCGATTCTGCATCCGAAAATGATTAAATATGGTACTGTTGGTTACCGCAAAGTATTACTTACTTCCTTAAATAAATTTTATTCATTGTTTTGTCGATTTTTGTAATGATATTTTCATATAAATCATAAATAAATCGTAATTTCAAATGGTTTATTTACTAAATTAATTTCGAAGCGAACTATTTTCATACATGACTCATTGAAAAGAGTATTGTAAGTAGTCTTCAGCGTCTAAGAAAAGTTTTTATAGGATAATAAACCGCTTGTGTTTGATCATAGAAATTCGTCAGTTCGTGGAACAAATACGTATCAAATCCAATATCAGTTTGGTGAAAAGTGTCAACAGATTTCAGCACGTTTACCTAATAAAAGTGACTTGATCTTTTTGTTAATTGTGTATATAGTTCCAGTTTATTTGATATTTTCAACCAATCAATCAGTTGGATGTTAGTTTTTTCCTTGTCGCGTCTTTAATTCATTTATTTAATTCGTTTATACCAGTTAGTTACTTTCATTTGTCTAATAGTCTGTCACGTTTGACGTGTTCGAAAACATGTTTCCCAAACACGCAATCGATTCATTCTGCATTGCTTGCATCTCATCGAGTATAGCGTACATATCCAATGGATATTATCCATCGGACGGCTGTACACTTTCATATAAATATAATGGATAAAGTAGCAGCTTTTATTTGCAAACTATTCAATTTATTTCCCAGCCTAACACTGAAGAAAAATAACTATTATCGTTGCATTTCCACATTCATTGGAGTAAAAGAAAAAACAACAAAAATTACTTCACCGAAAAAGATGCTCTAATAAAGGCTATTCCATAGGGGTAAATTGGTCATCGTATCTAATTCAATCGGTTGTACAGGTTGCGTAACACAAACTCACCGCAAACAAAATATGGATTGGAAATTATTATCAAAAACTTCCGTCATTTTGCGTCGTCTACGAAATCAAATGCCCAAAGATTCGCATTATTTTTTTCTCTCTATTAAAGGCAATACGGAATAGAAAATATATATATCGATCAATTTTCAATAAATTATGCGCTTTTAATGATTTTTTATGTAATTTCTTCCAACGTATGATACGCGTAATTTCTTTTACGCAGTTTGCGTGTACAATGCACACACATCAAGTTTCATTTGAACTTTTCTTCCTGGTTGCATTCTATTGATAAACTGGTTTTTCTTGCAATTTTTCCATCGTTCGCGACGCAAATGTGATTAAAAAGTAATAAATTTTCTACGACTAAATTCACTTTATACATAAATTAAAACATGGTCAAATAAAAAGATTTCTTTAAAACAAATGTGAAATTGCGTTAATTTGTATGCCATAAAAATAGAGAGTGGTATGGTTGATTAACCTCTTTTTTGTGTTTTATGTCACTTGGGGTATTACATTGTAACTAAGATTTTGATGGAAATCATTCGAATTTAGAAAATCTGTTTAAAATATTGTCAAACAGTAGAATTTAAAGGAAATATATAGGCTTCAGAAATGACGCATTCACATACATCTCATAAATGACAGGCTTTCTTGTATTGTTTTACATAGATTATTATCTCTTTTTTTAGGTAGAAAAAAGGTGAAGCTTGTTGAAAGAAACAAGACAAATTACTATATTGCTACGATTATGATCATAATCAATCTTGGATTAACAGTGTGAAAACAGTTGTAATTAATATCGGTTTCAGTTCATATATTTTTAGCTGCGGGTCATATATGGTGAGGTGGCGAAGAGAGTGCGCTTTAAAAAAAATTGCAAGAGAGAAGGTGTGCATTTGTTCTGTGTATCTTAATCTAAAGATTGTAAATAGATTTGTAGAATGAATAATTTCCACATTTGTCGCGACGAAGTCTTGGAATATACTAAATCTCTTCTCCAGCTTCCATAGAAAAAAGAACAGATTCCATAGAAAAATGAATAAATTCAATAAATTTTTTTAGAAATTATACGAAATGAAACAAGCAAATAGAGCTCCAAGATTATTTATGAAGTCAAATGAAAGAAGATTATCTCAACTTTCCTTTTTTTTAAAAAATTCTATGAAAATGTATCTACTTGAAAAAAGATTGAGTTGATTCAATAAAATTGAAAGAAATGTACAATAAGAATGTTGATAACAGTTTTTTTTAAATCCAACTTAATGCAGTAATTAATTAATTTTAATCCAGTCTAATTGGCCCTTTTGCATTAATCATTCGTTATAAAATACAATTGAAATTTTAATTTGATTGATGCTGTTTTAATGTCATGTAAATAGACCCTTTCAGAAAAAAAGTCACTGATTGAAATGGGTGTAATTAATCGTTACTTGATGTGTTACAATATTATTACAAACGATGCCGCAAATCATTTTCCAACTCATTTGATTCGTGGAACTCTTCTCATTTGCACGAATGACCAATATGAAGTGATAAAAGAGTTAAAAATCGCATCCGAATGGTACGATGTTAATAAGAAAATTTGTCGAGAGTGTGCTTGTTGATCTTGCCGTTGGCCAGGTATGAATCAAAGCAAAAAAGTTCAATAGTCTAATTATGCTCAATTTGAATGATGATAATCGAAAAATACGAACTCACGAAACAAACTGGTCGTCCGCTGTGCATGCCAACTTCTGTGAGTAAAACAAACCACTTTTCTGAATGCCAATAAAATTATAAGTTTAATGTATGTGTGTGGATGGTCATGCGGTAATTTTTAGTTCCTCTACATAAAATATACGTTATTTCCCATTGCCGTGACCACATAAATTGATTGCATCGGTCGTTTTGAATCGAAAGTAATCATTTTTTTTCTGTTAACGCTGTTTTGTTGTTCAATAGATGATAAAAATGGAAGAAGCGAATAAAAAAAAAGCATGTGGAAGCAATTACGGTAGCTAAATTTAATATTGTTGTTAGTGATATGAATCCGTGTTTGTCCCACGGATTTGTCATCACCATCTTGTTGATAAGTTGAAAAGCTGCCAATATATAAGACTGATTAAAGAAACAATCGTACAAATTAAACAACTGCAGATAAACATCAAAGTCTCGAACTTGTTTCAATAACACTTTAATCCGATTATATTCGCATTATCTATGATACATCTTATTTGAATATTAAAAAATTTCTATCTGCATCATAATTTTTTTTTACATTGTCGCAAAAATGTAAACAATTGAGTGAGAGAAGAGACAAAAACACTTATTTCTTTTATCTCGGTTTGAAAAGAAAAAAGATTTCTATCAAGCAACACTTGAATACAAAAAATGAATTGGATGAGTTTGGCGGCGAGAAGCGACAGCATTTCGCCATAATTTTGATTCGATAAGTGCAATCACGGAAACAACAATGTGAACTATTCCAACTTAAACCCGACCGTTCACGGCGAGTCGTCTTTATAGGGGTGTCATGTGTTTTTTTTCATTATTACTACCTACAATAATGTATAATCGTAAAAAAATATTGAATTTCCTTACCACTAAAGCAAATAAACCTGTTCCCATTTCTAGCATTGACAAGTTTTTTTTCTCTTCGTTTTTTTTTCTTTTCACCGTCAATTCGTATCATTTCATTTTACTTTCTTTGGAGTAATGAATTCACAACCGAACGAATCGATTGGACATACACAACACAAGCGAGACACTCTGATTGAATGTATGCACATGGTTAATAAAATCATATGACAATGACCTACCGCTACATTGATTGAATGTTGTTATTTTGCTTGACGACCACTTGCGCGTTCGCATATATTTTCGTGCTGTTTTTAATGATCACATTGAATTTCAATGTAAATGCAGCCACTTTATCATCACTGGTGCAGCCGGTTTCGATTTTTCTTTTCGAATGTTAAAAACGTTATAAACACATTTATAACATTACACTTTGTGAAAGACGGGTTCGAAGAGCGAACGAAAACGATAAACAAAGACAGAACGAATGATTTGATTGAGTAAAACTCACCAGCCACATTCATGTATATATAACGGTGGATTTCGTAAAAAAAAATATTTTAAGCACTCCAATGAAAGTGATCTGTATAAACAAAACAAAATTCATGCTCTCAGTTAAATCTGGTTTAGCAACACACATGCGCGAACGAAGCACAAAGAAAGATCGACAAAAAAAACGCTTCGTTTTTCTTTTGCGTCGTCATTTCTTTTCCTCTTCATCTCGGAAATGTATCTATTATATGTTATATTATCGAAGAATGCAACAACTTTTGCGAGGGAACGAATGCGAAAAATGACGGCAAATCGGCATGCGAGTGTATAGAGTATAGTGTTTTGTTTTGCAAAACCAAGATCAAGTCCATGGAAATGAAATACGTGTTTATGAAATTTTGCGCACCGAAAAGAGAATATTATGCATATTCGATGTTGTTATTGTTGCGATACATGCTATCAGAAAAACGTACTTTGTAATTTAAATTTGCTGTTGTTGTTTTGCATGAAAAAAAAACGAATGTCGATTTTAATGAACCTGAACATCGAAATAGTTGCGACATAATTTATAGCATTTGATTTGATTGCAGAGTGCATGTTTGAAAAGAAAGCAAACAGATGATAAAATGGCATTAAGATGAATTGGCGGCTATATGAATTAAATCCGAAAATCTACAATTGAAAAGAGCCGGTGTGCAGTGTGGTTTTGTATTTTTTTAATCGGATTTGGAAATATCGAATCATACATTGCCATTTGAATTGATTGTTGCTGGTGGTGGTGGTGGTGGTGGTGGTGGTGGTGGTTAATGTTGCTGTTTTTGGTCGTTTTTTGTGTCACATGCTATATGGTTGTACCAAACGTTTTCTATGGATCAAACAAACAAATGAGCAACGCTTACATTTGTTAAGCTACCATCGCTTCTGAACATGTTGTCAATCGAAAGGTGTACGCGCTTCGTTTGTACATTTAACGGCATCGATACGAGTGTGTACGACTGAATGTATCCGTCCGGTATGAGTGCATCAAATGCACTTGAATACATACGAATATATCGATTCTTTGCGAGTTTGGATGTTGGAAATGGAGAAAATAATCAACAGATCATATCAATGTACATAGCGTCGAGGCGGAATGTATGATGTGTAGTCAAATAAACCTTCGATTTGTATTTCTCTGGTCGGTATGATGCCGCCGTTTACACACTGGTTTTTCTATATAATTTTTTTTTCGTTGGTTGGTAATGAACGAGTGTGTGCGCGCGTTCATTTACAATTTTTGCACTTTCCGATTTCCTTTTCGTCCATGCATTGAATAACCGTCTATTTTAAACAATATACGAGATTTGTTTTCAATTAGTCGGCACAAAGCCACAAGACCGTCAGCATCGCGATTCATCCATACAACATACGTAGATATTATTTGTTGTTCGACGTGCAAATAGCATCAAATCACATCGAAAGTGTAATTATTTATGAATATATATTTGAAGTTACCACTCAGTGTTAAAGGTTAAGTCATTTTTATTGAATTTCTTCGTGCCTTATTTTTGTGATACAACATTCATAAGAAAAAGAAAAAAAAAAGAGTAAAAACTGAAAATGCATCTAATTCTGGTAAGACAGTCGATCGTTATGAAATCTCGATCTTAATTTCACAGTGATTTAAAATTGATTTGGTTTTATACCGTTTTCTTTTCTTCTCTTCTTTTTATAATTGTGTGTTGAAGTATCTATTACTACCGTTAGTAGTAGTGAATGAATTTGTGAATGCTGGTCCCAATACACGCGATGTTACACATCGGCCACAGCGTAAACAACAAAGGGTAATACAAAAAAAAAATTGCGTGCAATCAAATCGAAATAAATTTGACATTGGTTTTCAGAAAGCGAAATTGACGACAACAACAACGATAGATTCATCAACAGCATCACCAAGCCAACCAAGTTCCGTAACGCCATCAACTGCAAGTGAACGTGCAATTGGATCGGATTTTGTTCCACGTGATATCATCAAATTTGAATTGGCCGATGCAAAGGTGCCTGATTTTGCATCTCAACAAAGATATAAACAACCACAACAAACAAATTCAAAACGTCCGCGACAACGCAAAGCACGAAGGCATGAAAGTTCGACAAGTACTGAGGCGATTGAAACAAGTGGCGATGATAAATCAAAAGTATCAAATGATCAATCGGGCTCCGATTCACGAGTTTTAACGATTGCACATCCGGTGCCGGCATCCACTTTTGATTCAAAACGTACGAAAACGGTTAAGCAATTACCATTCAGTGTTCAAAAAGCGATAAATCATGCATTGAAACAGGATTACAATATTCCTTTTTTAGACACCATTAAGTACTATTTCAAAGATCCAACGCCAAAAACAAAGCAATTCATTGGTGTTGACCGCCTGCCAGCAGGAGCAAAATTGTTGAGTGATAGCCGAATAAAACAATGGTGGCAACCGCCACCCGGAGTAAAATCAACATTGGCACCGGTTAGTTATACAAAGATTAGCCCAACCACGGTCAAACCAACCAGCGTTTCATCGACATTCGTTAATGATTATGTTGCATATCCCTTGTTACGCGCATATCCCGTTCAATATTCGATGAATGTTGCATCGGATTTGGTAAATGGTGTAGGATTTTTATATGGAGATCGTATTTTTTCGAAACCTTATACATATCAGAAAAATGTTAGTCCAGTCACAACTGTTGCGGCCGATGTTAAACCAGTCAATGAACCGAAGCCATTTGGTGATGATGACATTGTAAATGGGGTGTATCGCACCACGCAAACGAGTATTTTATCCACATCACCGGTTATATTTCCAACATCAACGGAAGCACCGAGAACACAAACTTTTGTAAAAATTTATTCAGCTGAATTACCCGAACGGATTCCAACAAATCCAGACACGGGCATCGCATTGACAAACGACAAAAATACCATTCATTTGATAAATAAAGCGATCAATGATATAAAAAGGCATAATCCACATTTGAACGTTGTGCCAAAGCGACTGGAAAAAGATGAGCTAGGTAAGAGTGGAAGGATTTCTATTTAAGTTTTTTTTTTTAAAAGGATTGTTGAACTGTAACTTTACACTTTTTTTTTCAGTTGTGCATGTTACACCCAAACCGGAGTATTTTTCCAAATCAACAACTGTCAGCTCTTTGCCATCATCAACCGCCAGCCTTCCAGCGTTTATAAATCATTCAACTAAAGACTTTTCCTCTGTCACCGATAAAAATCTCGTCTACTTGAATAAAGTGCTTGGATCGCACAAAGTGAATAAACCACATATTGCAGGTCACGCATTTGTCACACATTCGGACTCATCGAATTATGATGATTTGGTATGAATTTCATCGAACCACTTTGCTACCACGGGATTGATGTGGACAACTTTCTTTGTTCAAATTTCATTTTACAGGTTGAGTCTGGCTACGCATTTGGATATCGAGTACGAGACTATAATACGGGCAACGATTTTGGGCATACACAAAAACGGATGATGGACGGAACAACAATGGGAGGTAATAACTCCATTGATTAATTCTCTTTGCAAAATGAAATCATAGTAAAGTAAACCATTTTCAGAGTATAAGATATTGATGCCTGATGGCCGAACACAAGTGAGCAAATTTACATTTTCACTTTACGAAATTTCTTTCGATCAATCGAAACTATAGTGTTTATTTTGTTTTTGTTTTCAATTTGCAGAATGTAAAATATAAAGCAGATTCATCAGGATATCAGGCTGACGTTAGCTACGATGTGTGAAAATAAAACAACAAGCAACAAAAACCAGTATACCATACTAAATATGTGCAATAAAATGCTATTCAATTTAAATGATAATAATCCATTCCAAAGTTGAAAGCAGACACGTCTCTGCATCGAAACATTTTGCACAAACACTGTGCAAAAATTGTGCAATATTTTTGTTTAAATATCGTTTATCTATGTCTATTTCTCATTTTCACCTAATGATCTTTATGTTATTACCTGTGTAAGTGAGATTCTCTACGATTGTTATACATTCCACTTTACGTTACTCGATGCACTCATTCTCTATCAACACTAGTCGAAATTTACCATTTTTTTTCTTAAAATTTTAGGCATCTTTAACTTAAAGACATTAAGTATGTAGCAAATAAACATTATTCTTTTGCAAAGTGATTCTATCGAAGTGGAAAAAGTTACAAATTGAAAGAAAAATGAAAGAAAAACATCTCTTTGGTTGAGTTTGTTTGTTTTATTGTTCTTTTGGACTCCTTGTTTATTAAAGCGATTATTATTACATATTATAAATGTAAAACGTTTTTTTTTTATTTTATTTTATTCACTCGAACGATTTTTATACAATCCATACGAAAATGTCGTTTTTATGGTCGCTTTTATGTAATTTACCTGATATATTGATATAAATATTGAATATAGTTCTGCAGTTAAATATGGTTTTCTTTTCATTTTGTTTGGGGCTATTTTTTGTAAGTTAGAATATGATTACATGCAAGTGAATGATAATTTTGATCAATTGAATCGATTGATTTTGAACAGACATTGTACTGTGATATTTTCAGCCAGGTTCGCTTGGCTGTTATGCATCTGCTGAGAGTGAAGGAGAAGAAGTTTGCACTACGATCTACTACTACGCCTTCAAACCCTTCTCTTACATATAGCAGATGATTGATATTAAAAAGAGAATGTGAAAAATGTCATCTCTTTTGTTTAACGTTTGTTCCCATCGGTTCAATTGTTTAATGAGTAAAAAAAAATGTTAAACATATGAGGTATTGCAAACCATAAGATATTTTGTTCTTTAATTTTCTGTATGAAAAGTCATGATGGCCAGCATATAAAACTGTACGTTGAAACAAAAATCGTACGTCTATGAATGGAAAGGAATTACTGTAAACTCATATGAATTCAGTCTTCCAAAAATGTTCTTAATTTTTTCACACCTTTTTGTTTTAATTATTAAATTTATATTTGATAAACTTATAAATCACATAAAATCAGCTCAATTTGTATATGAAATGATTAAGCAAAAATTTAGCTATAGCAAAATGACGAAAAAAACGCACTATTTTCTTTGTTTGACTAAGCATCATAAACTAAATGGCTGGAGTAAAAAGGCAACATTGCGGCACTTTAAATTACGACAATTAGGAAAAAAGGGGGGTAAAAAGGCTACAATCACTGCTCCTTTTTTTTCATTTTTTTTTTCTTGACTACATTTGGTCCTTAACTATCATCAATTTTAGCAAAAATATAAGCGACAAATATACGTTTTGTTGATTATCAAGAATACAAAATTGTCATCGTACAAAATTTCACATCTAATTGTTCAATTCTTGTCTTATGTTTGGGCTGGTACTGAGTTCACGTGTTTTCACTTATTTCACGAAAATTCTGTAGCTTCAAATTAAACCGTTTACAATATTAAACTAAACCCAATGTGCAAATAAGTAAATTTTTGTTTAAGTGCTTAGAATTTTTAGAGTTTTTTTGCAACTTTTTTGATTTTTTTTAAAACATCAAGCTATGTATGAAAACCTAGTTTCAATAAATTCACAAATTTAAGTTCAACTGCCAGAATTTGACTACATTAAATAAATGCGAATGTCGATGAGTTCAATTTTTTTTTTCATGTTGGTTTTTCAATGTTTTTATTTTCAAAATCGAAATTCTTTACTGTAAAGCAACCAAAATATGTTTTTGAGCAAATATTTTTTTACGGAAGAAATTTTGGCTGTAATTGTAACGGTTTTGTGTCGTTTTCATTTTGTGAATTAATCTAAAAAATATGTAAAACCTTTACGTATGATGAGTATTTTATCGCAATTGAAGCATTGGTCAACCATCTTTTTGCGGTAGTTATAATATTTTCACAAAGAACGTACGGTACAGTTTCTGTTTTGGTTAAATATGAAATGTGATATAAGTGAAATAGGTGTTGCACCTGAGGCGTTAGTTTGTTCGGATAAATAGGAATTCTGCTCAAACATTAAAATTGGAAAATTCTCAACAATGATTAATATCTTTCAATGCCAACCTTTCGGAAACAAGTGTTGCTGTTGTTATTCCTTTTACGTCTTGTTTGCGTCCAAATTGTGGCATTGTTGTGTGTCTAAACTGGCTACAATTTGTTGAAGAAAAAACTAGATACGTTGGATTTACTGAATCGATATGCAAATTTTGATGCAAACTGTTTGGTGCATTTGCATTTGTTTTCGTTTGTACTTTAAGCGCGCAAAATATCTTTTCTCTTCTATTTGATAGTTTTATCAGTAACAAGTGAATGCGATCCATGCAAGTGATTACATTCAATAGACACATTCGCAATGAGAATGGAATCAAAAATTACATTTTGATATACATATAAAAGTACTGTATATGTGGCATATTTTAGAGTTATATGTTATTAGGAATATACGCGGTTACTAATGGAGCAAGAAGTATACAGTGATAGCTTGAGAATGTGCAATGCAAAAGGTATGCTAATTGGTTTGCTCGTTGGTTCATTTATATCTCGAATAAATTTCAACCGCAACCTCAAAGCCCCTACTTCGCACTTCACATTCCCGGAAACTGCATTTACATGATTTCTTTTTTTTCCTATGAGATTACATAAGACCATCGCAAATTGAACTTTAGGATTTGACAATATAAAGCTTTGGTTTTTGCTATTTGACAGAAAATGAAATGAAAAAACAAAACCATTATCATCATTGATTACAATAGTAAATTTTGAGCTTTCGTTTTGAAGCAAATATTGACGAATATTGGATTAAATATATATAAAATTTGTATATTTGCCATATTCTGGCAATGTTCGTTTCCATATATATAATTTAACTGGAATGTTGTTGTTGTTGTTGTTGTTGTTTGTAAAAAGCGTTGACTACGGCTTCGAGCGTGAATCAATTCAATATCATTTAACCGCATGCAACAACAATTGGCTCATTTGGTTCAGCTTTGCTACTCAATGCTTTTTGGCGAACAACTTCAGCATGACGATCCTGAAATGGATAAAATAGACGTAAATTCAATAAACATTGTAATATAGTATAAAAATTTATTTCAAATCGAAATGCTTTCTTTCATTTAATGCAAAAATCAAAATATCGTGTGCTATTTTATTCGAAAGAGAAATCAGAAAAATCAAAGAGAAAAACCCACGTGTCGGCGTATAGTGTCGAGTTTTTTCTGTAGTTCCATTTGCCGATTTTGTTCGGCTAGAAACAATTTGTTTTCAAAAATGTGCAATTTTTCCATCGCTCTCTGATTTTCACGAGCATCAGCACTTGTTCTTGACGCCAATTGGTTCTAAAAAAATGAATAGTCGGTTTCGGTCGCATCATATATCGATTTAATGTGATTTTTGTATATTTTTGTATGGATATATGTTTGTATGATGGTATGGATGTATATTTTTGTCGTATGTATTGCAGATTGTGTCCAATTTTTGGCAGATGTATATAATGTAAGTATGAGAAAAGAAATTTTAAATCATTTTTTTTTAATAAAACAATTTCGTTCAATTTTTAAAAGAAATATGAAGCCGTGTTAACACATACATGTTCCTTGAGACGTTCCAACATTTTCTTAATGTTTTCATCTCGCATATTTGCAGCAGTTTTTAACTTTTTGTCTATTGCCACACGCTCAATATCCTAAAAATGGAAACCATTATCAAATGATTGTCAAAATAAAATTGTTTTTCTTTCTTATTCACCTTTTGTTGTTCCAACGACACACGAGTTCTTTCAATTTCTTGGAATTGAGTCTGCAAGAAAAAAAAATGACAGCTTGTTAGTTTATCCCATTCAATTGCTTTTGATAAATATTTTGCAACATTCTATGTACACAAATGCAAATATTTATGATTGTTCAAACCTTAAGTTTGTCTTTCATATCGGCCATAATGGCTTCGCGATTTTCTCCATAGTTGTCCATTTTGGCGCTTAAACTTTCTCTGGCTTGATTCGAAAACTCCTTGTCCATTTCGGTTTTCTTGCGCGAAGCTTCTTCAATTCGATTTTTCTTAGCCGACCATTCGGCACACTTCTTTGCTTCCAATTCCTAAATCAAAAAAATGCATTAGCAACTCAATTTTCATTCAAGTCGTATAGCACGATTCGCATTTTATTTCGTTATTTCCTAACTTACAAGACGTCGTTTTTCGGCTTCTCTGAGTTTGCGTTCAATTTCGGCAGCTGATACTTGCTTGGTCGAATTTTTGATTTGTTTCATTGGTGGAACAGCGACGGGTTGACCGAGAATTACTTCATAACAAACACCACCCTTTGATTTTTCTTGGCAACGAATTTCCGTGGCTATTAAGTAGAACAAAAAAAAATATGGAATTTTTCAAACATTAAAATTGGCACATTGTTCTTTTTGTGAAGAAAAACGGAGACAAAGTAAGAAATTTATTCTGTCACTACATTTGATTGAAATAGCGAAGAGAAAACAATAAGTAAATCAGCGTTATTTACTGATCCACAAACACATTTACATAAAATGCATGCATTCACCGCATTGAATCAATGGTAAAAAGTGCAATTGAGAAAAAAAAAACCAGACGAAAATCCATTTCTCAACGGACTCCTTCCAAGGCATTGGCATTGTTATATGGCGTTTGTCATGCACGTTGCGGTTTTCACATCAAAAAAGTGTACTCAATTCAATCGGCAAGCGGCCGTACCGATGACGCAGAAATGAATTTAAAAAGAAACAAGACATGCTATGTGGTTGTGTCTCCTCTAAATACACATAAATATTCGGGTGAAATACACGAGTTCAAATGACAGGGAAGTCTTTTTTTATTCAATGAATGCTTTGCACGAAACTTCATCATTTTTAACAAACACACCGGAACCGTTCATCGATTAGTCAGAATGTGTGCTGTGAGATATGACACTGTTGGTTATAAGTTTTTATTACATCATATAATACTTCGTCATATGTTCGACATTCAGTTCGATTCAAATAACGGCAAATTTTTGGAAATTCAATTACAAAATTCTAAACCCAAAAGAGTCATATTTATAGATTGTGGTGTTTCAATTGAAACCAAATATCATAAACAAATGATTCGAACATTGAAATTTAATATTTGCCAAATCAAAAAAAAAAATTGTCAGCCCTGTTTTCATGCCTTGGTTAACATTGTACGATTGTTGTAGCAATGAAGTCTAGCCGCAGTGTCTCGTCACGCAAACCCCATTTTCACCCAACAACTGATGCTATGCGCGAACAAACACCACCAGTGCTGCACTACTGCATGGATACCGTTCATTTTATATGCTCGTTTTTTTCCTCGTTGTGTGCATGTATGTGTTGTACATTGGTTTCGTTGCTGTTCCATCGACTGCCACTTTTGAGTTTTTATTGTTATGGCACTTGTAAGCCGTTGTAGCGTATGTATAAATTTCAATCTAGTCACCGTTAGTTTTTCATATTCTCTGTCAACCAATATGTTTCACCATCACCTTTACCGATGAATCATTTTTTTTATGTTGGCAGTCGTCTTGTTGACGATCAACCATACAACATACACCACCCGACTGGCGAGCGGACTGACAACGCTTAAAGCCAACTGAATTACACTTGTTTCATGATTTTTCATTTCCCACTTGCGTGAAAAGACAAGCGAGACCGAAAAGCACACAATTCAAGATAATTTTTTTGGAGCATACAATGTAGTTTAAGTAAGAAAAAGTTTTTAAAATAAAAGAACAGAATTCAAAACGAAATGAAAGAGACGATGCTCGTTTTTTTTCCTTGAAAAATACAAATCAATAATTTTGTAAAACATACACGTCTCGTGTTACCGCCAATTAGGTAAATGCTTACAAAATTAATATCTTATCAATATTTAAATTAAGAATATTTCAACATTGTTCAATACTTACAAATGAACTTTTGCCGGTTTGATAGTTTTGGTTGTTTTGTTCGCAATGTTTTTGCCGACATTGCACGAATGTTGCCCGCTGAAAGATTAGAAATTATTGTTATTAATTGCATCTGGGTGTTCACGTTGAATTGTGTACATTTCAAGAAAAGAACCAATAACTTGTATTTGCTTATCGAGTTAAATTAATTACAATACAATATATAAATAGAAAGCTTAATTGAAAACATTCTATTGTAATCTTTTGGTTTACGTGTTGTCGGAAATTTTAATTAATCAACCGCAGGTACACCTTTAGATCCTGGTATTTTATTAATAGCGACGAAAAAAAAATATCAAAATAAAGAAAATGGAAACGAATATTAGTGTCGGCAGTCTTCTGTCGCCACCAATCCTACGAGTGACTCATATACAGTAGTCATTAAATAGTTGTTGAGTATTTCGAACCTTTGACTTCGACATTTGGCATCGAAACAATTTCAACGCCACAAAATTGAAATTTATTACTGTGGCATTTGGGTGTCGACTGCTATCTGTTTGCTTTGAATGTCGAAATTTCTCGATTTTATGATTCGTGGTCAAGGTCTGAGATTACGTTCGAACACGCTCACATTCAAACAACTGTAAAATTATCGAATTGTTTGTATTTTGTGTGAAGATCGAACGCTTGGGAATTTCGAGAATGAAATCGATATACACATTCGATTAAATTGCAAATAGATAAAATCAATTTAATGATTTGGATTCACCATAGTTCATTCATTTCAATCAAAAAATCAATTCACATTAAATGAGCAAAGCACACGGAATGCTTCAAATCACTTGATTGCAGAACGAACGTGCTTATTGAAAGTAAACCTCCTTCTCGTGATCATATGTAATTGCGAGTGGTTTTTCTTCGCCATAGTTCACTGTGAAAAGGAGAACGCCTTGCCATGTAATTCATTTCATATTTAGATGAAAAACTGTTGTGGAGAAAAATGGCAATAAAAATGCAAAACCGCCATGCAATGGAAATTTGAGAAAAAACAAAAAACTACAACCACATATAGTACACTCGACAATGTAATTAAGTGTTAAAAAATCGATTAGGGTTGAGTCGTTAAGCATGGCTCATTTTAAGTTTGATTTATGGAATAAATAAATACATTAAATATTCATAATATGTCGCATTTGTGTGAAGTTTAAGGTTGAAATTCTTGACATGAAATAAAATCTACATTTTTCTTGATGACTGAAATGAAATAAGACAAGCGATGCAAATGTTGTATAAAATTAAAGCAAAACAACTGAATGCACATGAAAAAATATCGTCCCATCTCGTTTGCGTTTCATAATAATGTGTCACACAATTGTATATAATTTTCGTTTGCACTGTAATCGAGATTTGAGCCGCATTTTCATCGCTCCGAAAGCGAGTTATTCTAGACTAAATATATAAACAAGTTTACAAAATAAAAATCTGAAGTCGAATTTTGTTTTTTCATCAACAATATAGTCAATTCTCCGTCTAAAATGAATGCATAAAATATTCCATAATAACCGATAATGAAATGAAAAGGCTCTGAAATCAAACCGAATTAACTTAAGATGTGCATGTCTACTGACAACAACTATCGCAATTTCATTTGGCATATTATTTTGAATGCATTGTTTTTATGTTTCCTATTACATTGCACGCTCTTCCTCTCTACTCTCGACTTTGTTAGTTTGTTACTTGTGTAAAGTTGTTCAATTTGAGATAATAATCAAATTAGATTCTATAAAGCTCCCGACAAAACTATTCATATAACTCTCAGCGGAGAGTTAAACGTAATTAGCTTCATTCCAACATAAAATTGAATTCATTGAGACTGATCAGTTTTATTTAACTTTTAGCTGTTGCACAAAATGTTGTATTTACGCTCCGAACAAAATGTATTCAGTTTTTTATTTGATCGTTGTGGCCGTCGGTATTTTGTTGTGTTTTCACGAAATTATTGCTGATATTGATATTGAACGTGATGCCAAACTATCCACTGTAAATAGATTTATTGATTGAATTTTCATCTGAACTTGTCGCTAACTCAGAACTATTTATTCGTCTCTATTTATGTTGGTTGTTGTTTTTTTTGGTGGTGTTTGCAGACTATCAAAGTTTCAGTGGGATAGTTAAAGTTTTAATAAGATATTAAGGTTTTACAACATCAGAACTCATCTAGAGCTGAGTCTTTATATTTATACATATTTAATTGAATGTGATATTGACTATATTACAGCCAGAACTCATAACTGTGCATGGTTATCCTTCCGAAGTGCATCATATTAAAACTGAAGATGGATATATTTTAGAGGTGCATCGCATTGCGAACCCTGGCAAACGACCCGTTTTATTAATGCATGGAATGCTTGATTCTTCGGCGACATTTGTCATGTTGGGACCGGGCAGATCTTTGGGTAAGATATTTACATTAAGACATATAAAATTTGGATTATGTTTTTTTTAAAAGAAATGATAGTGAAATGATTTCAAAGCTTTAAGATACAAACAATGGCGTAATTAAATTTATATATTTTTATGATGAAAACTGTTATTAAAAAGTTAATGATGTGTAAAATGAATATAAAACATAGGATATATACTTCACGACATGGATTATGACGTTTGGCTATCGAATAGCCGCGGGAATGATTATTCGAAAAGGCATGTAAAATATCATCCAAATGGAACACGGGAAGAGCGTAAAAAGTATTGGAATTTTTCATGGCATGAAATTGGGACCAAAGATCTACCAGCGACGATTGATTACATTTTGAAAAAATCAAATTATTCGCAATTGCATTATATTGGCCACTCGCAGGGTACGACGGCCTTTTTCGTTATGACATCGGAGAGACCTGAATACAACGAGAAAATTTTGTCAATGACCGCAATGGCTCCAGCCGTCTACATGGGGCATGTTGACAATGAAATATTGATACTTATTTCTCGATATTTAAGCTCAATTGAAGTAAGTTACATCGCTGTATTATTTTCAAGTATCTCTAATAATTTTATTATATTGGAATGTATATACGTAGACGGTAGCCGAATGGATAAGTTTCTATGAGTTCTCTCGACAAGCCAATCAATTGTTAGTCCAAACACAGAACAGTGTATTGTGTTATATAGACGCACTGCGAACTACACAGCTGTGCAACAACAATTTTTCACCACTAGTGGGCAACATCACCGGACATGTAAATAGGGTATCATTAAAAAATCAATTATTTATTTTCTCAATACTCGGATAGAGTTCAAATGAAAAAAACATCAATTGTGTTTGTCCTTTCTAACATAGACATTGATTCCAATGTTTCAAACTCATGCGCCGGCTGGCAGTTCGATGAAGCAACTATTTCATTACGGACAATTGATACGAAGTCATCGATTTTGTCAGTACGATTACGGTTTACAACGTAATCTACGAATTTATCAGCATGCAGTGCCGCCTAAATACAATTTAAAAAATTGCACCGCCAAAGTAGCAATAATTTATTCGGAAAACGATACAACCGTTGCGGCGGAAGATATAAGATCATTGTCAAAGGTTCTACCAAATTTACTTGAAATTCGTCGAGTCGACGATGACACATTCAATCATATCGATTTTATATGGGCATCAGATGCCAAGGAGCTCGTATATGATTACATCATTGGTTGGATGAAATCATTGGACGACCGGCATGATAGTGACAACGAATAAATCATCGTATACAATCAATACTAGAAATATACATCTAATAAATTTTTCATTTTACATTACTTTTGAATGGAAAATTGCATGTCTCCCATTTTCATTCAATATGTTCATCTTCCTTTTTCTATTCATTCATGCATCTTAGTGTATTGGCCATATATACCAAAAACCATTTTTTTCACTTTGATTCTTGAATTCTTTCAAGCGCCTATAAAACGCTCAGTTTCACTACTGTACTTTTGACTTCTTCAGAATCGATCAAAGAAAAATGTCTCCGAATGAAACATTTTATGCATAGGCGAGACGACAACGGCGACGACAGGGTGGTGTGGTAGGGAGAGGCACTCAGTGAGTCATCATGCATAAAGCACTCACAGTATTTCTTAAACAAATATATATTCGATAGCATTGGCTGCTTTTGCTATGTGCATAAATGATGTAAATTACACGCAAATAAAAAAGCATTCTATTTTCGGATTAAAAAAAATGTTGAGAACAAAAAATCATTTAACTTCTATGTATGTATCACATCAATAAGGTTTTCCTGTTTGGGTTCTGTTGTTATTGCTTTTTTTTCTTGATGTTGCACGACGTGAACATTGATTACATTTGAATCGATAAAGGAAAACTAGTATTTGTGTGAATGAACTTACCTGCCGGTAAACCAGGGACACGGCATGTATGACAGAAACATTGCAAAACTGAATCACGAACTAATCCAATCAGCATTTTGTCGATTTAATACTTCAATATTGCACACGAATTTCACCAACTGAACAGACAAAAACAAATATAATTTTTATATTTTTGCTTCAATTTTATTTGACTGTAATTTTCGGAAATTAATAAATCTGTGAACCAAAATAAATTGTTTCTTTTTTCTTCTTGTTCGAACAGAGAAATTTCTGCAGAGTGTTGGCACTGTAAAGCCTACGACTGAATTGAATAGGGTGAAATCAAGTTGAAGTAGATTGTTGCACTTTGTAAGGGCGGGGCAGAATGTTCAACTGATTCTGATATTGGCATCTGAATTGAATATGAAACACAAACTAACGCAGCAAACAAACATAAAGAAAAAATCGCTTCGTTTCCTTTTGATACGATTTGTTTGTTACTTTTTTCTCCTCCGTTATGGCCAAGTTGGGGAGTTATATGTATATATACAAATAAATGTATACAATTTCGTTTGCAGAACTTCCACTTTTAATTTCTGAACACACTTGAATTCTCGAATCAGAAAGTCAGAAATTGGAAAAAAATAAATTATTTTTTTTTTAAATTATACCAACTCACAATCAAACGAATTAAATCAAATGAAATTTTAAGCAGAACGAATTTTCAACGCGATGAATAAATTCTTTGTAGTGCTCTTGGAGGGCAATGAAAACCATCTGTCGAAAATGGCTGATGGATAACTAACAGTTGGTTCTAATATAAAACAACGAAAGCGGAAAAAATCGTCAATTTCTTCCTGTATTCGCGATTCGGCAGTGCTTCGTGTAACGCACATGCGCTGTTATGTCCATTCGTGTGAACAAGTGGAAATATACACCACAGCTATTATGGGCAGCCAGAAGAAAAAATTGCGTTGTGAAGGAAACGCCGACAAGGCATACAAATTTTCACCATGAAGGGTGTTAAAGCAAAGCTATGAATAGCTCTTGGCTTTAAGTTTTGCCCTATAGCAAAAGCCACTTTATTTGCTTTTGTTGCATTTACATCGACCCTCAGCCACATGGATAATTTCATAATAGCCAAAACAACAACAAACAAAAACACAAATTTTTCATGCCAAGCACTACAGCACAACACAGCAAACGAGCAATATACAAAAACAACTCTGTGGCAGCGGCAATGCAAACGATGAAACAGAACGCAAAAAAGGAACTAATCAATAAATCGTCGACAAAAGGAAATATAGTACAGACTCGTATGGATAGGAAATATAGAAAAATGGTTTGATGTCGTTGAAATAAGCATTTTTGCACATGGATTCACGATTGCGTCGTCCAGCATACATTTTACCACGCAATTATCGCCGAACACTGTTCCCGTACAATTTGATATTTTATTTATTGCCATTAAAACCATGAATGAGTTTTACGGTGCACATCCTCTTTGAATCATCTCCGCAACAAACTTCACATTTATAAAGCCAGTTTACGATGGTTTTATTTCGATATTTACTTTATCAACAACGTCCTCACATAACACACATTAAATAACACATTTATAACTCAGACATTTTATCCCATTTTACACTTCATTGAGTTGCCCTCTGATTACTTTTTTCACCTGCAATTTGTTTTTAGATAATTCAAAAATTTATTACAAACCAAGTCGTAAATTTCATAAAAGCGTATTTTTTTTATTTGGTAACTGCTTATAAATGGCTATGTTTTATTAAATTGGGCAGTTAAAATAAAATAACATCTTTCAAAATGACGTTTTGTTTCTATTCTTCAACGAATTTGACGGAATCTGTGGTGCTGCATACTTTTACATATAAATAAATCTGGAATTAAAGTGACGATAATACTTCGGACGAAACTCGTTCAATGGTATCGAATGCAAATTGAATGTCATCGTTAGTCAAAAGTCGATTTGCAATCACACGAAGGCTCGGTTCTGGACAATATTTTTCTGCATTTTCCAAATATGTTGCATTAACAATTGCCAATTTTTGTTCGATGCACTGAAAATGAGAAAAAATCACATGAAAATCTGAACGACAAATAAAAATCAATCAAAGTTTACTTTGTCAACGATTTTTTCCAAAATGTCAACTTTTTCGGATCTCTGTTTGTTGACATTTTTTAAGTACAAGTGTTTGATGGGCGATAACTCATGGCCCCTGAATGTAAATTGCGTGAGACACTTTAATTTTCTGAAAAATAAATACGATTCAATTATAATTTGTTTCTAATATTAATGTCACATGTGGTTTTATTTGTTAAAACTGAAATAATTGAATACTCACTCATTCAATTGTTTACACTTTTCATTCAATTCGGTAAACATTTCTGGTTCGTTTTCGAAATGATCGAGTGCTGCAATGGCGGCTTGTGCAAGCAAAGGTGGAGCTGATGCCGAAAAACAGTATCCAAGACCAGATAGCCGTTGATGATCAACAATAAATGTGGTGCCCACTGAGAAGCCACCAATCGATCCAATCGCATTCTCCAATGTCGAACAAATTAAATCCACTTCATCTCGCTGTAACAAAGCATGTTTAATGAGTTTTTTTTTCTTTTGAGTGAACCGATTTTTTTCGAATCTTACATTAATATTAAGATGTTCAGTTAACCCGCGACCATGACTGCCCAGTGTACCAAATGAGACACTTTCATCCAAAATCAATCGAAGTTTGTAACGTTTTCGAAGATCAACAACATCCGATAAGGGACAGATTTCACCGGTATTTACATAAATTGCTTCGACGATAATAAAACGACGAATTTTTGATGCTTTCTTTGGATTTTTACGATCAATTGCGTCTTGCTCCTTAAGCAATCGTTCCAAATCTGTGACATCATTATGTTTGAAGTAAAATACTTTGCTGCGTGAAGCATCAATTCCTTTTTGGATGGAAAAATTCACACATTCATCACTGAAAGAAAAGGCATCATCTCAATTCATTGTTTTTCATTGTAAATAACGTAATATGTTTCAAACGTGAATATCTCTTACACAAACAGCAGGTCGCCACGTTTGCAGTATGCCGCAATTGCAGAAGCTATAGTTGAAAACCCATAAGAATAGACAACCGATTCTTCCATGTGCATAAATTTGGCTAAACGTTCTTCTAGTTCCAAGTGTACATCTAAAGAAAAACATGAAAAAGTTTCAAGAAGGTTATCAAAGATATCGACATATATTGTTTCCTACCGATTGTTCCATAAAATCCACGTGGTCCACACGATCCAACGCCATACTTTCGTACAGCGGCAATGGCACTTTCCTTAATATCCGATGAATTAAGAAGGCCCAAATAGTTGTGTGTAGCCAAATTCAAGCAATTGTGACCATTGATTGTGATTTGTTTGCCACTAGTTTCCGAAACAATACGTTTGTTCAATAGCGCTGGATGATTTTCGGGTGTATCATCGATCAATGATTCTGGAACCCATCTTTCGATCATCGATTCCTTTTCCTATACAATCATTTTAAACGAAAATATTGAATTTTCAATCAAAAATAGGTTAAAAAAAAAAAACTCACTTTTTCTGTTAATTTTTTCCGATTTTTGCTGCGATACAGATACCAAATAGACACCAAGCCAATAAGGAATGCAATTTCTGTCCCAATCACAAATGTTGAATTCTGCAAAAATAAAATCAACTGCACCATTTCTTCAAAGCAGCAAACAATAAAAACCGAAATACCTTTGTTAGTGAATAGAGCAATTTGGCAAAAAAACACTGTGTTGTTAATTCTGTCATGCTTTTAGCTATTTGAATTATTAATTTAAACTATTCCACTGGAGTTTGGTGACACAATCTACAAATTGGTCGTTGTGTCCAATGAATCATTTGCAATTGACGTATAGCTGACATAACCTCACTCTTTGTCTGCCGCGATAAATGAAACTTAAGACCGATTCACACGTCAGTTGGAAAACTTTGAACTGAAAGCGGTTTAAATCAAAATAACTAGATTCCTATTTACTTAAATGAATTGAAGTGGAAAATATTTTTTTTAATCGAAAGAATGATTGACAACATTCATTATTTAAATATTATTTCACAAGTTCATTCGCTGCAAATGTTCAAACAAAATATTTTTTTTTTATTTAAACCAAATCTGTTTTCAGAGCATGAAAATAAATAAAAAAAATGTAAATAGAAAAGCACAGATTAGAACTTGAAATAATTAAACATTGGCACAGACAACTGTTCTTCAACTAAAATAAAGATCTTGTTCAAGGTTGACGCAACTGATTTTGGTCTGTGAAGCTTATAAAACCGAATTTCAAATGTGTAAAACTCATTAGTAGTCAGATGGAAATCGAAAGAATACCAAATGTCTTGGAATAAAGACAAAATGAAGTTTTTAAGTATTGCAATATTTATTGCGACTATTGGCTTGGCGTTTGCCACACCACTGCCACAGTCAAAGTCAGTGAAACGATAAGCATTTAGATGAAAGTATCACAAAGTACATTGAAAATTTAATTTCAGACCAGGGGCAAGTGCAGGGGGTGCAGCTGGTGCAGATGGTATGCCGATTCAATGGTTAATGAATGCTATGCCCAGAAGTGGGCTGGCTGGTATGGCCGACAACATTGGTGCTGGATTGGCAAATTTTGGTACTTTATTTAGAAAAAATTATATATTTTTTCGAAACCATTAAAGATATTCAAAATCGTACAGGAAACGGGCAAGGTTCAGCCTTTGACGCTATGCTCTCTGGATTATTTAGTGCAGTCGGTAACCTTTTAAGTGGCATTCTTGGATCTGGAGCTGTTAACACAGCATTCCTCAACTACAACAATCGACCACCACCTGATACGGGCGCGCCAACAACGTATGGACTGGTTTTTTTTCTAGATTATTGAATATTTTGATGAAAACGAAACTAATTTCGGTTTTTCTTTCAATTTACAGTCCGAAACCTGCTGCTGGTGGAGGTGGCGGTGGGGATGATGGTGGCGGTGGCGATGGTTAATTCAATTTTCCATTGAAATATTTATTTGTAAATTGTGTTATTTATTCTTCTTAATGTTTCATACTCTTTTGCTTTATCATAATAAAAATAATAGTCTGAAATAAAAAATCAAGAATTCATTTTAATGTTTTAATTAAAATTGCTTAGTTTGTCCGCGGACTACTGGATGTAAAAAACGGCAAAATCCAATTAAAATTTTAATACTTACAAAACTGATGATGAGATTCTATATTACTTTCTACTGCCAATGTATATTTTACAATCTTTTACAATGTGTTATTCTTGTATTTCGAGACGCAACTAAATTACCTCTGTTCATACACCACATTCATCATTCATACGTACATCTCAACTATTTTTACGTCAAATATTTTTTTTTATAGAAACGTACGTCTTTTGACTGTATTGTTAAATGAAAAAAAAAAAAAACTCATCAAATCGCGCCAAGCTGAACAAAAACATTATTTCATGTTTAAACATCGCTTAGGGTTTTCCTAATAGATATATCAAGTAAAATTGCCCTTGAATCGTCTATCGAATCGACTTTTGCTTTGGAGAAATATGATTTCAATGTTCTTACTAAGTTGATGAATTATGAAGGAATAATCTATAAAATTAGAATAAATTACGATGAATGTCTTCACATGCCCTTGCACTATGAATTGATATCTCATAGCCATGAAGTGAATAACTTTAATATGGAAATCTATGAACATTGAACATTGACACATCCGATGACATTACTACACACACTTGTTCAAATAAACAAATTACAAATATTCATTGCTGAGGTCGAAAAGAGTCTATCTGTTTCTAGCATCACATGCTATATTGAATGTATAAGAAACTGTTGGAATGTTTTCAAAGCATCGTCAACATGTTCTCCTTTCAATATTATCGATTCAATTTGGTAAATTAAAATTAGTTTCTTTTTGTTCTTCACAGACAAAAAGATGAATTCCAAATGATGCCGTCAAAAGACATAAGTTTTTAGGGGAAAAATATTTGACGTTCAAATAGTTGAGATGGATGTATAAATATGTGGTGAATGAAAAGACGTAATTTAGTTGCGTCTCGAAATACAAAAATATAATACGTTTCAAGTTCGCATCAAGAGCGAATAGAAAAAGATACATTGGCAGACCTATTCTAAAAACAAAGAATTGTAAAAATGATGCGGTGGCCATTCATCCTTCTAGCTTGGAATATTTTTGTAAATCAACTTATTTTTGGTGTCCCAGTGGCTCAGGTTCCATATTCACAGTTACCAGGATTGCCAACGTTTATCAATTACATTGGGAATAAGGCTTTACCTGGCGGAACACAACAATCGATTTTTAGTCCAAATTTTAATTCAGGACAAGTTGTAACCTCTAGGTATGAACCACTAGGCTGTATGTAGAGTGGCTTGATTTAAATGGACTTTTTATTTTAGTGGTATTGCGACAAATCCAATTGACACCGGACCTGCTGCGGCTATGGATTTGATTGGTGAAGGTGTTGCTCAAGCTGGACACGGACTAGGGTCATCCGTTAGCACCTTACTGGGATGTTAGTAAATGTTTTTATTTACTTTAATTTGATAATATTGAGCATCTCAAGTTTGATTTGCTTAAATTGCAGATGTGGGCCATGCTCTAGGTACAATGGTTAGTGGATTGCTGGGATATGGAAGAGTTAATACGAATGTAGTGACATATAATGCTCCAGTCGGGTAAATAGAATTGAATTAATTACAAATTTTGATTTGTAAAGTGAATTGCGTACTTTCACAGAACAAGCAATGCTCCAAGCTCTTCGCCAACTCAACCATCGCAACCCTCACAACCTTCGCAACCCTCACAACCATCTCAACCCTCACAACCATCGGAACCCTCACAACCCTCACAACCATCGCAACCCTCATAACCATCGGAAGCTGAAACACCAACCACAACATAAACACAATACAAAATAAATAAAAAATCAATAAAAAAGATGTTTTGATTGAATTATCAAAAATGTGCCAATTTGTTTTAAAATTATTATTTTTCTCAGTAATTAGTCCACTTGATAAAGTTGTGATTGAAATTCTCAGGTAAGCGCCACCACTTGTGATTTAAACATACATGCGTAACCTTGCCCTTGTAATGAGCACACCACAACAATCAATAGTTTATTCACAACAAACAAACAAAATAATGAATAAAGTCTGTTTTTACTTCAAATAAGATCTGTTTCTGTTTCGTTTATTTACCGATTGAAACTTCTCGATTCGATTTTCTACAGAAAATTGTTCAATGGAATACTTTGAAAGTTCATTGAAGATAGACTTTGAAAGTGTTTCAAATTTGAATCAAACTGAAACTGACCCACGTTCGAATTTAATAAACAAATGAATCAACGCCAATTGAAATACGATAATAAAGATGTTACTTTGGAATTATGCCAGATTCATAGAAGTGGTCTTTTGGCGAGGTCAGATCTGTTTTTATTTTTGTTTGGCCGTTACTATATAAAAAGTGTCCAAGCATACTTTCGATTAACAGTTGATAAGGAACTGTCAATTCGACAACATTATTTTGAATAATTAAATGATTTTTCATTCACAAAAATAGAGAAAAGAAAAATGAAGTATTTACTTTTGGCGACGCTGATCGCTACTCATTCGTTGGTGATTGCCATACCTTTACCACAAGATGATTCTGGTGGAGGTGGTGGGGGAGGTGCTAAGTCTGCGGCTGGGTATGACATTTTTCAATTTTACTCAATAATACGATTTTCAATTCCAATATTTTTAATTACAGCGCTGGGGGAGCGAATAACTTGCCACTATCGTGGTTAATGAATGCAATGCCTCGAAGTGGGCTCGCTGGTATGGCCGACAATCTTGGTGCTGGATTAGCGAATTTCGGAAACGGACAAGGAAGCGCTTTTGACGCTATACTCTCCGGCATTTTTAATGCATTTGGTAACTTTATCAGTGGCATTCTTGGATCCGGAGCTGTTAACACAGCATTTCTCAACTACAACAATCGACCACCACCTGATACGGGCGCACCGACAACGTATGTGTTGGGCTTTTTTTGTCATGGTTTTAAATACTACTTTGAAATAACAATTCTTTTTTCATATCAATTCTCACAGTCCGAAACCTGCTGGTGGTGGTGGTGGCGGTGGAGATGATGGTGGCGGTGGAGATGGTTAATCATGTCATGATGTTTTCCGATTTGTATGCACTTATCTCTTCGGCATACATTACAAACTTTAATGCGTAGATATTTATTTCGATTGTAAATTATTATTGTTATTTATGAATATTGTAAAACAAAAGGCAAATATGAATAAAACGAAGCGTTTGTTGTTATCATTACCATTCAATGAACTTTATTTTGGTACATTCAAATGAATTTTGTCATCTATAATACGGAACAAAATTCAATTCATTTGAAACTGTTCACAAAATTTCATTGTCTCAGTCAATCAGCCGACATATAATTTGCATTTCCGAACTTGTTTTTGTTAACAGTGTGACAAACAATTGCCAAAACTCGAAACTAATCAAATACTTTAAAGACGAGAAAAGAAAATATTTCAATTGGCGATAAGTGGCCAAAACAGTTGTTCAAACAATATTTGATAGAAAAGTTAATTATTTTCTGGTGAATATCATTTTACATGATTCGGAAAACAAAAATAATGATGTATTTATCATATGAAGCAGAGTATATATTTAATAATGCTTGAAATGAGCTCTGTATATATATGCCTGCATCGAACATTTCAAAACTAGTCTACTGTTCAACGCAGAATAATATACCTGAAGATATCAGAAAAATTAAATGGCGCACCCTTCAAACACATTATATAAACCGGAGATAATGAAGCGGTGCCTCTTCATTGTTCTGATATTCAGTGTAATTTTGAATCAGTTCGTGACAGGTGCTCCACAGAGTAAAAGCATATTTTATACATATATTTTGATATTGCATTAAATAAAGCTCAGAATTCATAATATATAATTTCATTTTCAATTAAACATAGTATCACAGCCGACAAATGGAGCGACTCCGCCCGCACTGGGCCAAAGTGCGTCGAGTTCGTTTCTGCCATCATTTCCCGGTGATACTGGCTTTCGACAATTTTCAGACACTGTAATAGCTTGTGAACTTCATTTTTTTACCAAAATACATAATCGTGCCAAATTTGAAGAGATTTCAATGCATATTATATACTTCCCATACAAAATTTTCGACTTTTGACCTGATTTTCGTTGACATTTCTTCAAACTTTCAAATTTTTTTTTTTTTTTTTTTTGAAAAAAATAACCAGCGCAAATCTTCACATCATTATCCTATACAAAATACACATTTTTGGTGATTTTTCAGATTGCCGGATCGGTTAGTAATATAAGCATGGGGCTTGGCAAAATAACAGAAATGCTACTATCAGGTTAGTGGAAATGTTTAGAAGTTTTCCTTTTGAATTTTTTTTTGAATGGATTCGCATGCTACAGCAGTTTCTTATTAAAAATTAGATGTTACAAAGGCGGTTGGCACTTTATTTAGTGGTTGGTTTGGAGCTGGAAGAGTGAACGAAGCGAACCAAAGATCGTACATCAACCAGTTACAGTAAGTTGAACAAAAGTGTTCCGCTATTGAAAAAAAAAAATGTGGAAAGGAAAAAGTAAATGTACGATATGATTCATCATTCACATAAATTGAATACCTTTTCAGACCACAAAACCAACAGAACAATAGTGCCACAGCTTCAAATTCACCAGCAGCACAGCCATCACAAAGTGGATCACCGTCAGGATCGCAAACGACAACATAATTTACAACATCCCATTAAATGCGAAAACGTACAAAGCGAGTCACTTAACAATGAAGCGCTTTGATGAAATATTCTCTCTCTCTCTCTTCATTTAAGTTCATATAAATAAAGTCGTACGAGAACATTTGTAACACACGCTAATTGTAGACTGAACAAAAAAAGTATATAAAAGTAATATACTGCTTTACATAAATTCTTTTCCATCAAGTATTTACATGGGAATAAATAAATTTCTTTTGATATTTAAACGTTGAACTGTATTCCCGTTATTGGACCTTATGTAAACGCAGCGTAATGTTAAATATAAATAGAGAACACACGCTCTCTCATCTTCTCTATCTTTTTCCCTTATTTTTTTTATTCGTTTCCACTTAATTGAATCTGACGAGCGAAAAAGCTTTTATCTCTCATACCAAATTCAATTTTGCTCTCAATTTCTCACTATATCTCTCTTTCTGTGTGTCTTCATCATTTCCCCTGATTTGCTGTATTTAGCCAACATTGACAGTTCTCCGCATGTAATGAAAACAGTCAAGCGAGCGGTTTCGATAGCAAAACAACATGATGTAAGTGCGAATTAAAAAAAATTTCTTTCATTTTTTTTTCGTATTATTTGGAAACAATTTCTGTTTAAATGGAATATGAAATTTTTGTATTTATTAAAAATGTGGAATGTGGAGTCGAGGTTTTTGTTTTATTTGATTTTTGGTATTTTTTTTTAATGGATTTTTAGTTCAATAGTTTTGTTAGTGTCATTGTCAATGACTATGGTTTTTTTTTTGCTTTATAGTGGCAAGCAAGCAGCAGTACGTTTGAAGAATTCCTCAGCAGATCGGAATTGTCAACCAATTTTGGATTGTTTGCATAAAGTGTTGGATAAAAATCAATACGGATTGCGGTTGTTGGAAATTTCATCGGGTACTGGGCAGCATGTTCATTTTTTTGCACCTGCATTTCCCAATATTGCGTTTTATCCAAGTGAATATGAAACATCGATGTTTGGCAGCATACGTGCATTTACTGAAAATCTCGACAATGTTGCATTACCCATGAATATAGACATCCGACAACCATTTGGAAAATGGAACTGGCATGTAGCAAATTTGCAACCAACGAAAGTGGCAGGAACATTTGATTACATTCTCAACATAAATATGATTCACATCACACCATGGGCGTGCACTGAGGGCTTATTTAAAAATGCATCTGGATTGTTAAAACCAAATTCCATCATGATCACATACGGTCCATATGCATCCAACGGTGTTCTTATCCCCGAATCTAATGTCAACTTTGATCAATACCTCCGTTCGACCAATTCGGATTGGGGAGTTCGTGATTTACGTGATCTACAGCAGTTGGCACTCACCTACAGCATTGGACTGGAGAAAATATTCGACATGCCAGCTAATAATAAAGTATGTGTCTGGCGAAAACAAGGAAACAATGCACACAGCACAAAATAAATGATGACAACGATGGCAACAAAAACAATCAAAGCAATAATGATTTTAAACAACAACAAAATAAGCGTAATTTTGTGTTCACCAAGTGAATATTCTATATATATTTTAATGGGATATACTTTTAACATTAAATATTAAACCCTCCTGCTCAAAAAGAAACTAAAACAAAATGTGTCTAAACAACAAATTCTGAAACAAAAACGACAAAACAAGAATTTTATCAATGAATTTTACAACGACGTTTTACCAAATGTGTGTAGATGTATTTGCGATGCCAATTTTATTGTTGTACTTCACCTTTATTGTCAGCGATGAATTTTAGTGAACATATTTAAATGGAAATAAAAATAAAATTAAAAAAAATCAACATAAACCACGAGAGAGCCAAGAATGGCGTTTGTTAAATTAAAATGATTTGACTGAAAAAAAATCCATTGATAAGAAGCATATATACAAAATATATTCACCTTAGGACGCCTAAAAACCTGAAAAAATTGAAATTGTAATTACTGTTAGAAATTTTATTGAAAAAAAAATGAAAATGCCAAAATTTTTATACTGTTAATTTTTATCTTAATGACGCTTCGAATTTCATTGATTCGTTCTCTCTCTTTTTTTAGCAATTTAACATCCTTTTTCTGCTTTGTTTATGATTTTTCTGAATCTCAATTATATTTTTAATTTTCTCTTTTTAAAATGTTTAGTAATATTTTGTTCCTGTTTCAATGCATTGCATTCGATTTGCTTTTTTCCCCATTTTGGTTATCAGTATGCTATATAATTTGTCTGTTGTGTTGTTTCTATGAATATATAATTTTATAGATTATAAACATTACTCGGTTATACATAATATGAGAAAGTGTGAGAAACAGAGAGAAATTTGTTTGTTGAAAAATGTATGTTCCTCTTCCCATTGTCATTTGTAAACAACAATGTAGACATTGGTTAATGGTCATTGATAATAAATAGCATTTTATGATCAATAAAATTTGTATGTATTTTCAATATTTGCATGAGATGAATTCTGTTACATAGTTTGAAATACAGTTTTGTTTTGTTTTTGCTATTGCCAATCAATCATGTTGGACGATTAAATGTGTAAGTGTACAAACTGCCATTTTCACATCATTGAATATAATATATATGTTGAGTTTATTTTTTTTTCTCGTAAAGTAAAAAAAAATCAAAAAACCACAGACATACTTTCAACGCAAGGGAAGAATTAAATCTGTTTGTTCATTCAAAATTCGACTTACTGTTATTGAAAAATAATAATAATTGTCTGTATGTCAGAGTGAACATTGTCGTAAAAATGATAAAACACAATCGAAAATACTGTATTAAATCAATGAAACTATGAGTATCTCATTCGGATTAAAAAGAAGGTTATTCCTCAGAAAATACAGTTATTGTTCCTGGTTGATGTAAATGAGGGTTCTGCTTTTGGAAATATTTTTCAATCAGTTGATTTATAGAATATTCCAGAATATTTTGCTCTCTGGCAAGTTAAGTTATATGTATCGTTTTTACTGTTCTCATCGATACAGAAATCAAATGAGGGAGATTACTCATTGTTTCTGCGTATGTGTTTGTTTCTTCTTTTTGTTCTTTGAATAACATCTTTACGAATGTTTGATACATCGGAATAAGTTTATGTAATTTTATATATACATAAATTTATCGTTTTATTTTAATTTGATCGCTTAAGTGTCTGCTCTTTTTTTATTCGTAAAAATGTCTCTTTCTTCCGTAATGGATTAGTGGATGACGAAACTCAGTCTCGATGCCTAGTCTCATGTCGAACTATTTGAATCCCTTCGACTGTAAAATAACATATATGGTTTGCATTCCGCAACTGTGCTCATTTCGACTTCTTTCACCGTCTGGTCATTAAAATGCAACCACGTACCGTTGTTGTTCGCAAACGATGTATAATGACCACAGCTCGAACTATTTGAAATGAAAAATTGTTTGATTAGAAATACGTACAAAGGAAAGTGCGGTCAATTGAATCGTTTACCCATTGCCGTGGTGAACAATTACAGCGGCCAAATCATATACATGATTGTTCAAATTGGAGCGTCTTGTTTCAGGAACATTGTTCAACACGTATTGTGACATATCCAATGATTTGATTGGAAATTTGATACGTAAATCAATTTTCGTGCGGAAAAAATTATTCCAACGAAATCGTTTGATGTGCAAGCACAATACATTCGGTAAACGGCGAATCCAAAAACGTTTTGTCGACTTTTGTTTGCATTTGCATGAGTTGCAATAGTACAGTTCAGTTTCGGCCAATTCTTCAACCTGAAAAAATATTTGGTTATTTACGATGGTTTTCATTTCTGATTTCGAATGAACTCTATTTGCAATTGGGATGGGATTTGTGGATTTCTACCTCTGTGAAACTTGATAAGCAATCGGCTATGTTACAAACAGGTCGACCATCAGCATCCGTTTCTTTGTAGAATTTTTCGGGAATGTCGAGTGATAAGTCCAAAAATGGATCGTGCTTTTTGCTTTCCATTCCGCAGATTAAACACCGCACCTAAAAAATGATTTTGATGCACAAACATTCAGACCTTAACAACAACAGCAAAAAAGAACAATTACCTCGCTTTGTAGTGTGCCACCAAAAATGTTTGTGACAATTGAACTTCGATTCCGAAACGAGGTACTGTTTGGTTCACTGGTACTGAGGCTGCTACCTTCACTTCCGTTCCAATCTTTGTTTGTGGTTTTATGCGTTCCACTATTTGAATCTGCGGGTATTGTTACGCACTGTAGTTCGGTGTGTAAACGATCTAACATATAGCGTAAGAATTCATGTGCATCATGTTGTCGATGGCCACGGAATTGTGGCACCACTTTCCAAATCACTAAGAACAAACTTTCGGGAGAGATCGCTTTTGAACCGTCACCACCTTGACTGAGATTGATTAACACTTTACGTAACTCTTCCGCTACGTTTGCATCACCCACATTATCTTTCTGTGAACGTGAGTAGTAAAAACGTTTCTGTTGTTGTTGTTGTGCTTTTGTTTCTAACGATGGCAGCGTATTGAAATACAAACTGAACTCTTCGATGTTGTTCAGTGACTGTAGCACTAAAAATCAATGTTAAAAAATGATGTGAAATAAATTTTCTTCGGAAATAACTTATAATAGTATTAAAACATCAAATACCTGAGTTCATGAAGCATGTGTTTCCTAAATTGCGGAGGCCAATGACCTGTATTTTGTAACGAAAAAAAAGATAAACAAACATTGACACCATTTCCAATCAAAAGAAAATCGGTATTTTGAGCATTTGTTTTTGAAAGAAATTTCATCATCATACTGACCTTTCGCATTAATTTCTTTTTTGTCGGTGATTCGTTGCCATTTTCATTATTTGTATTTGAATTTGTACGTTTTCGTGGCCGTAGTCGTCGACCAGTTTGTGAGACGCCCGGCGTCGACTCGTCATACCATCCGGAATCGCTGGATGATGTACTTGCTGAACCTTTTGATGATTTTATCGATGACGATTCATCAAGTGAATTGGACGCCTCCGACGATGAATCATCATCCTTGAATTCTTCGCGCAAATTGTCCAACAAATGCTTACCTAAGGGGAGAATCACAAAAGAAAAGAATAAAATTTAAAATAATCGATAAGTAATCGGAAAATAATCAGAAACATATAATGAAAAAATGCTTACCATTAATAACAAAATCATCACATTTGTAGCAGTAAACCGAAAAATTTAATGTGTTCAAGCAAACATTATGCTGTGTATTCAGTGTCGAATGATGTAAAGCATGTCCATTTTCATAACGACCGCACAATACTTGGCCACAATTCAAACACATCCAATTCTCCTTATCCGAAGTACATTCTATAAAAAAAAGAACGGTGCAAACGAAAGAAAAATATTGATGAGTTAATAAAAAAATTTAACAAATTTAGAATTTGAAGAGGAAAAAAGATGAATTTGGTAGAACTTCATATTTTTCATACAAGGGAAGCAATTTTTCACATCTCCTTTTTGAGTGAAATCTTTCTGGCGTCTTAAGTCCCGTTAAACAATATTTTTCAACGTTTTAAGTACACCATGGTCGAATGAGGGAGACAAATATGTTATCATTCTGTGCCAAATGAGATATACATAGTAGGCGCTCATGGCATTAGCACTTTTCTCTCTTCTTATTGGGTTTGTGTTTTTCTTATTTGAAAAACACATGTCAAAAGGCAGCACCTATGTGTTTGTCACTCGTGCAAATACTGAAAAGTGTTGAAGCGCTTGAAATAGAAACAATATACTCAAAATGCGTCAACTCAATGTCTAGCATGAGCTATGCAATGCGAAACGCGAACGATTAGTCGTTGTCTGTTCGTCAGACGAACCAGATCAAAAACACCTCAATACACATGGACTTTACGTTTTTTTTTTTATTGTTCATCGGAAAGTTTTTTTTTGCGCTTATGTAAATTTGGAACAATGAATAAACGACCGTTCATAAATTGAGCAATTCATTTGATATAAATAGTATGAGGAAGAAAAAGATTGAAGCAGTGATTACGGAATGGATTTTTTTTTTCAATTGACCTTTGGATTTGGCTTTCTCAATGCAAATATTACCTTAAACAATTCCTTCATCGATATTAAATGAAGAAGAGAAGCTAATAAGAAAACTTATTGGAATTGCGTGCAAATTATGATTAATGCTAGTTTCCCGTCTCTCCGTTGAATTTTTTTTGTTGTTCAATGTACATTGTAGAAGCAATAGTTTTTATGCTGCGTAAATGAAAAGTAGGGCCCTAAGAAAAACTTCGCGTAGATCTCTATACATACATGCATACAACTAAAACAAATTGGATGTTTGTGTGTTGTTTCAGTTTTTTCTCTTCCGATTAAATCTCACACATAAAATATGCTAATATATGCTGAGCTATAGTTCATATCTCTTTTAATGTATGGTCACACTAACACACACACAAATTTATACACACGCTCCTCATCACACAAACACATGCATCAACATACAGTCGTACATATTACACAATCACTTCGAATGAAATACTCGAACGCTCATTTGTGTGACAATAAAGTGTAGAGCGAAGAAGAAAAAAACACTCTCAATGCTATGCCAGCGAAATTCATACGACTAACAACGGCATACGCTAGTTTAATCCGAAGACAGAGAACAAAAAAAAATGGATTCAATTTGTGACTTCGGATGCAAATGAAACACACAAACCGAAAATCAATAACTCTGATTTATTCGTTGTGTTAATTTTTTGGATTTTTTTTTTTTGACAACAAGAATATCGTGTTTTGTTTGAAAACAGATGAGCTATTAATGACACATGCCAATCAATATGAAATAAAATTGCAGACAGAGTGCCATATTTTTTTTTGCTCTTCGAATTACAAGTGCATGGCAATATTTTCCAAGAAATGTGAAATCGAAATGGAGTCTATTAACAGTTAAGTTTCATTGACATTGATGCAGGAAACTGCATGTTTATAGCAAATAAAAATTGAGTTTTTGAGAATAATAAAAACACTTTCCATGACAATTGCGAAATTTTAGACTTTTCGTTCGAATCTATTCACTGCTGACCATTTAGAGTGCACTGAAATATATTTGCCATAATTTAAACACGTATCGATTTTTTTCTATGTGCGCATTCATGTTCATATTATGTGAGATGTAGAAAAAAATTGGCATCCCATTAGATTGATGAAGGAAACCATAATTGAAAAAAATGTTGTTTTCGCTGTACTTTCACATATATTTTTTGTTTTGTCACACAAACACATCAATTTCAAATAGTTTATAAATCATTGACGAATATTGAAAGAATAAAAAAATCCATTTTTTTTTGTAAAATGCCATTCGGAAAGTAATCAATTGGTGTCAATTGAATTGAAAATATTTCAGAAAAGATATTCAGAGTAATTTACATATTTGGCATATGTAATGAATTGTACAATTTATTACGTAAAATCGCTTTGCAGGCCAAATCATACCAAACGGCCAACAAACGTGCACTTGAAATATGGGCACTTATATCTTTTTTTTCTCTCGATTATTAGAGGTCGACATCTTTTTTTTCATTTACCTAAACATCTCCACAACACGCCGCCGCTACTGCTTAATTCTGTTGATGCTCGATTACCGCTATTTGTGCTCAGTGCACATTTTATATTTTTTATAAAATCGCGATTTACTTTAACACTGTCACGCAAATGTGGACACTCCATGTTGTCTAATTCGTCAAATTCGACTGTCTTTTCAATTGATGGTTTTCTTCTTAAATCTTCTTTTTTTGCTTCAAATTAGTTCACTTCACAAAAAGGGCGATTTACTAAACTTGAACCCGTTCTTCCTTCGATCAATGTGCTGCTGTTGCTGTTTCAGTTTCACATACAGTTTTTTTTTTAGTTCATGTCGTCAGTGATTAGGTAAAATAACAACACCATCAATTTGACGAAATCCACAATTTCAACACTTTATTACAATATTGAATTTGTCTGTTTGTGTGTGATGGCTGAAAAAACTTTTTTCGATTGGAAATGTTGTTGTTTTCCTTTTTGGTGTTGGGTCTCTGTTTCACGAACAAAAATGTCCACCAATAAATGTCTATCTGTGCAGAAGATTGCCTTTTCGCCAATTCGGATAAAACTTCTATTATTTCACTCCACTCTGTTGGAAATTACAACAACAATAACAAAAGTACGGATCAAGAATATATATATAAAAAAAAATTTCTTCGCTTTGCCACTACGTTTATGTTATACTGTGTGTTGATGATATTTCTATTGCTGCTTGTGGTATTGCCAACACGCACACATCTATGCATACACACAACGATCTTTTCACAATTTTTGTGTTAATTTGTTCGAATAGCACTAACGTATATACGAATATGGTTGTAGTTGTTGTGTATCTCCTAATATGATTTTATGCTGTTTCAATGTAGTGGTAGATACAGTCGTTTAAATTTAATCCAGCGTGGTTATATAGTTAACTTGTACACAGTATAGAGTACACATATACACATACATTGAAACTATGCTATTACCTTGTCGATTCAATGCTGGAGACCGAATATTTACACATACTATTACAACATTGTACTTGACTCAATTCGTTTCTTTGTTTTATTTTGGTTTTCATTTAAAGACGCAAAATGTGTACAAGTTTGATGAATTCAACGATGGATGCAAACTTTGAAAAATGTAAAACCATTTCAATGTAATTTAATGGTAATTTCGGCAAACTTGCAATTCAATACAAAATCTTTTGGACACTTTAAAAAAAAAAAAAATCGAAAAAAGAAAACCTCTAAAAATCGAAAAATTCACTCACTTTCACGAAAGAGACGGCTACATCGAGACGGACGATTTAATAGGGGAACATTATCTAATTTCTACTCATTTAGCTTTGAGTGAAACTTATTCTCAAGTTTTGCTACTGTCATTATTCACTTGATGTGATGTCGAAGTACAATTTATTCACTCAATTTATTAATACTCTGATGAATTCATGCAAAAGTTCACAAAATTCATTTAAAAAATGATTGAATTAATTTAATTTTTGGTTCTACTTCTATATTATTGCAAAAGAATCGCAAATGCAATTTCTTTTGTAACCTGTCAAAAATAAAACCGAAACACGCGATTGCCATGAAGTTGGTTTGATTTGAAAATAGTTAAAAACCGGCACTCACACAAATGAATGACAAACAAAATTGTTCTGTATCCGCTAATGAGATAAGGTTGAATTTTGGTCGCTTCATGTCCCACATTGATCCAATGATTCACCTTGTGAAGTGCATGTATTTGTATATAATTATATTCATATAAATTTCAATGTGAATGGTGGTAGAGAGTGCACACAAGCACTATGTGAATGAACAGCAGTCGATTGATAGTTGCAGTCTGCGAAAGACGTGCATCGTAAATAACTAACAAACAATCAAGAGAAAATCGAGAGCTAGACACGAATATATCGTGTATCGTTACGTTATTATTAGGAGAGAGAGAGAATTTGTGTGTCCGCAGTGCGCTTTTAATGGAATGTTTGTACACGGTATGGCATTCTTGTATGTACAGACAAGCAGCAAACGTGTGTTTTCTCTATCTCTCTCACTTTTTTTTCACATCATCTCGACAGTCATTCGATGTTGATCAAAATTTCGTTTGAGAGAAGAAGAAAAAAAAATTGTTACTGTTGACCTCGCCGCACAAAAGATCTCACGCATCTGTGAATCGGTTTTTCATAATTTGCAAAAAAAAAAAAAAAACATTGAAATTTGAACGAAAAACAATTGGATGCACTTGATCAGTTTGGTGTGAGAGATTGAAATAAAAATTGTTTATGTAACTGCAGGTAAAAATTCAAAAGACAATAACAATAGCGAAAGTATCGACTACGCACAATATAATGGCAACAACGACGATGGTATCCGCAAAAACAACTGCAGTGCTCGTACATTAACCAGGAATAGAGTTGAAATTTTTGTGATTTTCTTCTGTGTTCTTGTTTGTTTGTTTGTTAAAAAAAAAGAAGCATAGTGACGTGATTTTGTTACCTTTTACCTTTATTGACTTTTATTGATGTCGGCGTGTATGTATATACAGCTTCGATACATATATGTAGATTTACGATTAACGTATAGGCAAACTTGTTTGGAACAAAGTGTTATGCAGCATTTTTTTGCAAATTGATTTGGCTCCGACACACTTAATAGTATGATTTTTTCTACATTTCGTGTATTTTAAAAATTACACACACACAAAACAGAATATAGTGCGGTCAATTCATTGTGGTTACCACTGACATACGCGAACAGTGAAAAGAAATCGCGCCAAATAAATTAGATGGTGAAATTTTAAATGTGTATAATTTTTATAGCGTGTGTGTATAGTACGTGAATAAAAATACGGCCGTTCATGCCGTTGGTGAACAGTTCATGCTAATAAGTAGAACACGGATGGCACTGAACATTTTATTTTTATTCAAATTTCTTATAATGCTGTTTTAGATGAATTACAAACAAACAGCTCTCTCAATCACCGGTATGTGAAAACCAATCACAGAGGTTGTCACAAGAAGTTCGCGCGCATACGACACTTGAAGGTGAAGTGTCATGTTCTAGAAAAGTGCACCATACAAAATACCCATATTCGAAAAGCCAGATAGAAACAGAGAATAAAAAAATATATAGAGGCGCACACACATTCTGTAGGATTACGAGGCTTTTGAAACGTTCAACCGATTTATTCTGACTTGCTTGTTTGTACATTGTTTTTTTTTTGTTGTTGCCATTTCTGTCTTTGAGCCACTTTTGCACTGAATGCAATGAGTGTTGTTGAAGCTGGTTACACATGGCAAAAATTGCCAAAAGCAACATAAACACAGACGATTCCAATAAAGCCATAGAGAATCACATGAAACACAGACACGCCAAGCGAAGAGAAGTATGTGCAAAGGCCATAAATTATTCAGACATTCTACTGCAGTAACAATGGTAAAGCAACCGCATTTCGACTAACTATAGCCAACTAACACATGCAGCTATTTTATGTGGATGCAGTAGCAGCAACAACAGCATCCAGCAACCGAAAGCCAACATATATTATTCAGAAATTTCAAATCGAATAGATACAAAGAAGTCTGCGCTCACTTCAAATTTTTTGCCATCTGTAAATGTGTGTTTGTGCTTTGGTATGCCGTTTGTCAAACGAACGTGTGTCCACGTCGATTCTCTTTCGCTCATTCGCTCTTCAGCGACACACTTAATCAGACCAAATGGATATTGTGTAAACAGTGCAATACGTGAAATAAACTCTAACCTGTGCATCGTGTTTCGCAATCACGGACGATAACCACGTCAATGTTGATCGGATGAGTTTGTTGAATGAAATTGAATGCCAACCGTCTACTTTTTATTTGAATTGTTTAAAGTAACTGTTTTCGCTTAAATGATTAGATAACAGATTGAAATATTCGGATGAAACTATATTTGACTGAGAAAAAAAGCAAAGCTATTCTGATAATAGCAAAACAAAACAAAAGTTTATTGAAATCGATCTGAAAAAAATAGTGAACATTACATTTAATTTACAATGACAGCAAAATGAAAAAACAAATACGGTTTTTATCAAGACTACAAACTTGCGTAAATTATATACCCAATTAAGCGTTTTATCTTACGCTCATTCAATGTGGTGCAGTGCATAGGACCAGATGCTATAAGTGCATATCACTCTGTCTAGGGTGATAATCAGTCACACAAAATACCCTGACTAAAAAGGATCCTGGTTATATTGATAGGCGGATATTGTGATTTTAAAATATAAATTAGTGATTTTAATACATAGTTAAAACGTATGAAATTCAGTTTTTATTTGTACTTAATGTAAAAGTGCTGATCATTTTTAATTTTTAACCAAGGCATCCTCTTCCGAATTAAGTTTGTTTTTCGCTTTAAACTAAAAAAATGCCGCACATGAATCTCATGTCTTATTTTCGAAATTCTGCTGGAGTTTTGATGTTTTTTTGCCTCATTCTATACGTGGTCTGGACATCAACAGGTAATTGAACACTTTAAATAAATAATAGCTCACTTTTATTACATACTATCATTAATATAAATTATCTTGAATATAATTCTTTCGTTTCATTCCGTTTCATATGTTCGTTTCATGTGTAACGTCATTTTCTTTCATCTATTTTTAATTTTCAAAACCCAAATAGCGTGACTTTTCACGCTTTTTTCACCTTTTTCTTTGTAATCAAATCGTATTTTGAGTGCCCGGTTTGGACTGCGAAAAAAGGAACAGAGTTCATGCTATAATTATTTTAATATGCGAAAACATTCCATAACTCACTGCAGAACAAGAAAAACCCAAGAAGCTTCAAACTCTAGAGTTATTCATCGCACAGTACTACTTAGAATAGAAAAATTATAGTACATTTGCTGAATAGAGAAAGAGAAAGAAAAAGAAATACAAAAAATATATATATTGGCATGAGTTAACATATATTTGCCATTCAGAATATTATATGTATGCAATGAATCGCCAGTCGGTCGGCCGACAAATAAAAATGTAGTTCACCAATATTTTCTCGATTGAGCATCAGTTCTTGAAAATCGTGTATTTGCGTCACACTTCCAATGCAAGTTCCATTCTATCGCGATCAATTTGCATTCCAAAAAATGTTGAAAACAATCCAATAGATGGAATTAATTTTAAAACGCAATTCGATCGATATAGGTCAAAGAAACATTTATGCGAGAGAGATCCAGAGAGACAAAAAAGAGAAAGAGATAAGGGGAGAGAAAGGGGGAGTTCTATAGCAAAGAACCGGAAATTTGCGTCACCTTTTTTGTGGCAGCATAGATGTTATTTTATTCTATAGAACGTTCATTGCAAATTGGACGGCTTTATTGTTTATGGTTGAAAAAGCAAGAAAACACTCGGAAATCAGATATCCAATGTCGACGATTGCCATGATGGCCTTTTACAGCAATAAAGTGAATAAATGCAAAATGAATGTGCGTGTGTCGGTATGTGTGTATTGAAAGCCGTTGCAAATACAGTTTGAGCTCAATTTGACCTTATTAAATTTGAATTCCATTCATTCGGATCAATTGAATGCAACTGGAAAAGACGTTTATTGTGTATTCCAAATGGAATATTGATAATGAATACGTAAAATTGGACATAATAGCCCTTCATAAATAAACCAATATGATACAAAATAAACGTGAACGCTTTGCCATTCAACAAATCATGAATCATTGAAATAATGACAAAAAATAAACGTTTTTCAGTTTGGTCATTAATCACATTGCTTTTTTCTTTCTTTTCACACCACGTTGAGCGGCAATTTAAATATTACTTTTTACTTTTTGAAATAAAACGTCGGATGTCAATTTTTGAATAGGCAACATTTTTGCACATATTCAATCGGTGAAAAGCGTGCAAATTTAGTTCATTTTATAGAGCGAAATCATCTGATCGCGAGATGGTGATAGGGTTTAACGCACTTCAAAATAGATTTTAATACTTCAAGTAGGTGTCAAATTTCACACTTCATTTCGTTGTAAAAATGAACGTTTATATTGAAGTGAAAATCTCTATTTAAAATATATTTAATTTACATTTCAACATTCAGATTGAACATTGTTTTGCAATACTTTGACCTTTATCTTTCTTGTATGACTTCTTTTTGTCGAGTCAATTTCATTTGTCATGCGGAAAATTCCGAGCGAAATGTAAGAATTATATTGCATTTCGTTTTTTCGCTTATTTTCATATTTGATGTGGCACTAAGAGAAAATGAATCAAAAAACGGCAAAAAGTATCGTATCGAATGTCTGAAAGGATGAACGACCATACATTACCGTGTTCGAATTTCTTTCTATTCGTGTGTCAGAGTTATTTTCCCATATGAAATTGTAATGTAATATGAAAAGCTTTTTATGCGATGGTATTCTGACATTTTTGAAATTAGCACGGATGCTATGCATATGCATACGCAGCGTTTGAATCTATAACATTGAATGCACACTCTCATATTTAATATTGACATAGCTGCACTATGCGCGTCAAATTTGAAATCTCAGTCTTTTGCCTTTACTTAATGAAAGCGATGTTGCTAACGAATCTCCCAAACCATTCGTCGTTTCAAATACGGCGGTTTTCAAATCAAATGCCAGAATCACTTAATTATATTGTCAATATTGAATAATCGTAATGACTCGCATCGTACAGAAGTTTGCCTTCGCTAAACGGAAAAGTATACAGTAAAGAAATTCTTGATGATTTCACCATTGTTGAAATAAATCGAAAATCAAACAAAATTTTGTATCATATTTGATATTTTTTCTCGTTTAAAATTGGCATATAACTTGAAATACAAATAAAATACTAATTTCCGCACATAAAATATACAAAAATATTCTCGGAAACTATAACATGAAGTAGAGCATTTATAGACTACAATTGTGGTGACATTTCGTATTAAACGTGAAATCAAATGTGTTTACATTCGCAGTGAGAAACTACTGACTCATTATTATGTCATTAGAAGTGAGAAGGGAAACGAAAACATATTTCTTAAATTTGGGTCTGCAATTGTGGTTCCGAATGAATACGTCATTGTGCTCATTAACCAAAATAATCATATATGTTGCGCGCAGCAAAAAAACCCATTGAACAAATTAACATTTTACACTCTTTAAATCAAGCCGCAGCCAAACAAATCGCATTTCGAAATAAATAAATAACAATGAATTCGATTTGGGACTTCAAATCAAATAGAGTAGCTATGCGTGCTGTAATTGTTCTATGGCATTCGTAATAATGCATGTACATAATTTAACTTCCGCCATGCAAATAAGAAATGTCATGCAAAGCAGATGATTGAAAATTGATTTGGACTGGATTGATTGTAGAAAGACTTAAAGTGTATTCGGTAATTTCTAATAAATGTAAATCGATTGTTTCTGATTCACGCGTGCTGATATGTGTTCATGCACGAGCAACTATCGATTGGCAATAAATTCAAATTTGATGAGTTTCAATCCAATTTGTGAGAGAAATTCCATTATTTTCTATATGTTTTCATAATGAAGAATAATCCTCACTGAACCGATTATTGGCTTATCATTAAATATATCAAATTGAAAAGAAAACAAACATACATTTTTGGTGTAATAACCTCAACTAAGTGCATTATTAAATCACACGAAAAAAAAACAAACAAAAGAGAAATATATATATCATTCTCATTAACATTGTAATTCTATTTGGTCGATATGCCCTAATGTAATATATTATTCGTGTAAAAACGACTCTATGCAGCGACAAAGTCATTGCTTCAGTTATACTATTCCCTTTATACATTTTTTCCAGTTATATTTACATTGGCCTATGAACAGTCGTTAATGTTTTTTTATTGAACTTGGGTAATCTGAATATACAACCATCTGCTAAAATATCGTTTATACATTTATTTTGAAGAAATTTTACACAATGTGAGACATTCATTTTGTTTACCTGTTCTGTCATTTTCTCTCTTTGAATCATAATATATTTTTTTATTAAATGATTTATTGCAAATTTTTTGGTTGTGTAAATTAAAGAATTACAATCAAATGTATTGTCATTGATTGTATTACTATATTTTTGTGATTATCAAGTCGAAGTTCGTTGCACTTAGTAGCTTATTTAATGAATAAAAGCTCAACAAAAAGGAGTGACAAATGGTTTTCATTTGCAAACAAAGAAAAATAAATCCTTGTTGGGTGCGTTTTGGGTTTTGGTAAGAGGTAACTTACCAAATGCCACCCGAAAAATAAACCATTTGCCAAAGCAACATGTTTTATACAGTGTGTCCATAACATATAGAAATAGCACTAAATAGTATCGATATCTATACTATATCGGTGCACTATATATGGAAGATATTTCCGCAAGACACCGTAACTCACAATCGAAGTGAGTGCGAACGGCAAAAATATTGACGCATACACACAGTTCTTTCTACTGCCGTACGGCAACTTGTGATTTTTCCCGTCTACACTCACTTCGATCGTGCGATACGGTACCGTGCGGCAATATCTTCCATATATAGTGGACCGATATAGTATAGATATCGACACTATTTAGTGCTATTTCTATATATTATGGACACACTGGTTTTATAATAAACCATTTTCACACTATTAGTATTTATATGTAAAACGTGTGAAAGGTATTTTCCCTTATTTAACGTGATCCAGTATCGTTATCATAAAATTGAGTCTAATTCAATCCCCATGCCACATATGAAAACTACAATACTAAATTTGTTGAACACAAAAACTCATTCATTTCGAACGAAACCGTCCACTCACCGTAGATCAAACAAAGTGTGTACATATATCCCATTATGAAAGATCTATTCATACTTCTAGTTAAACTCAAGGTATCCAAGAATGGTGAAAATTGCGGAGTCGAAAAAATCTATAAGTAATTTGATTCGATGTCATAAAGTCTCAAACGAAAAGAAGTAATTGACCGATATACTAGACGAAACGTCAGTCAAGCATACCGAGACAATATTTGAGTTTACTGCATGTGTGCATTTACTTTAGTAAATGGCTTCCAATGAATTTTAGTCGACTCGTAAATCAACATTTGTCGGCTGCGTAAAGCTGCTTTCGATGTAATTTGAGAATTGATACAACGTGTATAAGAACAATAGAGGAAAATTGCATAAAGCATTTAAAACCAGAAGACCAAAAGTACTTTATCCAACTTATGTGGTGCATTTCAGACTGGTTAGCAAAACCGAAGCATAGTAACTTTCGAAACCATTGTCCTTAGAAAACTCCCTTAAATAATTCAAAAAGTTTATGAATAAAATACAGTTGCACTTCGACCATGCCCTTCTGGTACAATCAATGTTCCAATATCGTTCATGATATGCGTATCAAATTCTCGAAACTTTCGATTTCTTTTGTTATGAAAAACGTTATGTCATCGTTGTTGTTAGTGAATGAATGTGACCGTTTCCATCGCGTAGGTGAATTTTTCTTTACAACATGTTCTTATGAATGGCATGGCGAGACAGTCGTGATGATAAACATTAATTAATTTATTGGACTTTTGGTCGTTCTATTTCGAGAGGTGTAAGCAGTAAAATTAAAAATCTATAAATAGTGTCTGTTACATAGTATTTATTAGGTACACTGCGCGAATGCTAGAAACTTGGCCTTTTGTATTGGCTTTCTTGTTTTGACGTTATCAAAAAAGACGTGGATTCACGTCGGCTCACGTCATTCGCAAGCTATTCACATTTAATTTGTATCGAACAAGTGTTATTATCCGAAAAATGAATGGCAATTTGCTATTTAATATTGTTATTTTCATTGTGATATTTCAAATGGTTAACAAAATTAATTGTCCAAAACGCTTCATGTTGTCTATACAATTTCTATTTTGAATGACTATTGCGCACCAATTACATCAAATTGCTGTGTAATTCACATTTATAAAATTGTACATTTTCCATTTTATTGCTAACATTTTTGCCTGACAACTGTGCATACATACAAATAACAAACAGATCAATCCAAATGATTGAGTAGCACATTAAAATTTTATCACATTTTCCATTAAATCATTTTATTGACTTTATTGTAATGTTTCGTGCTTTTTTAATGTAGCAACCCCTCGTTGTACTGCATAGTATACAATGCACCAAGTCCATTCCATATAAAATGCTTTACACCGCATAAAAAACACACACAGTCCAATTGTAAAACAATTGAATTTTTCACGTCCGTCATTCATAATTGAGCATGTTTTCGATTAGATAAGCAAACACACAGCAAAATAAAAAAAATCTTTGTGTAATGTAATTTATCTCATCATTTCCAGTTTGCGCCACTGAAAAATTTATCAAGTGCAATGAATTAAAAAGGCACGCGATGGATCGACCTACTAGATCTCTCATTTTTTTTGTATGCAAAATGTTTCCCTATTCTATGTTAAACTGACGTATGTTTGCCTCAAAATTCATTAGTTTCATTACATATCTTTTTTCGTCTCCTCTTCACCTTAACTCTTCCATGAATAATTTATTATTTTTTGTTTCTACTTTCTATCTCTGCTTTAGGTGACTACGAACGAAGTTCGGTAGCAACAGTAACAATAAATGAATCAACGTTTGTTTGCAAAGAAAATTTCATTGACACACGAACATTTTTGGTAAAAAGTCCGATAACACATGGCACAGATACAAATGAAACAGGCAGCGATAATTTTATGTCAACTACCATCTACTTCATAACACCTACATACCCACGACGTGAACAATTCGCCGAGATTGTACGTCTCGGTCAAACGCTTATGAATGTACCAAATTTGCATTGGATTGTTGCCGACGATACCGATTCATGTAATCCACAATTGGATGAGTTTCTAAACCGTTTCGGTAAGTTGAATTTTTCGTTCTACTACATGTGTATGTTTTTTTATTTTTTTTACACCATAAATTGTATATATGTTATGAAATCGCCATTGACCATGCTAAATTGTCGTTTGGTTTCAAAGGTATGCCATACACTCATATTTCAAGTCCGATGCCGGATTTTTATCGATCACAAAAACCGATGCCAAGAGGTGTTGCCAATCGTCGTGCTGCAATCAACTGGATTCGTCAAAATGGCAAGAAGCCAGGCGTTATGTATTTCGGCGACGATGATAACACATTTGATTTAAGACTATTCAACGAAATTCGATCGACAAAAGGTGTTTCTATGTTTCCCGTTGGTTTAATCGGCTTGTATTCAGTTAGTGCACCAATCGTTCGGCATGTAAGTAAAATCCATATGCATTTCAATTCAAATTTACATAAAGCACTTTTGTTGTTTCTTCGGTTCTATTAAGTTTGAATCAGCTTGATTTTCATATTAATCAACATGTATTGTTTCGATTGAAGGGCAAAGTGATTGGTTTCTTTGATTCATGGGTCTCACAACGATTGTGGCCAGTTGATATGGCCGGTTTTGCTGTTTCATTAGAATATTTGGAAAAGTCACCAAATTCAACGATGCCATACAAAGCTGGATTTGAAGAAGATGGATTTTTGAGAAGTATTGGATTGAGAATGCATGAAATTGAACCGAAAGCGAAAAATTGCACCGAAATTCTTGTATGGCATACACAAACAAAGAAGGAAAAACCGGCACTCATTCATATCGATGACCGAAATGTTGAATCAGCTGACAGTAGTTTGGGGCCACTACTAAAAACATTAGAGTCGTTAGGAGTTAGTCACACGAATCCGTCATCAGGTAAATTGAATACAAATCAATAGAATTCCCCATCTTCAGGTCTAGGAATTTTCACAAAATTAATTATACAACAATTATATTTAAACTTGATTTCATGATGATTTTATTGATTAAATTAAATTAAATTTTTTTTTTTTTCATTTTGCAATTTTATAGGTGTTAAGGCGCAGATAGCAAAAAATTCAAAAGCCAAGGACCTAACCAATAGAACTGTCTAATTTCGCATTGCAATGCTTATTCGAAGGAAAACTATACTTTATATGTTGATAAAAATACACACCAGGTGATTTGTCATGTTACGCGTCCAAAACTTTATGCAAACAACCGTTTGGAAGTTCCAACCGGAGTCAAGAGCCACACTTTGATATAAATATTGAATGAAAAATTAAAAATATCAAGAGTTTTCTTTGGAATGCAGCGACAACAAGTAGTCAGAAGGTTTCCTTTAAATTATTTATAACGTAGGTAACCAGTTTATAACAATTACAGATTAAGTGAAGAAAACGCTTTCAGAATACAGTTTAGTTGCAACGACATGGGCATATAAGTTATGTAGAATGATGATAGACCGTTAAAAAAAAAGAATGTAGTTCAATTTCACGTTCACTTCAAAACTTCATTAATATTTACCTGGTGTTGACATTCAAATCAGTCAGCCATGAATTTCCAAAGCATTGATTTCAATAAGTCCACATCGCTACTACAAAGAATTTAAACAAATACTATCATTTCATTGGATGAAACCGTCGAATTGTACGGTGTAGTTCTCATTTCATATTTTAAATTCGATGAAAAAAATAGAATTGGCGAAGCGCGAGCGGAAAATACACATCACATAATTGACCTAGCAAACAAAGAGGCAATTTAAACAAACAAAGCATACCCACAATTGTATCGCATACATACACTATACGCTGAATCGTTTTTTTTTTTTGCAAATACACCAAAGCCTTAATTTTTTTCACAATTTTTCTTTTATATATTTTGCTTTATTTCGTTTTTGAGTATGATATATTGTGTGTTTGTAGCTATTATAAAAATTCAAAACCTATAATTGAGGACAAGTCATTTTGATGCGTGTACCAGTGTACCTACCTACTTCATTCGTATTTTATATGAATCGTTGAGGATGAAAAACAAGTATGGGAAATGTAAAAATAACAATGAAACTTAGAAGAATTCCCCGAATGAAATGAGTCGAAGAAAACAATTCAATAAAAATGAACCTTAATTTTTTTTTCAATGTGCATTAAAAACTATTTCATGGCTCTCTTCTATTGAAACTTTTTTTTCGACTCACTTCAATGAAATCATATTTGAAGGTTTCAATTTTTTTCAATTTTTTTTCCAGTTTCAGATTTTTGTGAACATTTTGTATGAATCATTTTAATTTAATTTTTTTAAAAACAGCAATAATGACAAATGATTTGGCCCATCGAATAGGTGCAAAGTAAAGAGTTTTTCATTATAAGTACGTACTTACCTTCATTCCCGAGTAATTAATGTGCTCATAAAATATGTGCCATTTGAAAATATTTTTATCTTCATAAAATGCTTACCGTCTTACAACACGTTTTACCTATTATTTATTTATTATTATTATTATTTTTTGGTTTGTAAAGTGATTGTCAGAAAAAACTCTTTCATTTTTACTCCAAACTTACAAAAAATGTTTTATTGATTGTTAAAAACAAATACAAAAATTTATTCTGCATCCATTTCTTCGTCGTCGGTTGATTGTCTACTAGCTAATGCGTAATCTTGTTTGGGTTTAGTTGTATATTTCAACGTTCGATAAAAATTATGATATTCTTGCGGAATATACTGCAATAATGATTGCAAATCATCGAATTTCTCTTTCGAAATTGGTCGACCTCCTTTGTACAGTAACCCAAATCTTGTTGTGCGATAAACATTTGATGTTCCTTTTTTAAACAACGATATTGATTTGAATAGCGCTGATCCATATTCTTTTATATATAACATATTTGGTTCCCGTTTTTTATAAAGTATATTTTGAATTTTTGACCAATTGACCTTATTTCCATCAACTGTCTTCTTTCTATTTGTTATTTTTTTTTTCAGCTTTTGAACGGAGAAAAAATCTTTTCGAAGCATTTTAATTACTTTGAATTTTGGATCTTTCTTTTTTGCATTTTTTATTACGTTATACCAATGTTGAGGAACGAATATTTCATTGGTTCGTTTCTTTTCTTTTTCTATTAAGCCAAAGCAGCGGTCACAGCTATTAAAACTGTGACCACTGACAAAAAAATCTTTGCTCAATTGATTGCAATTGATCGGAATGACTTATTATACTTTTCAACATCAACGCAATATTGATATTCCGATTTTGACAAAAACAGCTGTCACTGTAAAGAATTATGTGAAGTGTATCGTTGGGAACAAATTGCTTCATATGTCGATAGATACACGATGCGACCTCTTGAGATCCTCTTGAGGCTACGCATTCACACCATACGTACATGTATGCCATCTTTTCACATTCATTATAAATGCACAAGTTGTACACCCAAAGTTGTCTTCTATAATATGCTGTATTGGTAGTCAAATGTGGTGTTTCGAGAGCTCTTTCTAAGTCAAAAGTTAAAACTAATGTCTTGTTCTTGGGATTTTTAGCATATATTAAAGTGTCTTCGAAATCTTTTTTTGAGTTTCTCGCAATCATCAAATGCTTTTCTTTTTCAATCAAAAGCTTTTCTTCCACCGAGGCATTATTTTCAGATTCTATTTTGGCATTAAATTTGTCACATGTATTGCAAGTGTCAATTTTTA